TTTTTTCTCTCTCTTCTTTTCATACTTAATTAAATTCCTATTCTTTTCAGGGCATTATGCATTGCTGGGAACGAGTTGGAGTTTTTAGAAGTGTCAGAAATGTTGAACTTCTGCTCAAACTACAATCTGTGTACCGGATATATATTTTTAGTACTATAGCGCATGGAGGTTGGATTGGACTCAAGTTTCTTGAAGATACTTACTACTACCAGTGGTAACCTCCAAGTCTGACCTAGAGTGCTAATCTCCCTCATATACAGTTGCTACTAGCTCTATTTACAAGAAGAATTCGACCAACTAATTCAGGCTGGCTACAATTACCTTGTTATGCCTTCATGGTGATATTTATGTGACCGCTCGTTTTCGGTCTCGCATTCGTTCCCCGTCAATTCCTGCTTTAATTTTGCCGGGGCGCCCCACTTTCGGGAAGAAAAGCCGGAGGGCCGAGAACAGCATTTCTCTATGCAGAATGAATACATGGTATTCTCTGCCCTGCCTGCCCATCATTCCAAGACTCATATCGCCTGATCAGATTAGAGGAATAACCTGCTTCACTTTATATGCAGGAATATCCCATTTTTGTGTCCAGATGAACATGAGAAAAGGACAGGAAACATTCACGAGCGGGACGAGCTGACGTAAGTCCATCGGGCACCGCAGACTAACTAGTTCAAATAGTGCTGTGCTGCTAGTGTTATGCTAGACATATATTTATGCAATAACATAAAGCGTGATCAGGGACTAAGTGAGTAAGTAGTACAGCTGTACAAAAGCATTATTACAGGGGATTTATGTGTATTAATGGCTGCTCACCCTTTTGATTGGTCCGCGGATCGGAGACAGCCGAGTACTAGTAAATTGACTGCATTAATATGATTTTAATCTGTCGGGTGTCCCTGACGGTCGGCATGGCTTCCCATGGGTCGTCATGCGATGGGGCTGCTGCCAATTCGTCCTCATCTCGTCGAAAAATTCCTCCCAGCATAAAATCCGGGGCATGCCCTTGGATCCAGTAGTAGATGTAGTCCGCTTACCCCTGTTTCCGTCCTTTTCCCCTCGCCCCCTCCCCTCCTCCCCTCCATCCATCTATATCGAGGAGGGCCAAGATGGGTGCATCCGATCCCATCGCCAACCCCGACTTGGAAAAGGGTCAGCCGCCGGCGACTGTGCAGCCCACCGAGCGACACCAGGACAACATCGTGGATTATGATGGCCCCGATGACCCGGAAAACCCATTCAATTGGCCTCGCTGGAAGAAAGGGCGCCAGCTAGTTCTAATGGCATTCAACACCTTCATCACGTATGTCTTGCTGCTTTTCGGTCTTGGCTTTATCATATCCACTTCTTCCGTTCTTGGGCTAGATGGCTAATGCTACCACATCAGACCCTTGGCTTCCTCCATGTTCGCCCCCGGAGTGGAGGATGTGATGATCGATTTTCACTCCACCAGTACCATGCTCGCCTCCTTCGTGGTGTCTGTCTATGTCCTGGGCTATATGATCGGGCCTTTTCTCATCGCCCCGCTCTCGGAGATTTATGGTCGGGTGCCCCTCTATCATGCATGCAACATCCTATTCCTTATCTTCACCATCGCCTGCGCCGTAGCCCAGACCATGCCACAGCTGATTGTCTTTCGTCTGCTGGCTGGCACCGCCGGCGTTTGCCCCCTCACCATCGGCTCAGGCACCGTGGCCGACATGGTCCCCAAGGAGAAGCGCGCCGGCATCATGGCCATCTGGGCGATGGGGCCCATCCTCGGCCCCGTGGTGGGACCGGTAGCTGGTGGCTTTCTCGCCGAAGCTGAAGGCTGGCGCTGGGTGTTTTGGGTGATTGCGATCGCGGTAAGTCCAAACTTCCACAATCCCTCTCTCACTCGCAAATGCATTGACGATTTTGGCCATAGACCGCAGTGATGAGCATTCTCTGCATGATCTGGTATCGCGAAACATATGCCCCGGTCATTCTGGAGCGGAAAGCGGCCCGGTTACGCAAGGCCACGGGCAATCCCAACCTGCGTTCAGTCCATGACCGTGGCCAACAGGCGCACGAGCTCCTTCTGGTCGCATTGGCTCGCCCGATTAAGCTCCTCGTCAAATCGCCCATTGTCTTCCTCATGGTGCTCTTTGCCGCCATCACCTATGGCTACTTGTACCTGATGTTCACCACCATCACCTCCATCTTCGAGGACGTCTATCATTTCTCCCCGGGCGTCGCGGGCCTGGCCTACCTGGGATTCGGTGTGGGCTGTCTCATCGGCCTCGTCATCTGTGGTGCCGTTTCCAATCATATCGCGCGCACCCATTCGGCCAGGGGTTGTTTTACCCCGGAATCTCGCCTGCCGCCCATGGTCTTCGGCTGTTGGGCCATCCCCATTGGCTTGTTCTGGTACGGCTGGGCGGCCAAGGCGCAAACGCACTGGATCGTTCCCATCTTGGGCACGGGCGTCTTTGCCATTGGCCTGATGACCGTCTTCATGTCGGCCAGTACCTACCTGGTCGACTCCTACCTCCGCTACGCGGCCTCGGTGACGGCAGCCAACACGGGTCTACGATCGCTGGTCGGGGCCCTGTTGCCCTTGGCCGGACCTTCTATGTACGATGCCCTGGGCTTGGGATGGGGCAATTCCCTTCTCGCCTTCATTGCGCTCGTGATGTGCGCGTGTCCCCTGCTCTTCTGGCGGTACGGGGCACGCATCCGGACGCACCCTCGATTTCAGGTGAAGTTGTAAAAGATACCCTAGACGCATGTAGACGAAAGCATTGATAGAATAATATACATAGAAAGTCCTTTTTTGCCAGTATTACTCTGAAGTTACCATTCCAGCTTTCTTGTACGTATGAGATGGATGAGGTTACATATATCTACAGTGAGTGGAAGTGCTCTGAGTGACGCTGACAAGCTGCATCCCAGGCATAGAGTGCTAACTGTCGGAGCGGCAGCTGGTTCGTATAGTCTTGTTAGAAAGACTTTCCATCAACTTTCTTGTAATTTAGTTTGTCCAGATCACAGTTCTCCAGCAGACGCACCTGCATCGATTAACATCATTTTTGGGCCTTTCTTTAGACCGGTGCACTCACATTGACTGCTATAATAGGAGGCGCGTCTTCTGCCACCAAACGGATGAAACAACTGCTTCCGCAGGTCCCACAAAACTCATGTTTCGCCTGACGCCGGCCAAACTGGTGCGTCCGGGTTGTTTCATCGCCGCTCTCCAGGGTGAAATCTTTCAGAGAGGGGTACACGAGCAGGTACCCATTCTTGCTGCAGATGGAGCAGTTGCAGTTGACGACTGGGTATTCGGACAGTGGCGGTGACAGCGAAAAGCGGAAGCGCACAGCACCGCAGTGGCAACTGCCTTGGTGCATGCTCTGCTCTGATGTTGGGGTGGGGAAGAAGGACATGATGATCAGTCGGTGGGTTTGGGCGTTTAGTGACTGTCAGAGGGAAGTTGTGCTCTCTTCAACTACATCGTCTTCCAGAGGATTTGGGCTTCCTTTTTAAGGGGGTCATAATGTGACTCAGACCGAGAACGCTAGCGCAAAGTGATTGGCAATTCAAGATCTGAGACAATGTTTATCTAACAAACTTCGCACAGTAAGCAAGGGTATCCCCGCATGAATCTGACATCAGCGCGGATGACCGCAGCTCCCCCGTTAATAGGCTCATGCTACGGGTTTTCTTTGCACCATGACAGGCTGACTATTTTCAGGGCCCTATTGATTACGTTGAATGGGCACTTGATGGATCCTTTTATTTTCTATAGAAGTCGCGTATTTCCACATATATTGATCTGAGATTCACCCTCTCTCTCCCGCCGGCAAACAAGTTTTTCAGGCCCCTCTTATACCTTACCACACTTTTGTCTATTGAGTTGGACGCCAAACCCGGTGATGAAATGGATACCTAGTGCTTATATGATAGGAGTTGAATACTACGCATGCTCTCAGCCTAAACATGGCCCTTGAAACAAACTAGACTATCCATTTTCTGGATGCTTCACCCAAGGTCAGGATTTAATCATCATTGTATTGAACCCCGTACCCAGATCGACGCCGCGTATCCGCAAAGGGCTGCCCGACTCGTCTGGAACAAGCTATGCATCCCACCGTTCCCCCTTCTACATCAGTCGCGTGGTACCAATCCGCAGGGAAATTTACACTATGTATACGAGCACCGGGGAAGAGCCACTGATTACGGAAAGCGTTCGGACTCGGTAAAGGCGCGCCCGTCGATGGAGCTGTCTTCGGAGCCAAGCCCGACGGGACTTAGCTAGGGGAAGCGCTGTATATGAAATAAAAGCACCACTGCCTCAGGTCCACCAAAACAGTCTCTTTCGTTGACGATAATCATCACTTCACGATGTCTAACTGCCCTCAGTCCCCCCACTCGAACCGCACCCGCACCATCCTCCACGCCGCAAAGAATGGCAAATACGCCGTCGGCGCCTACAACTGGTACCCAATCCCCCCGGCAGTTTATTTCTCAACCACCCCAATACTCTCCCAGTACTAGAACTAACGAATAAACCAAAAGCTATAATACCGACGGCATCATGGCCGTCATCCGCGCCGCCGAGCGCATGCGCAGCCCCGCCATAATCCAACTCTTCCCCTGGACCATGCACTTTCAAGGTGCGCACTTCATCCGCTTCGTCGTCGCCGCTGCACATGCCGCTTCTGTCCCTGTCGCCGTGCATCTCGACCACTGCATTAACCCCGCAGATATTGATCTCGCTCTCACTCTTCCCTTTGACTCGATCATGATCGATGGGTCAAGCATGAACGAGGCCGAGAATATCGCGGTCTGCGCGAGCACTGTCAGCAAGGCGCATGAGCGCGGTATGACGGTTGAGGTTGAGTTAGGGCGCATTGAGGGAGGGGAGGATGGGCTTCCCAGCGTGGATTTAGGCAGTGTGTTAACGAGGCCAGGCGATGCGAGGCGGTTCCTGGAGGCGACTCAGGCGGACTTTTTGGCGCCGAGCTTTGGGAACGTGCATGGGGGCTACGGACTTGTGGGAGCGGAGAAATGTTGGGATTTAGACTTGTACGCTACCCTTCCTTTGTCTATTAGGGTTTGGTTGTATGGATGAGGAGGCACTGACTGCATGGATCTTGTGCAGGCTTCAACAGATCCAACAGGCTATCCCGTCCACCCCGCTGGTCTTGCATGGAACGCACCCGGTCTCCGACGAGCTGTTTCGCAAGGCCATTGAGTGCGGCATGAGCAAGGTGAATGTCAACCGGACGGTGCGCGACAAATACACGGAGTTTGTGGCAGAGAACGCAGGCGAGATGGAGTTGACGACGCTCAAGGTGCAGGCGGTCGAGGTGTATACCGAGTCGGTAGAGAGGGTGATGAAACTGTTTGGCTCGGCGGGCAAGGCTTGAGTTTGCTCGAGATGCAATTGAAGACTTCGGTGTGGGTGTAGAAGGTTAGGACTATAACAGCGTGTTCTGTGTAATTTTCGGACTATTCGTAGGCCCCGACGGAGATTTTTGGCTGCCGAGAATGCATGCATTAAGTAGGGTAGGTACTCCGAAGCATAATCCTACGTTGGGATTACCCGTACTGAAGATTAACGACTATAGGCGAACATCAAAGGAATGAACACCGATAGCCTGTGAAAGATCATTATATATCTGTTGTAATTTCATAATATGTCTAGCGTTCACTCGATAGCCGCCTCTAGACAGTAATTGAATGTAAATCTCACAGCACCACGTGACTAGAGCTACCTAAACCCCTACCTAAATCCACTGGCAGATCTATCAACGCGCGGGGAGGCTGTGTCAGCGGACGTTTTACGAACAAGAAAAGGGATACTATGCTGACCTTGCTCCGTCCCTCAGCGAGCCTCCATACGAGAAACTTGGATGCCCAAGCGCGGAATACTAGCAATGCAATGATCGGATCTAACCGATCTTTTCGGTAGCGGTCCGATGGAGTGGCCCGCCCATCGCTGACCGAAGGCGGGGTTAATGACCGCAGTTTGTGGAACTGGGCTGCGCATGCTTCTGAAATACTCTGATGTAGCTGCCCGGCATCGGACGCTTTTGACTAATAGAGAGTAATTGCATACAAGCACCATAGAATTTAAAGCCTGGGGAGAGTCAAAACTTTCGTAAACCACAACCACCCTAACTTTTTAATTGAACCAGACATGGGCCCCAACGGTCAGCTGGGAATAGACTGCCATTTGGTTCTTTATTACTCTGCCATATAATCGAGTATATATGGTTGGCATGAGATAGTGTATAACATAAATAAATTTGGTCTTCTTTCCATAACTGATAATGATAGATTATTCGTATGATGAGGTACTATGGTACGTTCCCAATAGCTGATAACACAATCGTGATCAACTTCCACATATACTACTTTCTATAAAAGATTGTTTACTCCATACATTTTCAGAATTGATCAGGTTTTGAACTTTTTTTCTTGAGTTTGAAGTATGATTGACCAGATGTCTAGAGATTCATTGTATGTTTCCAAAAATACTATTGCTACGGGCGTATGACTTGTCTCTTAGTCTTCCATAGCTTCACCTTAGTGCCAGCGGATAATCCGACAGGGGCAGTTCGGGGACCTCGTACTGCTTTGCGGCCTCAGTGAAGAGTGTCTTCTCTGCTTCCGTATAAGGAATACCCTCAGCCCGCCTCTGCAGCCCCAATCGGTGCTCCGGCTCTCCAGGAAATAGCACCTCCAAAAATCCAGGCGCCGGATTAACCCCGTGCACCCGCTGCGCAAGGATATCCATTCGAGCTTTGAAATCGTCCGTGCTCATTATGATATCAGGCTTGATAGCAATGAAGCAATGGCCTACATTCTGCGGCTTCGTATCCTTATACTGGTCCCCAACCTGTCCGCCGAACTCAGCTCCTGCCAAAACGCCCGACATAATGTCCATGAGAATCGCGATACCGGATCCCTTCGGCCCCCCAATTGGCGCCATGCTGCCGTTCAACGCCACATTCGCGTCGGTCGTTGGATTCCCATCTGCATCTAGCGCCCAGCCCAGCGGGATAGACTCACCACGACGTGCGGCGCGTCGGATTTTTCCCTTGGCGACAACAGAGGGCGCCATGTCAAGAATATACGGCACTTCCGTATTAGAAGGAGCCCCAGCGGCAAACGGGGAGATACCGAGAAGTGTTTCCTTTCCTCCGAATGGGGGCATCTGTTTGGCAGAATTGGTGAAGACAAGCGAGATCATATTCGCTTTAAGCGCTTGGAGGACATATGTTGCTGCCATGCCGAAATGGTTAGAGTGGTTGACTGTTACCATTCCGATGCCGTATATCTCTGCACGCTTGATAGCTTCGTCCATACCGCGAGTGGCGACGACGAATCCAAAACCGTTGTCGCCGTCCAGATGCGCGACTACCGGGGTTTTCTGGGTGATATTGATGCTTGGCCGGGGGTTGACCCGGCCGTTGCTGACGCGATCGAGGTACTGCGGAAGCCTGGCAAGGCCGTGAGTGTCCTATAATGCGTGTTAGGAGGTACTAGAAGCAAGGTAGTTTACAAATCTTACGACACCGCGAACGTCGGCTAAGACTAGGCATTCTGCCATTGACCGCGCGTCCTCTGCCATGAGGCCTGCTTTCACGAGGAGGGCGGCCGCGAAATCCTTGGCCTTTTCGGGATCGGCATAATAATGTGACTGGTTAGAGGAAGACATTTTGGGATTGGAACACGAGAAATGGTTAGCTAAATGCCCAAGCTTTAGGGGCTTGTTGGAGTAGATTTATAAAGCTGCCAACGTCTGAAGGTCCGAGGATCGGATGAGGGCTTGGTCGGTTAAACGCCGACGCTCACCCCACTCGTGATTTTACGGTAATTCACCGGATGGGACAGAGTGCAGTAAGCTGAAACCTGCATTCTTTACATAATTCTCAATGGTAGCTGTCTCTAAAATATGTTTGACCGTGAAAACAAGAACATGTGCTCGTCCTCGGGCGCAACTTCGAAATCAAACCGGACCAGGTCCTCCTTGTATGGGAACATATACGTGCTTGTAACCCTAAACACAACGACCATATTAGCAGCTTCCCGGACACTGACGTAGATTCCCGCTCACCAGTGGTGTTCCTTGCTTGCCTGATATTTTTCCAGGTCTGCAAGCGACTCATGGAAGCTCAGAAGTGCAAAGTCGAACCCCTTACTTCGTTCAATAGGGTCGGTCACAGATGGCCCTCCCACTACCAGTCGATGTCCTTTCACGCAGTCCAGTTCTTTAAGTTTCTTGAGTTCTCGAGCGAAGGTCTCTTTATGTTCCGCCGTTACTTCGGAGCGGAACTTGAACATCACTGGTATCAACCAACTTTGTTAGCTCATGATGAAGCGAATCGAATTGAACCAGTGTACCCATATGCACGATTGTCATTTTGCTTTCTTTGCAGAAATTATGGACGACGCTCTATGCCTTGACAGATAGAATCTGAGATCTCGGGTAGGGTTCAGCCAATACTGAAGAATAATAAATAAAAATCGAATGTACTATTACAGAAGACGCGTCCCGGTTACTGACCTCTCACGCAGTAGGAGAAGATCACCGCATCTATGCGGCATTTTGCCGTTCGCCTTCGGGCCCGAACAGCCCCATGCGGCCGCCATGGCTGCTATCAGAACACCTGGCTGGAATTGCCGTCTATCGTACTAAGAGATATGCCAAGGCTAGTATAAGCTGGAAGTGCTGCTCAGGCGGGTTGAAATGCGTTCCCCATGGGGTTTGGCTGCTTGGCGACCCCGTGGGGAAAGGGTATACTTGATAACGGTTATCCCATGTAGCGAAGCTTCTGCGACAAGGGCCCTTTCTGACATTATTGCAATCACAAAAATACCAGAATTTCTCCTTACAAGCCATCCCATACGTACGTAGTTCTGTCACCATGGAGCACAAATCTGTCGAGCACAACGAGTTTGTCAGTTCAAGCAAAGCCGATCTCGAGCCTGATCGACTGACACCTGCCCGGATACTGACTGCTGAGCAATTTGCCCTCGCGGAGAGAAAGCTCAAGCATAAGTTGGATTTGCGTCTTTTGCTCTGTGTGTGGATCATCTTCGTGATGAACTACCTGGACCGAGTAAGCGCCCCCCTACCTGCGTGCATTTGATCGGGCCTCATGATAACACGACAATTGTGTCGTAGAACAATATATCAGCCGCGAAGGTAGCCGGCATTGAGGACTCTCTTAGCCTAAGCAGCACGCAGTATGCTACGGCCGTGGCTCTGCTTTTCGCTGGCTACGTGCTCATGCAGCTTCCATCCAATATTTTCCTGGCCCACCTACGCCCCTCGCTCTACATTCCATCCGTTATGATCATCTGGGGCATGCTATCTGCGCTGGTAGGAGTCGTCCACAACCCAGCCGGTTTGTACGCTCTCCGATTTCTGCTTGGGTTTGTTGAGGCAGCATTTTATCGTAAGGTTCCCACCTTCTCCCGGGTGACACTCCTGACATGACCTCAACAGCCGGCGCGCTCTTCCTAATTTCATCTTGGTATAAGCGCTCTGAAATGGGAGTCCGCAGCGCTTTCCTTTTCTCCGGCTCTCAGCTGGGAAGCGCATTTTCCGGCCTCATCGGTGCCGGCATTACAAGCGGCCTAGATGGGACCCGAGGCCTCGAGTCCTGGCGCTGGATCTTCATCATCGAGGGCTCAGCAACCGTTTTCATTGCTCTCATGGCCTTATTCGTCCTCCCAAACTACCCCTCAAATACCCCTTGGCTAAGCCCAGAAGAGCGCGCCGTCGCCGAATGGCGCTTAATTGAGGATGCCGGACAGGTCGACGAAGATGATGAACGCTGGAGCTACGGGTTCAAGATGGCGTTCAACGACTGGCGGCTGTACACCTTCGCGCTAATCTTCCTCTGCATCCAGGTTGCGAGTGCGACGTCTAACTTCTTTCCCGCCGTCGTTAAGACGTTAGGGTTTGGCACCGTCAATACCTTGCTGCTTACTGTGCCGCCGTACATGGTAGCCCTAGTAGTCTCCATCGCTAATAATTGGTCTGCCGATCGCCTTCGCAACTCGTCGTTTCACGCTATCTGGCCCTTATCCATTGCGATTGTCGGGTTTGTTGTTGCGGCCGCTACGCTTAACACAGGCGCGAGGTATTTCGCCATGATCCTTATGGTAGCCGGGGGGCATGGCTCCAACGCCGTCGTGCTGGCCTGGACACAAAAGACCATGCTTCGGCTTAGGATCAAGCGGGCCTCGGCTGTGGCGTTTGTTAATGCCTTTGGGAACCTTTCGCAAGTATGTGCCTACTTCCTTGATTTCGACGAGCAAAGTAAGTAAAGGGCTTACCATGCCAACGGTGCTTTTGCAGATTTTCTCTTCGTACTTCTACCCCGATAACTCTGCTCCGCGGTACGTGACCGCCATGGCGGCGAACTCAGCTTTTTCCCTCGGCGCGATTTTGCTAGCTATTTTCATGCGATTTGTTCTTCTTCGCGCTAATCGGCGCATTGAGAGAGGTGAATCGACCGTGACGGAGGAGATGAGAGGTCAAAGTCAGCGGGAAATTGCTGGTGTCTCTGATGAGGAGCGCGTTGCAAGAAGGGAGGGGTTTCGATACATTGCTTAGCCTACGTAACACCTCGTGTATCCCAAAGGTGGTGGAGTCGTGACCGTTCCACCCTTTCTCTGCTGCTTTGTAGTCACTGCCCTCTGGCATCGGCATGTTTGCTGCTTGACGCGTTTATCCCTGATTTACCACTGTCCATCGAGAGGTATAACTGGAACTCAGTTCTGGGGATGAATACAGCTTGAAGCGATCGAGTTACTACACTAATGAAGATAGTGAACGGGATATATCAGATTTAATTCTCCTTTTCTAAAGCTGCCTCTTCATACACGGATATACTATCGGGCGCGAGGAACTGGATAGCCAAGCCATAGCAGCCGAGCCTTCTGTTACTATTCCACCCCCTACCGCTTTCTAAAGACCTTAAAAACATCCTCTACACTTCTTCCCGCCCTAATCCCCTCTGCACACTTCCGATCAGCCTCCACAATCTCTGGAATAACATCAAGCACCTTCTCAACCACCTCTCTTGGCACCCGCACAACCCCATTCAAATCCGCCACTATATAATCTCCCGGGTTGATCCAAGCTTCCTGGTGCTCAGAGTGCAGCCGGACGGGGACGTTAACTTCAGAAGGCCGACAGACTGCCCCGCCAGCTGTCGTGCCGACCGATCTGGCGAACAGCTGCACCATTTAATAATGCTTGTTAACATTGTTGTTAAGCCATAGAGTTGACCTGGTTGCAAGTACGACTTGTGAGGAGGAAGGAGATATATGACATACAGCAAATTTGAGCGCCCTGTGCTCTCCCAAATCCCGTACACGTCCGTCAATCACCACCCCCGCTGCACCTAGAGCCTGTGCCCGCAGCGTCATGAGCCCGCCGTAGACAGCGTTTACCTGTGGCAGCGGTTGGGATATCACAATTACGGCCCCGGGTGGGACCATATCAATCTACAACATAATCATCAGCCAGCCAAACCACGGCTGTAAAATTGAGTGCTCAGGCAGGCATGTCACGTACATAGTTCCCACTCAGCTTCGGCGCGGCTTCGTCATCTTTGGGCACAAATTTAACGGTGAATGCTTGGCCAACGATCTTTGTCTCTCCGGCTCGGTACTCAGGTGAATAGAGAGTGAGACCTTCGAGAAAGCCGCCGTGTGGGTGTTTGAGTTTGCTGAGGCCGTCAGCAACCTAGGGCAAATTAGCAGTGACCATGAGCTGGTCAACAAGTACCATTGTGTGGGGTCTGTGGATGGGTGGTCTTACGTCACAAGCGCCCCATTGCTTGAGACGCTCGATAATCTCCTGTGGCTCGGCGGTAGCAGTCATTGTAAAGGCGCATCCGATAGCTGTTGGATCAGCTGTTTCGTTGAGGTGGCTGATCCGGATTTTATTCCCTTTATGCAATTCGCCGCCGTCGTGAGGGGGCGATATCGGCGGTTTCGGCTGATCGGACGCGCTTCGGGGGCTTGCCGTCTCTGGGGAGAGACTCGGTCTTCGCGGACCCCATGGGTGTGCACTTATGGACGTTTTAAGGAAATAATAGACGGTCCAGCTGGCCGAGGTTCAAAGGACTATATATAATATACACAATAGCAAGCACTGATTAACGTTACAGAAAGGACAGTATCACCACTCTGGCAACATGCTCATCCACCACGACGACCTGCACCAGAATCCCGCCGAGCATCAAAGCCCGTCATAAGCCCTGAGGTATCCCAGACAGGCGGCTGCGTAGGATCCGAGCCCCAGTCACTGAGCCAGCCGAGGTCAAACAGATCCCGCAGGATACCCAATTCATCGATCAACAGCGACCTGCCGTCTTCTTGAGGCACGGCGCTAGCCCCATTCCCAACCTGTGTCTCAGCGGCCGGATTTCTTATATTGTTATCCGTAGTCTCAGATTGCCTTGGGTTCTCGGCGGTCTCGGAAATACTTTCGCGAGTCAAGGCAATGAGTCGTGAGAGCTTTTCGCATGGCTGCGCTGCTACAGACCATTGCCGTTTAAGGAATGTAAGGAGCTCCAAGGCGGACTCTACACGGGATAATGGAACGATTACCGGCATCAGACCTCTCACCGTAGGGTAAGCCCAGAGGCAATACAGCACTGTGATGGCAGCAACAAAGATAGAGTGAGCAGAGAGCCACGACAACTCCATGTTCAAGAAGCGGTGAAGCTCTGCGTTGATCTGGATTATCTTCATTGCGCTACCAAAACATGTTTTGATGGCATCGAAGCTTGGATATGGCAACTGAGGGCTCGGTCGGTAGAGGAGTATGATGCATTGGTGGAATTTGATCTCCAGGCGTTGCACGGTTGTTCCAGATAGTGAGCTGCGGCCGCACAGCGGACGGCCGCGCTGCTGATTGTGGACTTCGGTTAGGAGGTTCTTGCAAGCTTGTTCTGTCTCCCGTTGCCAGGCGGGAATATTCGATGGCCAGGGAAAACGACGTGGCGAGCGAGAGACGCGGTAAATCATTAGCTTGATCTCAGCAATGATTCGGTCAAATCGTAGGGAGTAAATAAATGCTAGATACGTCGAGGGTATCTGCTCGGAGGGCTGCATGTTCATTTCCGACGTAATACATGCACGATGCCACTGAGTTCCTGCTTCGTCAACTTCATCGCTTCCCTCAAGACCTGGAAATGGCTGATCAATGGCCTCATCTCTGAGGGTCAATGGACGACCGAGAATAGTTGTTAGTGTCCGATCCATTGAATATGCCGACCAGAATATGGCGCTACGTCTTTGTGCGGTCACGGGGTATGTCGTCAAATTCAACTCTGGAGCATCTAGACGACAGTCTTAGAGATTATTGCCCTTCCATCTTTTTGCGTCCACTCACATCCATGCCGTCGTTGAAGGCCAAGGTCTAGACAGCTTGCAATGATAGTGTGGAGAAGATACCAAGCATTTAGGCCCTCTGGACTATAGAAGCTGTGAAGAACCATCAGTAACAGGACTTGTATACCCTCCACGCTATCCTGAAGGCATATCTGGGAGCAGTGAGTCATGGCAGAGACAAGAAGGTCGCGGGAGTCAAATTCGGACCCGAGTCGTAATTCAAGGAACCGTGCCCCCAAGGACAGAACGAGACCTAGCTGCGCCGCAGCTAGTCTAATAGGGACCGGATGATTCCATGTAGATGTCTCTTTAAACTTCAGGACTTGGCTTAGGAGCTCATATAGCCTGTCCTGTGAGATAAAAGGATAAAGACACGTGCTCTCGAAATAAGCCTCTGCGTACTGCTGGCACTCTGTTGGGGAGGGCAAGTGGATGGGTGGAATGCTAGAGACTTCTGACGTGAGCGCCTGCCCCGTTACTGTAGGTGGAAGAGCGTGCAGCTCTTGCCGTGTCCCTTGGCTTCTAAGTAGCGGCAATGGCAAGCCTTGTGACTGGGGGGCGCTTTCATAGATGAGCTGGGCGAATGAAACTCCAGATGATGGGCCTAAATATTTAGGATCTGTATTGCTGGCCAGGGACAGAAGGCCGACCTCATGGGCCAGCGGTTGGTTGTGAGTGATCTGGGTCGAGCTCGGGACAGCCGATGACTCTACGGGAGGGCTGTGGTGGTTTTGACTCAGGTCAAGGCCATGATGTTCAGCCACTACAGAGGTTTGTGGCGGACTTGCATTGTGCCCACCAAGCAGTTGATTTTGATCAAAGGCGCTTTGGCTATTGTCGAAATTGTCGCGTAGTGGCGATGTTTCTAGTCTTTCTAGCTCTCGAACGCGCCGTTCCAGATAGTATAATCGGCTATTGAATGTATTTTATCTTAGCAGGTACCTTCACATTAGGGAAGGCAATTACCTTCTGGATACAGCAGACGCAGCTCGCCCTTCCATACAGTCTACACTAGCTTTCGCACAGTTGGAGCATGTGGGTACGGAGCCATCACAGCGGACCTTTCGCCGACGACAGCGGACACAAGCCGCAGGACGCCGTTTATGCCGAGTCGAAGTCGTTGAGCTGTGCGTCTTCGAGAGAGCGTTTGCAGAAGGGCGGACCTCTGTGGTTGGATACCATGGCGGGCTCGGCTGCTCCATCCTAGTATATCCGGATATAGCGCAATATTGAGATCTTTAGGCCGAAAGAGAGACGGGCAGAAACCGAGTATCTCGTCATCAGATAAAGCAACAAGTTTGGCTGAGAAACAGTGCGGGGGAAGACAAACTAGTAGTCCCCTCGGCTGGCAACCGAACCGAGGTGCGCTTCAAAATATATATACTGGTTTCGGCGTTGGTCCGTTCGTCATACTAGTAGGAGGTAAAGCCGATACACAATTCCGTCAGCTCGGATAGATCCGATAGCAGATCCTCTTATCAATTTCATTTCCCAAACAAAACGTGCTCTGCCGGACCATCACCGCGGATAACTCCGGGGTGCGGGAGGGGGTATGCCAAGTCGATATGCCTGTACCCATCATCTGAAATCCGGGGAAATGATCCCAAGGCACCTTATAAGCCGCAACGTGGTGGGACTGCCAGTGGGTGACGGTGTCTCCAGTCTCTTCCAGTATGCATTTCCAAACTACTGGCTTTACCATTCTGCAGGCAGTGTGTTCGTTGCATCCAGTAATAGACTTCACTAACATCAACAGTTGTCCCTTCTTGTCAGTATGACAATCGTCAAGGCCCAATCCGGGCTAACAGTCCCGAAATATGCTTGGTAGCACCCCCCTTGGGTACGTGGCCTACCAAATATGTGGTTTAACTCCAACACAGGGACTCTCATATTCATATTATTGAATCCGACAAGTATCCACTCAATCCAGATAGAGGTGCGCGCCGTTACCCGCATTCTAAATTAACGCCCAGTTTTGACTAACTTATATATATTGGTAGAGTACACCCCAAAGGCGGCGACTCGCGAACAGGCCGCAGCATTTGAACGTTCCATCGGCATCCAGCATGCTGTCATCGTCTTACCTAGCGTATATGGAACTAACAACAGCGTCCTCGTTGACGCCCTTCGCTCCTCCAATGGCACTTATCGCGGCGTCTGCGTCTTGGACCTCTCGGCGGAAATTGATAACACCACCCTTCAAACCTTCCACGACGCCGGCGTCCGCGGTATCCGCATCAACTACGGCAACGAAGGGACAGACGCTCAGATAACCGCCGATACCATCCGTGCGGCGTCCATCGCGCGAATTCACAATTGGACCCTGGAACTCTGGGTCCCTATCGCCGCGTTCAAGTCCCTCCACCCCATCATTCCAACCCTGGGGGTACGCGTCGTAGCAGATCATTACGCCCATGCTATGACAGGCTCCCGCACGGGCAATCCCATCAACACTATCGACCCCTTCAGCATCCTCGGGTTTCGCGAAGTGGTGGATCTCATGCAACGACACCACCTTTTCGTCAAGATCTCGGCGCCGTACCAGAACTCGCGGAATGAGCCGCTGTATAGTGATCTGCGAGTTATTGCGGAGACTCTTATGTTACATGGGCCGGACATGGTGGTTTTTGGAAGCGACTGGCCGCATACGGCGAGTAAGGAGGGGAATGAAGCTGGCGGGAGATTGGTTGAGCAGGACTTTCGGGACGTCGATGATCGGGCTATTCTGCAACAGACGCTTGAGTGGGCGGGAACACAGGCGCAGGTGAGGCGGTTGTTTGTGGATAATCCGAGAAGATTATGGGCGTGGACCGATACGGAGTCGTGATATAAGTCGTCGTAACAGGAATTTGTTGGTCACAATATGGTGTCTGCTACTCGCTGAGGCCAGTTTATTTCATTAAGCGATTCAGGTAATGGAGCCCCAGTCCGGCTCTCGATAGCTTGCTTGAGCTCCCTGGCAAAGGCAGTAGGAGCATGTTTGTCGAGGAATCTTCTCCGATAAGCACAATTTAAGTCAAGCCCAGACTCTACCATACTGCTTCTAAGGGGCCAATATTCGTCGACCCAGTAATGCATCATGTCCCATGAACACATAAATCTAACACTTAATGTGACAAACGACCAGTGATACACACCACGCGAAGAGGACAACCTAGGAAAACAAAACGGAACTAGTTCGTCTAAAACGGACTTTTGTAGTTTCTAAACACATTCAATGGCTGCGTTCCCATCAGGATATTCTGCAGCAAGGTGCTGTAATCCCACCCCATCGCTGACGCAGCAATGGCCGTGAAGACTCGCCTGGTCTTGGCGCCCCGGTCGACCTGGGCCAGTCATGTTCTACACTCACTCAGCCTCTCATCATCGCGACTGCTCAGGATTAATGTCTTACCGGCTTCATATTTATGTCCAACAAGGCAAAGTCCGATCCCTCTGCGAACCGGCGGACGTCGACGCGAATTGGCGCCGTAGCACCGATGAGAGCAGCGACACTCTCGCATTCACGCATTACCTTTTCGTAAGCGGGATCTTTGAGCTCGTTTGGTGAGATGGCTCGGGAATTGGCAGTCACGGCGACGACACCATTGTAAGGGGCGATGCCTTCGGCGTGGTTGAAGCGTGTGACGGGGAGCATGCTCCAGTGCTGGGGACGATCCCTGGTTGGAGGCATAACGGTTATGGTTGCCTCCTCACCGGCGAGAAACTCCTCGAGCATGACCAGTGGCGATTCATGAAGGAGGGTTTGGATGTGTTGCTGTAGTTGGGTCTTATCGTGACACACTTTCACTCCATGGCTACCGCGTCCTCAAACGGGCTTCCCAACAATTGGATACGAATTGATCTTATTGATAACTTCACTGAAATCTTTAGGACTGACAACCCACGAGCTTGGTAGAGTATATCTCCCCAGCTCCCGTAGCTTATCGTTCAGATAGGCCTTGTCATCAAAGTTTTCGACAAGACTTGGCGGCTGGCCGACGACATAGATCTCAGAGACCAAAGGCGTGAGCTTTGAAGATGTTTGAAGCGGGTGAGAATTGAAAAGTATGGTGTTAGCCCAGAGATGCGTCGCGCCCTGAGGAATCGCGCTGCAGATGCCTTGCTCCGTGTCCGGGAACGCCCAGCCTTTATGAGAGGAGACTGACGCCGCGGGATCTGACTTTATGATTTTCACACCCCTTTTGCTGAAAGGTGAAAGCAATGTCTGCACCGGAATCTTGATAGCCTGGGGTCATTCAGCTGTAAGTATGTCTCTGAGGGCGAGGAGTGCTTACCACCCGGCTTGCGAGGCTTTGTGACGCCATTGATCACTGGTGGGTCAATGGCCTGGTGGAGAACGGCCACGGTCGGGGTCTTTGTGCCGAAAGCACGTGCGGCCTGCGCAGATATTCTGACTGCTCTTGAAGCAAACATGGTAAAAGTTTGCTAGGAGGGTGGAAAATTGAAAGGGATGAGTTGACGATGACGGTATTTGAGGTTGTGATGGGCTGGCTGGAACTCTCCGGTTGGACCGGCCTTTCGGTTCTTTTCCGCTCCCTGGGATACTCCGCACTGCACATTGTCTAAAGACCCCAAGTGTATTCGGAGAGTCTCCGAAGTCCATTTCAAGTTTAATAAGGCGACTAAGTGGGCTATTAAGAGACACTATATGTTGTCAAATCAGCGAAAAGTGCTTCCTTGCACTTTGATGATCAACGCCGTAGGGGGCTCTGTGCTGAACGGCAGTCTTCTAGTCTACAGAAGCCAGCACAACGCTCGAAATAAGCACTAACAAACCCGCTTGCGGGCTTGTGTGGAGACATTATTCAACTGTTGATGTCTGGGAAGTTAACAGCCAAGAGAGGAAAGCTATATCTTTGTCGTCTTGACTTCCTTGGATGGCAATGTAAACGTCACCAGAGGGGCTTAGTCGCCACTGAAGGTATGCAGTTATTATATTGTCTTTCACACGCATATAATCAATATATTGGTAATGTGATGGAGTGATTCTCGTATATGGGCCTCAACGTCTTGAGCAAAGCGCGGGTGCCAATCTGAATTTGTATGATCAACCCTGCCTCCCGTTTACTGTACACGCTGGGCCTGGTCCAGACCAGAATGTTTCGCCATGGTCGCGATACCATTCCAGTGTCATTCTGAGTCCGTCATTAAAGGATACTTTCTCCGCCCACCCTAACCGCCGAAGCTTGGAATCATCGGTCCAGTACATCCGGTCGTTGAAGGGTCTATCTGCGACTGTCTCCAGATATTGTTCGCACGTGTCGCTCTGGACTGCATGAAACCACTGAATAATTCGTTTCGCAACGTCTACGACCTTTATCTGCTCTTTCGAGGATATATTGTACGTCTCAGATACAAGACCTCGATGAAGAATGATATTGAAAGCGCTCATGGCATCACTGACGTAGACAAAACCACGAACTGCCTCTCCCTGACCATGTATAGTCATTCGCTGGGAACGTAGCATTTGCATCGCGAACTTTGGAATGAGTTCTAGCACAAGGTATGTCAGGGAACAGCAGCCCGTTAAATCAGCATCAGGAAGCTCTCACTTTCGGGGTACTGACATGGACCGAAAACATTATTGCAGCGGGTTATTATGATGGGCATGTGAAAGGAATAACGGTAGGAATTGGCGATCATCTCCGCAGCGGCTTTGCTAGCAGAGTACGGATTGGTGGGATTCAGCTGATCTTCCTCGGTAAAGGCATAGTCCTGGCCTGGCAGGTTTCCTCCGTATACCTCGTCAGTAGAGATGTGGATGAACCTTATCACTGTCCCGGCTTGTCGTGCTGCTTCCAGAAGAACATGGGTCCCTGTGACGTTGCTCCGAGTGAAAGAGAGAGGGTTAACTAGAGATTGGTCCACATGAGAATTGGCCGCGAAGTGGACAACTGCATCCACTTTGAACTGCTGGAAGACAGCAGTCACTCTGTCGCGGTCGCACAGATCCCCCGGAAAGAAGTGAAAGTTAGGCAAATGTTCAACGGGTTGTAGGTTGCGCTTAGATGCGCAGTAATCGAGGATATCAAAACAGAGTACCGTATATTTCGTTCCGTATACCTGAAGGAGGTGTCGAACGAACCAGCCTCCACTGACAAAGCAGTGTTAGTTTACCTTTCTGTGTCTCGACACTCCAATAACCATAGCCACAGTAATAGACTCACATAAAGCCGGCGCCTCCAGTAACCAGTATGGTCTTCACATTTTTCATGGTATTCTCCTCGTCTGAGCCATTGATTTCAAGTCGTGGTTGTTGGACAGTCATCGCGCCGCCGACTTTTGTGTAATGATCGCACATAGACAGCACAGTTCTTGCACAAAGGTTTCGATGCTCTATAAGTGAAACATTAGCATCAATGTAGGCACGTATAACGTCATGGGAGCAATCATCCCTGTTAGTTCAGGGAGCCTCGCATTATTTCTCCTTGTTTTGTTTCAAATCTGCGGAGCCGTTCACGCTTCCCACCATGCTGACTTCTCACTGCCTTCAATGTTCAAGCACCTGTGGTTATGTATATGCTCTTGTTTCGGAAATCAGGCACAGTTTACCAAGTCCGACTTGTAGTCGAGCCGAAGTAGCAGAAGAGCATATAGCTAGGCCATTGGAGTATGCCACGAAGGCCGGCGGGTTCGCCACTATGAGGCAACAGGTCACAGCATACAATTACACACACCAGGCGATGATATCGGGCGCTCCACAACACTTTGAGCTCCCACAAGAAGTAATTTGGATTTCAACCATGATGTAGACCTCGTGTCCCATGTCTATATCCATGACGGCTGGGCTCGGATTTGTAGTTTTCACTGTCACTTCGTGGCCAAGGAGTAATAATGGTGAGAATTCCAACATGCGCCTTTACGCAGTCAGCGTAACCAATAGACCATAATGACACGGTTGTGTGCGATCAACTAAGCACAGGGAGGAGTTTCCCAGTCAGCCGGATAATCAGACCATGTTTTCCGCTGCAATGCGTACAGGAATGCAATAGTGCACCCCAAGTTTCTGCTACTATCTCCGGACCCTGAAGAAGGCGCCATAGCTACTATATTGTACGGAGGGAGTAGAGCTTGTCAAAACGCTCGTAGTTCAGTAATACGATCAGGTTCCACGTCTAGTTACCTTTCTTTTGGAACACAAACCGACTCAGTCATCTTGGAGACCGAGAATCTCCTTAACTGAAAGGCGTAAGACGATCAGCAAAAATAACTTACTAGTGAGCCCCATCTCAGCGGCTGAATAGCCAAATGCAATTTTTTGATGCAATCTCCAAGCCGCAGATGAGTATAGTGGGATATCACAGTGTTTGGTATTTAGTCATCAAGCTCGGTATCGGCGTCAACATGCATAAACTGTACCTTTCAATAATGGTATTAAGGACTAGCCGACCTTGAAAGACAAGTTGTTGCTCCGCCGATGAATACCTCTTGTCCGCTTCGCTCAGTTCCCGAGATTGGCCATCGATTACTTCTCTGAAATTAATGGTCATCAGTACTATAACAACAATAACTAGTCATACAGCAGGTTTCTTGGACCGAACTCGACAGTAGACATTTATGCTGTACGACGATCCTTTTGCACAGGTTCGATGGAGGGTAACGCCAGGATATGTTGTGGTCAATAGCCATGTTTATGGTTGAAAGCTGCGATTATGGCCACGTGGGGACGAACCAAGGCTTAGAGAGGCACTATGCGTTAGGGACATGACATCAAGAACTGAGGATGCTTGAAGACATAGCGGCCTTTCTTGGAGCTGCAGGCATGGGCAATTTTAGCCCAAGTTGCATGAATGGCTGTGGGCTAGCAACATGCATGGGGAACGCCGGCAGCAAGGAATTGAGATAAAAGCGCAATTCCCCTCTCGTCATCCTTGCTGGTCCAGCCAGCAACTGAGATCAGCCATGGCTGAAGTCCAACTCATAGCCACCCTGCGACCGGCTCCCGGAAAAGAGAAAGAAGTATACGCCCCTTACCTCACTGTTTGTCAGGCATTGCTCATAACCCACTGACGTCCATGGTCTCGTTAGCTCAGATGCCTCCTTTGCCACACGACACGTCTTGTGGAGCAGGCGGAGCCATTATGCCTGACATTTCTTCTAACAGAACACCACCGAGCGGATGGCAGCTTGGAGTTCAAGGTCATCGAAAGGTATGTGTTGGATGGACCCGGCTTAGGCCTCTGTAGGATGATTAGTTGACATGGTTACACAGATGGGCCAATACGAATGCACTTGAGCACCACCATAATCGTCCCTGGCTCCGCGAGATGTATTCCACATTCCTGGCGAAGCAAATATTAGACGGACCAGAGCAGATTGAAATGCTGACTGTCATTGCTGGGTTTGCCGTGCGTTAGAGAAGTTCCGCCTATTTGAGGCCCTGGAGGTACTATATTACATTCGTGCACGCTTCAAATATTACCTGAGAATCAACGATATATCCTGATTGCAATCGCTTTAGTTAAAGTGGAGTTGCATTCCAGAACAGAAAGGAAATTTTGGATTTAGACATGCCTAATCCCTTAGCTGTCGGAGAGAATGATTACTAGTGCCACAGCCCATGATTTGGTAACCTTTGATATTGGAATATGTGACGCAGGCGGAGGAAATGAGCCATAGCCGCTGGAACTGCATGCCTCAATGGCTTCAACATGCGTAATGCGTCACCGTATCGAAAGGTAGAATCTGGCTTTGGTGTAACACAGGTTAATCGTGGTTAATATTCTGAGGGGTCTGTCCAACATCCATGCTTTTTCCTGTACTCGAGTCAAAGCTACGAAACAGTCCTGTAACCTGCGAACTGGCGACACAAGAAATGTCAGATTTTACGAACACTATCAATATCCATAATGCTGGTTACCTTGCGAGTCAAGTAGAGGATATACGGTTTTTGGACTGCAACGCATTGGATGACTTTGGCAGAATCTTACATCTTGAAGACGGGGCTCCATAAGGCTACACAACCCGTCTTGCTGGAAGATCCATGCTTGGGGACTTAGCCGTGATTAAAAGGTTAGTGATCAGAGTGGCTTAAATACTATGTATCAGAACGGAAGTCCACTGTATCCTGCGCCTCAATGCAGCCTAGGCGATCTTGTTGCACTGCCTTGCGTTGCCGTTCTGTCCGCCACAACATGTTGATGAAGCAGTTCCGGTCATCAACCACTTTTGCAGTTCTTGTGGTCTGTGTGGCAGTCTTCACTGATATCTTTCTCTATGGGCTAGTCGTACCCATGCTTCCCTTTGCCCTCGCCGAGCGTGTGGGCCTCACTGATGCCGATATTCAGCGTTGGAATTCCATTTTACTTGCCAGCTACGGGGCGTCCATCATGCTGGGGTCATGTGAGCTATTCATTATTAGCCGGACTGACCCTTACCACAGACACCTACTTACTAATTTATGGTTACAGTGCTTTTTGGATGGATGGGCGACCGAACCCGCACGAAGCAGCTACCATTTTTGCTCGGGGTCGGGGTTATGGGGGGTGCGACACTGCTCTTCTCACTTACCAGATCATTGGCCGTGATCCTTCTCGCTCGAATCCTGCAGGGCTGTTCGACTGCCATAGTATTTACAATTGGATTTAGTCTAATGCTGGCCACAGTTGGGGAGCAACACATTGGACGTGCCATCGGCTTTACGAGCATGAGCCTCAGCGTTGGTTTGTTCGCAGGGCCCATCGTGGGTAGTTTCCTGTACGACCTGGCTGGATACTTCGCTGTCTTTGTCCCAGCCTTTGTGCTTGTCGTACTGGAGTTTGTCCTTCGGGTGCTTCTCATCACGCCGTCGCTGAAAACTGATATCAAGCGAAACCTCACCGAGGAGGAGGGACGTTCATTGATGACAGATGCTGCGGGAACTCCCACCACAGTGTCGCCAAGAAAGCCTGCACTTTTATACTTGCTATGCATGCCTAGGTTCATTATCGCGATGACGGGAATGTTCATGCTGAACTCGTTCATGACTGCCTTGGAGGCTGTGCTACCTGTGTATCTTCCTCAAGTTTTCCCTTACCGGTCGACGGAGATCGCCATTGTATTTCTGTCTGATACACTGCCCATGATTTGCTCTCCGCTGGGCGGAGCTGTGGTAGATCGCATGGGTCCGTTCTGGCCGGCGGTCCTGGGCTTTACCTTGATTACCCCTAGCATGATGTTACTGTCGCTGGTCCGTGAGCCGGAAATGATCATGTCTGTGCTGCTTCGGCTGTTCTTGTTCCTGTTCGGCTGTGGGGTATCTCTTGCCATGCCTGCCATGATGACAGAAATTACACTAGCCAAAGACGACATGGAGGATGGATATCCGGGAATCTTTGGAGATGAAGGCGCCTCTTCACAGGCTTACGGTCTGAGTAATGCTGCCTTTGCTGCAGGGACACTAGTTGGGCCTTTGTATGCTGGATATATTCGAGAGGGTGCGAGTTGGAGTGCAATGGTTATTTCCTTGGGAGCCTTCAGTGCCTTGATGGTAATCTTCGTTGTTGCATTTACTCCGCTGAAAGGTCGGGTGTTACACGGGAGCCGGGTGCCTGATTCAACAAGGCAATGATGCGATCATGTAATTACCTAAAAAGATCGTTCCTAAATTTGCCAAACTGAAGAACAAATATGTGCTCAGTCCATCTTTGCGGGCATACACAGTGGATACTCATCCGCCTCGACGATATTCGAAAAGTGAAGCCCATGAGCCTTGCGTACTGCATCCAGTATATCGAGAACAGCCAAACTCTCCACCCACGGCATGGACGCACTTTCCTGGCGCCCATCTCGGACACACCGGGCGACCTCGTCCGCCTCAAAGCAAAGCCCATGCCCGCCTCCTGGAATGCGATACTCGAACTCTTCCGCTTCTCCCACCACACCAAACCGCTGCTCTCGTTTGACGACCCGGTACTTGGATGGACACCACGGGCGCCCATAAATCTGGATCTCCCCTCTGTCCCCCTGAATCCGTACGACCGGAGTGTGACCATCCGGATCTGCAGTGGCGCGGAGGCTGGCGCTGGCAATCGCCTGCACCGAGATTGGCGACGGACTTTTGGCAGAGAAGGTCAGAAGGACGGTTGTCGATTCGTCCACCCCGGCTGGGGCAAGGGGTGTGGTTGTCGAGAAAACGGTGCTGGGCTTTGGGTCTGGCATGGGTGAAAGGGCCTGGAAGAGCCAATGGATCGGATATACGCCCACTACGCTCCAGCAACCATTAGTTTCGTTTGACGCACAGAAACCAAACAGAACGTACAATCCAGCAACGCCCCTCCAGCCAACTCTTTCTTGGTCAGATAACTGTCCTTCAGCTCCTTCAAAGCGTCTGTTCCAATCGAGTTGTCCGCGAAGACCCGAATAACGGGCCCAATCGCACCCTTCTGAATCTCCTGGCGGATCTGAGCTGAGATTGGCAGGAACCGTGTCCACATGCCTTCCATGAGGAAACGTTCACGCTCACGAGCTGTCTCGACGAGTCGATGTGCTTGTCTAGCCGTCACAGTGAATGGTTTCTCACAGAGGACGTGCTTTCCGGCCTGCAGCCCGAGCATGGCGTTCTGGTAATGGTGGGAATGCGGAGAGGCTACGTAGACGACATCTACGCGGGGATCCGCCACCAGAGCGTCGTAGCTACCATACGCAATGCAGGACGACGGCGCCCCGATCTTGTTGATGAAGCGGCTGGCGATCTCGGTGGATCGCGAAGATGCCACCGCCACCAATAAATGCGACACATCGGTAACACCTCGCGAGGCGGGATCGATGAGAAGGTCTTTTGCAAATGCTATATAGCAGATTAGACACTGAGATAACCAGCACTACGGGTCGAGTGTATTACTCTCAGCAATGGTACCGGTGGCTACCAAAAGTCAATAGTCTGGTAAACGTGTTTACGGGTAGGCCAATGTAAGCAAGGCACATACCGAGGATACCCCAACGGAGGCAGAATGGCACGGGCGCAGAATGGGCACTCATGATCGTTGAGTAGGTATATGGCCGACCTCTTTCCACTAAGAAAGCAAGGGATAGGCCTAAATCGACGGCTTCTCGCAGAAGAAGAATAGAATAAGTCCCATCAAGCACCTTACAGTGAGCCAGGTCATCTCAAGTTTGAGAGCCTTTACCTGTGCCATTTCTGCCCGCCCCGACCACGCCGAGACAATTGGGCAAACACTCTATTGTGTGACAAGCGTGAGACAAACTGACACACCACCATTTCACAATAATCATAAGGGAGGGGTTTGTGTTACATGCCACAGCAGCACGAGGGTTGGTAACATCGGGCCGAGATGACCAGGGATTCGAAACTTCTGACAGTGCCCTTCACGGCCCAATACTTCAAGTGATCCAAAAACTTTCTTCTTCGGCGACCGAGCTTTGAGTGGTGGTTGGGTTCGTGCACGTCACTCAAGCTACTCAGCAGGGAAAATAGATAAAATGGGACAAGGATAGCGTGACTGATCACATATGTTGTGAAAATGACGCAGCTGGCTAACGATGGTACTGTATTTTCAAGCAAAATAAGTGTTTCGGTCAGACCAAGCAGTATTTACCATCCTCAGCAAGACTTCCGTTCCTGAAGTCCTTGGACATGGCTATGTCGGAGGCGAGTATACCTACTTTCCAGCCAACCGTCACGGGCCAGGAGCTCGAGGCCATCCAAGAGGTACTCGCCAGCCGAACTCTTACGGGAAAAGGCAAGTACACGGCACTGTGCCAGCGATGGCTTGAATCAAGCATGCCACATGGCAAGGCCTTTGTCTTGAGCTCGTGCACTTCAGCCTTGGAGATTGCGGCCCTCCTCGCCGAATTGCGACCAGGGGACGAAGTGATTGTACCAAGCTACACGTATGTGTCAACAGTGAATGCCTTTGTTGTCCATGGGGCGCTACCGGTTTTTGTTGATGTTGAAGAGACGACCCTGAACATCGATGCACAGAAAATCGAGGATGCCATCACGCCTCGGACCAAGGTCATTGTCCCGGTGCACTATGCAGGGATGGCCTGCGACATGGACACCATTCTGGACATTGCCAGTCGGCATGACTTGCTCGTGGTTGAAGATGCCGCCATGGCCTGCGGCAGCATGTATCGAGGACGCGCGCTGGGAACCATAGGGCACCTTGGCTGCATCAGTTTCCAAGAGAAGAAAGTATTCACCAGTGGCGGTCAGGGAGGGGCATTACTCGTCAACCAGGACTCACTCGTCGCGCGAGCTGAGATCTTATATGAACACGGCACGAACCGATCTCAGTTCCTGCGTGGCGAAGTGGATATCTATCGTTGGCTGGATGTCGGGATTAACGCAACCCTGAGCGAGATTCAAGCAGCCTTCCTATATGCCCAGTTGCAAGCCGCGCCGCAGATTCTTTCATGCCGCCGACGTCTCTGGTCTCGCTATCACAGATGCCTAGCCCCTTTGGCCGACGCGGGCGTCATCCGATTACCCCAACCGGCTGCCTTGGCGGACCATAACGCAGCCATCTTCTGGCTTCGGTTGACTGACGCCACGGACCGATCTGCATTCATTGAATATATGGCGGCCGGACAAATTCAGACGCAGGCACAGTTCGTGCCACTACACTCTTCTCCATTCGGCGAACGGGTCGGGCGTTTTCATGGCGAAGATCGGGTGACTACACGCGCCGCAGCGGAGATTGTCTTGCTACCACTCTACGCGGGGCTCACAGAATGTCAACAGGAAATTGTCATTCGGCGCGTGTTAGGGTTCTGGCGTGAAGCCACAAGCACCCCGAGAACGGAAGCTTCCCGAGATGCTGAAGTGAATAATTCTTAGGCAATGATTTGCATCTGGAAATCTACCTATCAGTGCTTTCCTCATCCCTTCGGAGCAGATGGGGCGCGCTGCAAGCAGCAATGGTGAGCTGAGTTTAGGCAAGCCGTCACAATGAATATATTTTGCGGATACGAAGAGGATAGAACACCTGAGACGGCGCTAGGATAGGATAGGAATTGCAATCGTAATATGCGGTTGAGTAAATCATGCTGTACATTTGACACTAGTCTTGACGATACCCGTCCGTTGTTTATACACGGTGTATCCCCTAATCCAATATGGCATCGGGCAAGCTCAGGAGTGCCCTTCCACCGTGCGGGCATCTTTGCTCGTGTTGCGCGTAACAGTAAAGCCTAAGACCCTACAAAGCGCCTTCAGTCCATGGCCGAGAATGTACAGCCCCAGACTGATGAAGTTAAGCCACACTAGGGCGATGAAGTAGACAATTGCCTGAGGTGGGATCCATCGAAATAATTGCGTCGGATCGAAGCCAGCCTTTTCCTTGAACTCATCAATCTCAGCCAGCGCCGTCATCGTTTGGGTCTGGTCGGCTACCGGCTCTGCCTGCCAGTTTTCCGAGAAGTTGGGGTCGTTGTAGATTACGGTCGCCATGACGCCGCCAAAGAAGGTCAACAGGAGCAGGAGGACGCCTTTGGTCAGCAGCTCGTACAGCCATGTGCTGCAGAAGGAGATGAGAATGAGCGAGCCATGTCGGGAACCGTAGTCTGCTGTTGCAAGGAGATGCGCGATGGTTCTCCCCTCGGTGGGAGCGACAGGCTGAAGGCGGACCAGCAATCGGCAAACGAGGAACGTGAGCAAGCTGACGGAGGCAGCTTGCGCGGTGAAAGTGGCTTCAGTATTGAGCACATTGATGGCGGTCAAACTCAAAGCGGTAATGACCCACGAGGCTAGAAAGCCAACAGCGAGAAAGGTGGAGATCTGCCCATTGAGGCGGGAGAGGGCAGCCATGGCAGGTCAAACAGCGAAACTCGCGGGTGGTATGGTGGTGTAAACGTTTTCTCAATCTCTGCAACCGGACATTCCGAGTTTTATATTCTACAGGTGATGCTTGGCGAACCCATTTGAAATCTTTGGACCCTTGGGCCCTGGATGAGCCGAACAGCGATAGTGTTGACAGGGCCATCGCCTATTCCCGAAAGAGGCAAGGACGAGGCTATTCCAGGCCTAATATGGAAGGCGGACGCTGCTTGACTGAGACACGCCCCACTGTTCGTCTTTCATCTTCTGTCAAGGTGGAAACCCTTTCATCTCTCCGGGTACCTGGCGAGGTAGATAGTGGTAGGCAGACACGGTTGCCTGTTAGGATCTCTAATGAGGTAGCACGGTTTCGGCCTCTTGCAGTGAGTCAACAGTGAGCAGGCAAAAGTTTCCACGCAGAACTTGCGATAGTGGAGCGTCCGAGGACCTCACTAAGAGTGAATACTATATAAGAGAAATAGGAGGATACTTTTCCTCTTTCTCACAAGGAGGTTATGCAGGATCCGTTGGGTTCCGAGTGATCCTTAACAGTGACCATTTTCTGTTGCGCCGGGAAGAATCTCCTCTCTAACAGATGGAAGAAAAGAGCTGCATCAACATGACGCTAGTCTCGATGTCTTCATGTGCCTATGTAGAAATTTCCAGAGATGCATTATATAGTACAATGGGAACGTGTCTCGCGGTCTCTTGGGATTCCCTCATCCCTTTGCAAACTCTTCGCGGAAGTCTCGGATAGACTCCTCGCCAAGACATTTCCCTGGCCCCGAACAAAAGGCTGAAATTACTGACCAAAGGGTGCCATTACTACCAGCATAGATGCTGACTAGGATCTTCAGAGGTTAAAAACCCAGCAAACACCGAGAATTGCTGTTATCTCCCTCTACTTGGGTTTTCTCTCGCGATAAGTCTTTTCTCACCGGCAATCCACCCCTCAGGATTGATTCTATCCGTAATCTGCCGAGCATCGGAGAATCCTCGGAAGGCACAATCGATCGAATGGGATTGGATTGTGTCCGGGGACTAAGAAGCAAGAATCAAGGAACGGCGCAATCGTGCCGGCCGGTTCCCTCGTGGCTGATTCCACGCACGTTCCATCCACCACGAACCATATTACACAATTCTATCAAATCTCCCTCGCGCAGCTAAAATAGTACTGTACTGGATATTCACTGGACACAATTATGGTCCTGACACCCGACCACCGGCTGAAGCAGAAATCTTTGCATCTTTTTGGTCCTTCACACGCCAGCTCCCCGATCGATCGATGAGGAGGGGTTATCGCCATTCAGGGCCCAATAACTCACGATGATCGGTGACGATGACCACAGAGGACCGTCATTGAGCGGGGATGTACAGTGGATTATACCGCGGACCAGGGCCAACCAGCGAAGCATTTAGGGGATCAGGCCAGGAACCAAACCCTGTTGCGTGTCGATTCCTTTGCCTCTCAAGCTTTCCGACAAGCCCCATTAGGATCCACCCATGACGCCAGTCTTTCCCATGTCTTCAACGCTCCCCGATAGTCTGCCCGCACCACCACAACCCACTGGCCTGTACATTTTGTAGATCTCGCGCATCAATGCTCAATGGCCGGTGTGGATACGCTCGCTTACGCCCTCGCTGCAGTCTCTGGTCCAGTCGGAGATGCGGAGAGGGCGCCAGCAAGTCGTCATCATGTTTGCTGCTGCTTCACGCCATTCTTTCTTCTCCTGTCTTTTATTGTTCCCCTACTCCTGTTGCTTACTGGCCAATTTTTGAACATCTGGAACATCGGCTGGGCATCTGAGTGTGTCACGCAGCCATTGCTTCCATTTGAGTCGGCCATCCGCATCCCGTCCATTATCCGCATCCCATCGACAGGAGCAATTTTATCAACCTTAGAATAAGCACATAGCATCTATCTCCGTCACAATATGGACGACGGGGAGACCAGGCGCCCACGGGCAACGGTATGTTCACTCGTATTCTCCTTCAGTTGAGCCAGGAGCTGATCGGAGTAATCTCCTCGCTTGAGCAGTCTGATGCGATCTCCCCCCAAGGAGAGAACCCTCCCACTTCACCTCTATCACCTACTCGCGGCCGCCGAGGGACTGCTGGTGACGCCGACTTTGTCTCTCCCACCCGCCGCGTCTCTGGCCGTGATGGCTCTGGGGCTGGAGTTCGTCGACGCAGCTCCGCCGCTTCCCGTCGCAGTGGTGGAAGTGGCATCCCCAGTTTGGCGCCACGCACCACGCTGGCTGAACGAACCCAAGGTCGTTTCACCATGGCTGGCCCAGAAGAGACGCCTCAGCTGCGCTTGGCCCATGAACCGTTTGTGCAACCCGGCTATGGCGATCTAAACCCATCCTACGAACAGCCCGCCAACTCCAAACCTGTCTGGGGTCTGGCGAAACCGCTCCCTCGTGTTGTCCGACCGGGCATGGTGCCGACCAAGGAGGAGCTGTTGGAAGCCCGTCAAAATATTCAGCTGCCAGCAGAAAACTCACAGAAGCTAGGGCTGGAGGTCGACCCCAATGACCTAGAGCTGGGCCAGATCGAGAAGACGGCTGACCCTCGTAAAATGGCGGCCCAGGTGGAAGATGCCCGCATCCAGCGTGAGAACAACTTCATGAACAAGATTCTGAGTGGGGATGCCACCACGACGCGACAAGGCTCGCGCCTCTCGCGGACTTCATCGTCGCGTATCCGCCGCCCATCGGCCTGGGATCTCCCGCCTGAGAATCTCTCGACGGTGCCCGAAGGCGAGACCCCGGCTCCCAGTGAGACCCATGAGGAACCCCCTCAGATGAGTAGTGAGGAGCCCTTGGAGCCCGTCCTGGAGGAGCCCGAGCTGCGCGCTGACGATGGCAAGGACGGGATGATGGACGACCTGCCCAATCTGGAGGAGATCGAGGCCGCCTACCCGGAAGATCTGCATCCGCTGGTGCAGGAGCTGGTGGAGGAGGAGGTGCACAACAACCACACCACCTGGTCCGTCATCCGCACTCATCACCGCGAAGCCCTGGCCGAGTCCCTGGGGGTCTTCGTACAGCTTTTCGTCGGCTTTTGCGGCGATCTAGCAGTGACCGTGGCCAACGCCGGTAATCCCAACACCACCGACTGGGTCTGGGGGTTTGCTACCATGATGGCCATCTACGTCTCCGGTGGTGTGTCCGGTGCACATCTCAATCCGACCATCACCATCATGCTCTGGTTTTACCGCGGCTTCCCCAAGAGCAAGATGCCCGAGTACTTCGCCGCGCAGTTCTTGGGGGCCTTCATCGCCGCGCTCGCCGCGTACGGTCTCTACTATCACTCCATCCAACACTATCTCCTGACCAACTCCACCACGGGCATCATCACCAGCTTTGTGACAAGTCAGCGCGAGACCTGGATCGGTCCTGGTACTGCCTTCTTTACCGAATTTCTGGGCACGATGATACTGACGGTGGTGGTCCTGGCGCTGGGTGACGATCAGAACGCACCCCCGGGAGCGGGTATGAACTCACTCATCGTGGGTCTCATGGTGACCTGCAACACGATGAGCTTTGCCTACCAGACGGGTGCCGCCTTGAATCCGAGTCGAGACTTTGGGCCCCGACTAGCGTTGCTGGCTCTTGGGTACGGCTCGTCGCTGTTCACCAATCCGTACTGGTTTTACGGACCATGGGCCGGATCACTCGCGGGCTCCTTCCTCGGTGCCTTCCTGTACGACTTTATGATCTTTACGGGTGGTGAATCGCCGGTCAACTACCCCTGGGAACGGACGCAGCGGGCGATGCGCAAGAGTCGGATGAAGTGGGGGAAGCGGTTGCATCTGTCGCGCCGAGACAGGGGAGAGAAGACTGTGCGTTGAACAGGAGCGGCGTAGACAAAGGGGAATTCGAATTTAGTGCAGAATGTTTCACCAGATTGTTTGAGAAAGCCTTGCTACGTGCATGCGGGATGCATACTAGTGATGTTTGTAGTTACATGATACACTCATATTGACCGCAATGAGCGATGAACGTTGTACATACGCATTGATGATTCGGGTTCTGGATAATATATATATATATACTAGTTCAATTACTTTCTTATTATTTTTATAATCATAGTAGCATCACAACTCATGGCGAGGTAGTGCTACTACTTAATAGCCCCGCGATTGGTAACTTCTCTCGCCTTTATTGTGCCAGTACTTGTATATTCCCCTGCGGCAAGCCGATCGGTATCCCGAGGCAAGTATCGGGCCACCCGGAAATCGACCGAGACGCGGGAAGGTTGACACAGTCTTCTTGACCGGATATTGTCATCTGCACCAGTTGTTCTTGTTCTTTCATCATCTGCGCCGACGTGCCTGGTTGAGAGCGTCTCCACTGCGACTGAAAATGACGTCACCAACCATTGCCCCCAAAACCATCACACTGGATATGATGCTCGGTGATGCCCAGAAAAGGCAATAGACAGCAGAGACAAGGATACGGAATCTTCTTCTGAGACGCCGTATAGGAAACCGGGACATATTTAGTCGAAGGAACCCCTGCAACCTGGCTGTGATTGTAGTCCGACCCCTCCGCCCTCTTGTCAACCGTCACCACCGCCATCGACATGAGCCAGGATGCAGAGGGAGGCTATACAATGTCTCCAATACGCAGGGTTACCTCATCGGTAGCCTGGGGCTGGTATGCTATCTCACTCAGCTGGGGTGGGATAGCGGTGCTGCTGCACCAGACCCCTAACCAGTTCACCGGCCTCACGACCATCGGAACCATCGTCTTTATCGCCAACCTAGTCATCTATACCACAGTTACGCTCTGCCTTCTCTTCGAGGCTGTCCGACCACAGAAGGTTCCCAAGCCCTTGGAGGAGTCACCTAACTTTGCCGCGCGGTGGCTGCATATCAAGAAGCCCCAGGACCTGTACTTTGTCCCTGTTTCGCTGCTCGCCTTCGCGACCATCATCTTCTGCACCTCCTACTACGGCACTCCGCATTGTGGCCGTTGGTTGACCCTCACCCTGAACGTCTTCTTCTGGGTCTACACCGGAGTGTCGCTGCTGCTGTCGATTCTCTTGGGCTGGTGGATCCCGTATACAGGCACCAATCATGGCGACCACTTCGCCATTGTGAACATCCTACCCTACTTTCCACCCATGCTCAGTGGCACCATGGCCGGCGTCTTGGCCCCAAACCAGGACCCTGCTCAGGCCGTCCCCATGCTGGTAGGTGGCACCACCATGCAAGGATTCGGATTCCTCATGTTCCTGGTCATTTTGGTACAGAGCCTGACGGAGATCTCCAGCGAGGGTCTCCCAGTGCCAAATTTCCGACCGGAGATGTTCATCGCAGTGGGCCCGCCCAGCTTTACAATTATCGCCATGATCAGCATGGCGGATGCGGCGGTTGAGAAACTCCCAGACCACTATATCAGCGCTGCAACCAGTGTGCGCACTGCGGATGTCCTGCTGATTGTTGCTGTGGTCGCGTCGGTCTTCTTATGGCTCTTGGCCTTCTTCGTGTTCTGCATGGCGGCACTGAGCATGCTGGAGGCTCTGTGGCACCGCACCATTCGCTTCGAGCTTATCTGGTGGTGCATGGTCTTCCCCATCACAGGTTTTGTGCTCGCCACCATCGACATGGGCGAGTATTTGGCTTCACCGGCGATCGAGTGGGTTGGGAGCGGGATGACCATCTTTCAAGTGTGTTTGTGGTTGACTATCACAGCCTGCCAGCTATTTAGATGGGTGTATAAGAGGGAGTTTTAGCTTCATCATGCGGCATATACCCCGGACGGAGTGGTTATTGTTCACTGGATTGGAGAGAAAAATAAAGCGGCATAGCTGGCTATTTCCTAGTCATTTGCGGTTACTATATCCTTTTAAGAACTATAATAACAATGTCATGTTCTATATCATGTACGCCGGAAATATGCCATGCCATCAATTCGGCAGCTCGGAAGGTAAACTGGTGAGGTTGACTGGGAGGATTGCAACTTCCTCACTTCTTTGCCGGCCATCAATGCTTCCTGTTGCCACGGCCCTTCGCTGTCCATTCTCGTCTTCGGTCCACTTGAGTGGCCCTTGCGGGAGTGCCTCCTTACTGGAGCTGGTCCATTGTAGAGCCTGCTGAATCCCCTCATCCAGGTCCGGCAGCATCCCATTGGTGAACTGGAAACCTCCTCCGAACTGGCTTGGAATGTCCTTGTGGTCCATGTGTTCCGCCATGGTCGCGTATGCATCCGCGGGCCTGGTGATCACCAGCTTGTCAGCCGTTATGGGGTCGACAAAGTTCTTCATAAAAGCCCATATCTTGGCGAAGTAGAAGGGCGCATTGCCCACCTAAGAGATGAGTTAACATCAATACCAGTCACGGTGTAAGTATCCCTTACAATGATTCGATCAATAGTCTCCGGATAGCAGGTCGAGAGGATCCAGCTGATATCGCGTGCAAATTCCCGCAAATCCCAGGCTTGCTTCAGAGATAGGACGGAGGCATCGACGATGTAAATGGATTTGTCGATGGGGGTGGTCGGGTCGGGACGGTCGCTCATGGCCGAGCAAAGCGGGAGCACGAATCGAGTAATGCTGTCAAAATAGATTGCTGCGCGTTGTTCCATATCCGGAATGATCGGACCCGTTGCAGCCAATTCAGTGTGCCTTGAAATGTCGCGCGTCTTCCTCCAGGCTGCCATAGTGGATGCGTTCAAATGAGCAAGATCGAGCACCAGGATAGGTCGCCCTCGGCGGTCCCGTCGGCCCGTCCAGTGAGGATACTGGTTATCGTGAGTTACTACTACTTTGAATGCCACTCGCGGGATTTCCCAACATACCAGCTTTCGCGTCTCCTCATAATGCTCTACGGAGATCAGATCATACAGACGAAGAACCTGTCTATCGGCCTGAAACTGGGTTGCTTCTTGCAATTGCTTTAGAGCCGCTTTTGGATCCATGCGACGAGCCCCCAAATATCGTCTATATGCGCCAATCAGTACAGCACCGATGAATAGAGGGCTTTTTGCTCACAAAAGAGTAGTGTTGTCGTTGATCCCATCAACAACATCCCCAGCTTGTAACCCCTCCCGACGCCCCAACAGGCCTTCTGCAGCACAGCAACTCCTGAAGGTCTCTAGGACGGTCGACTGGTCCGGAGCTAACTCTCCCATCTTGTGATGTGAAAAGGCCGGGCTCCACAGATGAGGACGATGGAATGCGAGGCGGGTAGGAAACTGATCAGATCTATGTTGTTGCAGGATAATGGTGCTGATTCAGTCTCTTGTGGTTGCAATGTGACGGCGGGGTTCCTGTGCTGAGTGGCTGGGGGCGCGGCTGAAAGCGTCACAGCCTGCTGCAGGATGTGGGATGGCTAGCACATTCCCAACATTGCGATGCAATGTCATTCGCCTTACGCATTGTCAAACCCAGCTTCCGGTTCCTTTCTCCGCCATCTTACCCCTCTGAATGCCGTCGTTCGGGGCTTTGCCAGGGTTGTTAGCGTAGTGAGAGATGAAGTTTAAATCCATGATATGATGATGGCTTCACCTGCCGATCTTCCGGTGCCCAGCTCTCCTCACGAACAGCCGCAACATTATTGGCCCGGGCATTGCAAAGGACCCGAACTTAGATGAAATGCCGACATCGAATGTCTGAAATCAATGACTTAAGCTTTGAACCTGTTCCTCGAATGAGCCGAGCTTGGATCAACCTCGCAAGCTTTGGTACGTACTCTGTAATCCCATAAGGTGATCTGCACCCTCAACGATCTTCAAGCCCGCCCCAACCCAATTAGATTCGAATGATGAAGGACCTAAGTGGATTGAAGTGGATTCTTTCAACCCTGGCACACCTCATCGCGACGCAACTTCGGTGGATGATTCACAGACCCCCACTGCCCGCAAGGGGTTGATTGGCCCATGTCTACAAAGATCCTCTCGATGGTATCTCTCCATCCCCTTCAGATCAGATTGTTCTTCCCGCTCAGATGAACGCCTGTTCGCGTAAACAAGAATCTCCTTGCTGGCAATGGATGATGTTGACAATTACACTATCATGCCTCATTATGGAGCTGCCAGTGCTCTTTCCGGACAAGGGGCTCGTCCGTCCATAATGATGGATTTAAAGACGACCATGTCAGTTTTGGAAAAACTGACTTCTCTTGGCTCCTCATCTTCCCTGCATAATCTATAAAGCCATTGGAATTGATTAGCGGTCGGTTATTTCTTGTCTCCAGTTCATTATGGCACTTAGAGGTTCATTTTCCGACGATTACTCCGATCCCGTCCCTCGGACCTGTCCGGACATCCAAGGATTCTGCGAAAATTATGCCCTGCGACGTCACAAGTTTGAGAATAGGGCCAACACAGGATCCCAACAATGCCGAGACGATTGGGAGCTGTATATCGGCCCGATAGAGCGCTGGGGATGCTGTAATCCGTGGGAGGGTCACTTCTCCGCGGTCGTCTTGCCCTTTTGCCGGCCCGATCGTATTGCCATCATCAGCTACTGTTTCGAATGTGAGATATTATTGACTCACTGAGGCAACCCGCTTTTGCCAAGGCTCACATGAAATAGATGCATTCATGTACGATAACGTGGTTGAATCAGCCACCAGATCCACAGTATGCCCGATAGCGAAGTTGTCTTCAGAAAGTTATCCATGTCTAACTAACGCCAGGTGAACAATAACACAGACGATATTGCCCTCGATGAGACGGAATACCGAACCGTGCGATCGGTCACTGGGACCAAACAGATCCAGTCAAAAATGTTACTCGACCTCCTGTCAATCGACCCTGCATGTGCTGAGGTTGTCATTGACTCCTGGAAGACAATGATCAACACAACCGCAAAGCAGGACAAGACGCGCGCATGCAGTAACCTGGAAGAATATGTCGACTACCGGATCGTTGACACTGGAGCACCGTAAGGGATTACCATGTCGTTTCTGGTTTTTCCATAGATACCTAACAGACATTGTAGATTTGTGGACACATTGATGCGTTTCGGAATGGACATCCTCCTCACGCCCGAGGAAGAGGAGCTTGTCGCTCCTATTGTCAAGCCGTGCTATGCTGCCCTCGGACTTGCCAACGACTACTTTTCTTTTGATATCGAGTGGGAAGAGTTTCAAAGTTCAGAATCAAGCCAGACCGCCATGACAAATGCCGTCTGGCTATTCATGCAATGGCACCAGGTTGGCAAAGAGGAAGCGAAAAGGCTCGTTCGGCAAGTCACAAATGACTACGAAAGAGAGTACCAGCAACGAGTACAGGAATATATTGCCGGCGAAGGGAAGTCCAATAGTAAGATCCAATTGTACCTTACTGCATTGGGATACCAGATTCCCGGAAATGTCACCTGGAGTCTGCGATGTCCTCGGTACCACCCCTGGTTGTGTAAGGAGGGCAGTGCCCTCTTGCAAGCGTCGATGGAGGAGGCTCGCGACTTGCCTAACGTAGGTAAAAGACGGAGTGTCTCAGAAGATAGTCTCTCGTCCGAGTCCTCCGTCTGGTCTGGAACAAGTGATCGTTCTGCACGCTCATCAGTGTCCTCGGCACCTTCTCTCGACGATAGGGAAAAGGAGCGCGACCGTGTTACGCTTGGAACGGAGGTAAGCTCGTTGTCGAATATAACATGTTATCAATCAAAGGTTCCTGACAGCCTACGCAGCATCTCCTTGCTCCAGCAGAGTATATCGCCTCACTCCCCTCCAAAGGAGTTCGCGAGGCTTTCATCGACGCGCTGAATGTGTGGCTTGCTCTCCCGGATCGTTTCGTAAGCGTCATGAAATGCATTGCAAAGACATTGCATAATGCCTCTTTGATGTGAGTGCTCGAATCAAATTCGTACCGTGGATTCCACTCCGCTAACGACCCTGCCATCTTGTGTAGGCTGGATGACATCGAAGATGGTTCCCCTCTGCGTCGGGGCCAGCCCGCGACACACACCGTCTTCGGACAGGCGCTCACCATCAACTCCGCTAACTTTGTCCTCATTCAGGCGATGGACCAAGTGAGGTTGTTAGAGGACTCGCGCTGTGTCGACATCTTCGTGGAAGAGATGCGTAATCTGTTCATCGGTCAGAGCTTTGATCTGTACTGGACACGACAGGACGAGTGTCCTTCAGAGGAAGAATATTTCGAGATGATCCGCCAAAGTAGTACTCACTTTTCTCCCTCTCGGCCCTTTCTATCGAAAATTTTGTGCTCACTATTAGCAGAAACTGGTGGTCTCTTCCGGCTATTGGCTCGATTGATGATGCAAAAGGCAACATCAAAGAAGAACCGGTAAGAAGCGCGAACGCTTTGATGGAAAGAGTTTACTAACTTTCCCAACACAATAGGTGCCTCCCGTTGGAACCTCTTGTCGACCTTGTGGGAGAATACTTTCAGATCCGAGATGATTACAAGAACCTTACCGATGAGGTCAGTTTACCCACACAGAACGACTACACCTACAAGCTGACCCAATATCGCAGTATACCGGACAAAAGGGCTTTTGCGAGGATCTAGACGAGGGGAAGTTCTCATTTCCGCTGATTTATGCTCATAAATTTTTGCCTGAGACCTCGGATATTCGAAACATCCTTAAAGAAGGTCGCCGGTCGGGCGGACTTGGGATCACACAGAAGCAGCACGTATTGGGCTGGCTCCACGAGAGCGGAAGCATGACGTACACAAAAAGAACACTTCGGGGCCTGATGAGTGAAATCCGGCATCAGATCGATCGGGTGGAAAAGGAATCGGGCTGCCCGAACTGGGTCCTGAAACTCCTCGTTCACCGACTGGAAGTCTGATATTGGTTAGATGGGATGATGAAATTCAACGACTGTAATGCTCTGTTTGGCGTTTATTCTGCATGTTGGGGGGTAACTATCGCTATGAAATTCCTGGGTGGCCTTGTGAATTTGAAGATTTGTAGTAAATAGAATATTTCTGTGTGTTATTACATATAAAGATCTGAACACTGAACCGAATCGGCCGCTGTGCAAGCTCTGCCTACAGATGTGGGACGTAGTCCGACCAGCTAACCGTCTGAAAAGCAGTGGCAGGCAGGCTGCGCAATCCGATAAAGTCCTCCGTAAGAACGTACGCGCGACCCACGCAGTAAGCTGCACAGAGCACAGAAGTAGGAAATAAGACGCGAAGGGGAACCTCCCTCTTCGGATCGCGATACGGGTCGATATTTCTCAACTTGGCTGCTAAATTTCGCAGGCACGACCGCTGCCGGGATGGGTTGGTGGAAGTTTTTGGTCTCGACAAGGGAAGAAGGAGTCGCCGTTTATACTCCCTGGGCAGCAAGATCTTGTCGCAATAACCAGCATGCAGTCCACCGATGACGGTGAATGTCAAGTTGTAGATACTAGCGACACGCCACAAAAGATGTTCGGTGGGGGAAGGAAAGTGGAAGTTCCAAGCAAGCATGAAGATCGAACCGAATAGGAGCAGAACAGGGGTAGCAATACAATCGGCCTTCCGGTCGGTGACGGGAAAGTTATCACTGACAATGCGATCGCGTGGTTTTGCAGTCATGGGGCGTGAAAACATAGGAATATGCATTTTGCGCAGGATTTCCGTGTAGTAGCGCCAGTGCACTGCACAGAAAGATACATCGTTGCACACGAAGTCGAGGGGAGTCTCGTGCCATTCTTGCAAGGGATATGGGCAGTGCTGCTCCGGAACGGGATACTGTCAATGGCGCTGAATATCAGCTGGGATAGGGTCAAACGTACCTGCTTCCGCATGATGTCAAAATTGGTGTTAGAGTGCAGAGTCTGTGTACTTGAGATGTCTGATGGCTTGAACCGCCAGCAGAAAGACGTCACTAGGAACACAACCACAAAGGAGATGGTGGTGAGCTCCAACGTAGTCAGTGCCAGGCCCTGGGCTACACGCATGGCGCAGTTGACGAGCAGCCAGAGTGCCTGGCAGACTGCGATCACACTGGACATTCGAATAAGCCGATGGGCAACAGTTTTGAGTAAGTGTGGTACATACCGAGAGAAAGCGTCGGATTTGTTTCGATCGTTGATGTCGTCTTCGTCAATCATAGGGTACTTGACGTACCCCTTCTCGATGAGGAATCGAAGCTGCTTCGCGTTTACTGGAAATGGACGTTCGGTTCCCGGACCATCCACCAAGAATCCCCCCATATCCGCATAGAAGGCATGAGTTAAGGTCCAAATGGGTCGCTCGGTGGTCTCCGTCGTCGCTAGTCGCTCAAATTCCTAACGTGGGTATTAGACTAGGTTGCTCTGAGCATCGTATTACAGCAGAAATCGAGACCTTGACAGACGCTCGCGCGGAGGACCACTGCCCCAAGGCCAGCATAAGAAGAAATTCAGGGCCCAGGAGCCCCAGCGCGGCCAAATGCAGTCGGTCGCGCAGGCCATGATACCATCGGTCGGAGCGGGCAGGGATGTTGGGCATGACAGCCGTCCAGCAACACAATACAATAGTCAGTAGACAACTCGAGAGAATGGACCAGGTTCCTCGTCCATCGGGCTCGTCAATCCAGCCATCGATGATGGCTGCGGTAGATGTGGAATCTGTGGACATGGGGATTGTTCCCGGGACTGACAATCAAAGAGGCTGCCTGTCAGCTTTTCGGGGAGATACGCTGGCAATATAGCCCTTCACGCGCTGGCTGCTTGAGGTTACGCAGGCACCCCAAGACCTTTCTTGGAGGAGTCTTAAGTGGCCATGAGATAGGCGCCTACCTGAAATTCCTCCCGACATGCACCAGCTGCGGATGCGACCGGTGGCTTGGCCAATCCGTTAATCCCTGCATGTCTGTCACCCGGTCCAGCGTTAAGTGGCTAGTTGAGCCATTCGCGTCTTTAAGAGAGGACAATTTGTCTCCACTTCAAGGCGCCGCGGTCCGCGCCGCAGTCCACAGCCATTGAGACGCTCGGGTGGACAGGCTGTGGTATTTTAGCAAGTGCCTTCCTGGTGGCCTACTCTGGTGGTTGCGTCTATTTTTAGGTGGCATTGTGGCTTTGCAGCTTCATGCATATTTGACCCGAAGATGCCTGCTACGCGAAGGAGTAATAGTCGCAAACGTAATTCTGATTGAACTTGGGCGAGGCCCTCGGAGGGAACCAATATCAGATCGGGTTATTCACAGGGGTCCGGCGAAAGGCTGAACTCCGCTGCAAGGATTACGCCAACCGCTGGTTGCCTGCGCCAGAATGCTTTCCCCGGCCACTATTAATCCAGGCTGGCCCAGCACTTGTTCATGACCATTCTTTTGATAGTTCACTGCAATAATGACTTCCAACGCACCATCTGAGTGCTGTCTGGTGGGACACCTGCACGAGGGCAAGGCCAGCGGAGAAGTCCAAGAAATTGCCAATAGTGAGTACCGACAACAGAGTCATTACCACCACTGACTGTCCGACAGTCTCGACCTACATCGCCTATCCACCTGATCGGTCGACAAAAAATGCCATCTTGTTTCTCACTGATGGCAATGGCCATCGCTTCATCAACGCCCACTTGATGGCAGATCAGTTTGCCGCCTGCGGCTACTTCGTGGTGATGCCCGACCTCTTCCACGGAGACCCCATCCCAATCGACTATGGGCCTGATTTTGATATAATGGGCTGGTACAACCAACACCTGCCGCCCAGGGTGGATCCCATCATCGATGCTATACTTGGGGAGATGTGCACTACTTTCGGCTGCCAGCGAGTCGGCGCTGTCGGATATTGTTTTGGTGGCAAATATGTGTGCCGCTACCTCAAAGCTGGCAAACTTAATGCAGGGTTCATAGCCCATCCAACCATGGTGCAGGTGGGGGAGCTGGAAGGGGTCGAAGGGCCGTTGAGTATTGCAGCTGCTAGTGAGTGGAGAAGGAATATCTCTCCCCTCTCCCACATATCGGTTGTACTAACAGTTAATAAGTTGTTGATCCCGTCTTCACCACTGCCAACCGCCACGAGAGTGAGGCGATCCTAGCCAGACTTGGTGTCCCCTTTCAAATAAACCTGTTCTCTGATGTAGAACACGGGTTTGCGGTCCGCTGCAACTTGGCAGAGCCCCGGCAGAAATTCGCCAAAGAAGCGGCATTTGAGCAGGCTGTGGCGTGGCTCGATCGGTATGTGAAGGAATGAGATTCAGAAGTCGTGGAAATTAGTGTCAAAGAAGATCCCACTATGGCGAGAAGCTCCATAAGTTATACACCATCGAGATCCAGGGCACTAGTGAGACCGCAGACCCAGTCTACTCTGCATGGTGCCTATAAATGTGTCATCTCCTGCAAAATCCGGCAGCTTCGGGGCTCCGATGGCGGCACGGAATGATACTTTATTAGGGATTGCAACAGATTCTGGACACTCCTCCACTGATTATTCTGAAGGTTTACCCTGGCTCTTTCCGGTGCGAGACCCAACTCAGACAACACATAACTACAACTACTTTTTCTTTGAATCCCGCGCCGACCTGAACCACTTAATTATCTGCAGCATCGGCTTTACAATGAGCAATGGAGGTTGTCCACCAATATCATTACCGCCAAGCACATGAACAAACATAAAACGATCCCAACTAGTATGTTCATAGGCAATTCCATTACTAGATCAAAACAACGTCAAGATTGGCCACGAAAGTTTGAATCTTCTGCTGGTCTCAGCGCTAACAAGGCGCCACTACCATCAGTCCAATGAAGATGGAGGGTGTAACATTTATCAGCCATTACATTTGTGCCTTGCAATCACCTGCCTACAAAAGGTTGCTGCGGCTAACTTCACCTCCTACCTTGGCTCTGGCGGTGCCCGCCTGAACTTCCTGCCTTTCATCGATGACAAGAAAGATCGTCTTCAGCAACTACACAGCCCGCTACCTCGGTGGCCACTTAAGTAACAAGCCCGCACCATCCTGGCCGGCGGCTCCAACAATGTCATGGCAGTCCCAATGTCCCGTGTCCTAATCGATTGTCTATCACCAGTCGCGAGGTCTGACCACCTACCGCGACCATTACTGAGGCAGCTTCTCCCACGTGTCCCTGTCCGCAAGTCGACGATCAACAAGTTTTAATGCTTGCTGGCAAAGGTGCGTCGAACCACAAGGTTGTGAATGCTCTCTTGGCGGGTAGCATCATTGACGATGCTTTCACGAGCTACTACTCCAGCTATCTTGTCTGATGGCGATGTCGGTGATATCCGTGAAGTGAACTGAATCCAGGTTAGGGTGTGCTTCCGTCGGGACTTGTCGATATTGGTATATGTTGAGACATTCACTGCAGCCAGGCAGCTGTCAGCTGATCCTTTGCCTGTCTTCCTGCGTGGTCTCTGACGACCACCACCTCTTCCAACACACAACCAACCACTCTCTTGAGATCAGATAGATCAAATCCCTATGTCTTTGACCCTTCGTCTTGACAGTATATCATCTGTTCAAAGTATTAGACCAGCATTGATCTGAGGCTCGGGTCGACTGTAGATGGTGAAACTCCTGGTAGACCGAATCTAAATATCTGGCATGAATTGTTATCGCGCGACGCGCTTTCTAAAAGAGGTTAGCCGTCCGCGTTGTGCTGTGCATATGACAAAGTGGATAATTTTATGAACGGGAATGCCGTGTCGCCCCACCTTCCGCTCGCAGCATACAAGGCAACTGTGGCGCAAAGGTGATGTAACGTAGCATTCGCAGGGATAGTCTTCCACTGGTCCCTGAAATGGTATCATCTTGGCTACAGGGGGAAGTCACTTTCGCCAAATAGAAATTCGTGATCCAACACCACCAGAGAGACTAAAAAGATACCTTGACGGCCAAGTGTCCTCACGGCACGGGCGGGTATGTCCTCGGATGAGGATTGTGCTCCCGTCATGTGAAAGCGGAGATGCGGAGATGCAAGAGCATGCACTAGTAATGTGAGTTTTATTCGAGGACGTCCAGCTCATCCAGTGTTTTAACTTGCAAGTTTATCTTACAAACTGTTGGCTGCTGAAGTCATTTGTTTTCTTGAGGTGTGTTTGTTATGCCACGTTCAAACAGTACCGGTTGCGGATATATATATCCATGCTATCTAACAAACGGCAGCACTAGCATTCGTAGTACCAGTTACTTCGTGGTCTTATTGTAGCATGATACTACTACCTTACCGGTGTTACTCAGGCTTGCGAATCAATTGAAATAAATCCACATGACTCGTAAGTACTTGTCCTAGGACAGGGACAAATTCCTCGGTAGTTTGCTCAGTTAAGCAATTGATACTGGCTTTGATCCACTGAAAGCACGGCCTGGAGGAAAGAAACTAACAGAATCCTGTTGATATCAACCTTGAGAAAAATTAGTCAAGACCAGGAAAAAGTACTAGGCAATAGCTTTAATATGTTGGTTTGGCGCATATATATGTACGAATCCGGTAGTGAACAACGAACGCAAAGGGGTATATTAAATAAAAGTCTATCTATAATACAAATCTATACATATATACAACCCGGTCATGAGGAAGCAGTAGCTCATGACCCAAATTAGGCATTATTGGCGCACGAAAAGCTGCTGCCAGAGCTGTCACTAGAGATCGAGAGGCCAGAGACCCACAGACCACAGACACAGATGGTAGCACCAATGCCGAACAACGCCAGGTTGGCAAGAGTAAGGAGCGTTTTGCGAACCGAGGTGAAGTAGTTGCCCCAGTACATGTACAGCCAGAAGACACCGGGCAGACCGACTAGTAATTATTAGTGACCGAGTTCAAAGACGAAGTAGAAGAATTTAGACTGTATCGGAGACTCACATGAAAACCAACTGGCAAACAATGCGCTGACCAAGCTGACGAGATCGCTAAAGACAGGAATGGCCTCGGCAATCACCCAGGCAATAATCCAGTAGCCCGCAGCGAGCCCAATCCAGGCACCGATACCCAGGGCACTGCGCTTGTGCATGACATCCGTGCCGCGGAAGAGACGGACATAGACGTTCTTGATGGCCACGTGTCCCAGAACGACACCCGCGATGACGATGGTGGGGATGGCAATGCCGTAGGCGACCTTGCGAACGACGATACCGGCAGAGCCCAGGGCGGGAGAGGTGACGTTCTGACCGGCGTAGCGGTAGATAACGGCGGAGGCGACCGTATAGAAGACGATCTCGAAACCCTGCAACATGCAGAGGGACTTGGGGAAGTCCTTGGGTTCCTTCATCTCGGCGATGAAACCAAAGAAGGCCGGGTGACCACCTGGAGAAGGGGTTAGTTACTCAGATGCAACCGGATGACAGTGGACATAGGAAAGGGAGACGAACAGTAGGCGAAAGCGATGTTAGTGACAGCCGAGAAACCCTTGACGAAAGAAGTTGAGCGGGTAAGCTGCATGGGCGGAGGGTTCGGATGTTCAACGGCGACACCAATCATGGTGATCAAGACGGCCGTGAAAATACTGAGGAAGGCTGTGTGGAAGTGTTAGCACAATATAAGGAAACTGGGGATGAACCCAATGAGATACTGACAAGTGACAGCCAGCCATGAAACGTTCTTCATGGTACGAGGAAGAGAGCAGGCGAAGGAAAGCACCAAGCCGACGACACCAAACACGACAGAGCAGGTTCCGTGGTTGGTAAGGGTGTTCATCATAACGGTGAAGGTCACCAAGTGACTGCCAGATGCAAACATGAAGAACACCAGCTGAGCAAATTCCGTGAACATGCGACCGTAGCGGCCACACAAGACCTCGCCGGCATCCGCCATGCTGTGGATGAAGGGGTATCTGGCCCGGAACTGTCCAATGACGTAGCCGGAGTAGGTGGCAATGATGCCCATGCCTACGATGAGGATGATGGCACTGATTGCATTACTGGTTAGCGACAGACTGGGCGGGCGACGTTGAAGGCACGCGATCGTATGCTACTTACGGAATCAGGCCAACCTCAGCCACGGTGGCGGGCAGAGACAGAACACCCAGGGATACAGTCTCGGCGATCATCACTGGAGAGAAAGGATGTTAGGTTACATGCACAAAGAGACAATATTGATAGCAAAGTGGAGGAGAGCATACGCATGCCAGATTGCCTATAAACGAGAAAGAATAGTTGGTTAGTCTCTGCCATCAAGTATATGCCGCCTAGTATCAACGGTCGGGTATAGTTCACGGGGCTCAAACATACCACCAGTCGAGAGTCTTATAGTGAACCTCTCCCACAGCTTCATTTCCAAAAGGATCCCTCTCCACGGAAGGCGTCTTCTCCATATCATTCTCCCACATGCCCCCCTCTTCCTCGACCCGGCGAGCCGGTCCATTCTCAATATCCTTCACGTCCAAGGTCGACATGGTTGCTCTTTAGGGACGGTTGGCAGGCTGACTCCACGAGTAGAATGAGATGGATGGAAAAAGTGTTGAACAAGCACCCGTCTCAAATCTCAATTCTCAGCGGCAGCAGCAGCAGCAACAACGACAAGTAAAGGAGTAGCGGAACTAAACCCAGGCACGCCCGCACGACGCGGGCGTCAACCATATATGGCCACGGCCTGAAAAGCATTGACGCATGGCGAGGAGGTTTTTCTTAGTTAATAGAAGGGTCGCATTGGCAAATCAGAGGGCGCCTCAATGCAATCTCTGCTGGTGTGACACAAACTTTGCCGCCCGCAGAATCCTGCTCCGACATCGGGCTCCTGCTGGGCCTCGCGGCTCCACCGGTCGCACCATGCAGCGTTCAGGCACAAAAAGACTCTATTCGAGCTAAAAAAACGTCCAGGGACCATCTAAAGATGATCGACGAACATCCTGCACTCTTTTTAGACCTCGATTGCACAAGATGCAGCAGCGGCATGCTGGTCCGGCACCGGACCTGGGGGAAGCATGAGGATCAAATTAAGCTCAGCCCCGGAAATACAACTTGCGTCCCCTCTTTTCCTATGCAGTCCGGCCGCCGGAGGGAGAATCGTAGCCACTAAACCTTATGCAGCGACGCGGTGGCGGATTCCAGGTTCCCCATCTCAAGGTTTTCCACTTTTCCGCCTTTTCCCTCGGCGTTCTTGGTTAGGGCTGGTGGCCAGACGGAGGCCTTGCCCAATCAGGTTAAGGTTTTGGTCTCTGAGGCATGGCGCCTGCCGATACTTCGGGGCTCCTTGGAAGCACTCCGGCTTGCCTCCCGTTGAATTTGTCAAACCTGGAGAAATCGAAGTTTCTGAAGAAGCCTACGAAGCCGATCTGACTCGTTCGTCTACAGCCCGGTTTGCCGACCCGTGACAGCTCCAGCCAAACTAGTTATGATCCCAATGGGCCTGGATCCCATTTTCCCCCATCCATGCCACGTGCTCCCATCTGGCGGATCCCCGGAATCGGCGGCGCTTCCCTTCTTGCCCTGACTCATAGCGAGCGAGCACTTTGCAGCCTCACGCACGATCTTGTCCGTGGACCCACCTTTCCCATCGGTGACTATATTCGTTTTGACAGTGTCTATCGTGTACCAGTGGCAAATATCTCCAGTTATAGAACTTCCCCGTCGTGACGTGCGCCTGACTCACACAGTGAGCCGATGCAAGGAGGCCATGGATTGGCAAGAGGCTGGCTGTTTCGCAATTTGCTGCTCGTTGGTGGACTACACCCTTGAATCCTGCTATGAGGGAATGGCGCATTCATGCACTGGACCGAGGAGTCATGACTCATGGGCAGTGCAGGTAGGTTACTGACGATATTAAGTTCATTCAAGCCAGTGGCGCTGCGGACAGTCAACTTTGAGTAGGAAGTATCACTATCTTTAAACATACTAATATCACCCCTAAAGCAAGAGTTTCACAACAGTGTCATCTTGAATCATGCACTGGAGAGCGTGCAATGTACATTCAGCTCTCACTCAAGAAGGGCGCTTCCACAAGCATCTCAAAGAGTACATGAGTATGTTTGTAGCTGGGTATTGGCTGTTTGCTGACGGGCTATCTGATGCAAATTGGGAAACAACGCTGACAGATTTGAGATTGCCCGATTAGGCCGTAGCGAAGATGTGGTGCGGTTGAGGTAGTAAGAAGCCGTCATGCTGCAGTCGCTTATACTTCGTGCATCAGATGCAACCATTATAAGTAGCCATTGTGAGCATGGGCCTCCGTTCCACGTAACAGATTAGCTGCTTCTAATCGCCGAATGATGTTTCCGCCAAGCCTTCCTTGTCGCTTTCGACCAGATCGTACCGCTTAAGCTTTTTACGTTGTCAACCCTGGACAAGAAGACTGGCTGTGCAATAGCCCCGCACTTGTTGGTTGTTAATGGTGTCTTTGCCTGACGTCCGCCGTCGGCCTTGCCTGTTCACCATGCCAGGCCTCTGCAACATCCGCAATCACAGTCTTTGTTGCGCAAGCTCCAGTGTAGTGTACTCTGGTCAAAGCTGCAGTAGTACATGCGCATATTATGGTGGATGGATGCTTGTAAATATCTTGGAATTGATAAATTTGGATCCTATTATAGACCGTATGTAGACCATATTCATAAGTAGTAGACTAACTTAGCTTAGAAAAAAACCCTGTGTATTTGCTGAGATTCCATCCACACTGTTCAGTGCAAAGATAGATTGGTCAATCCCCGGAATACCCCTCATTAAGCCGGAGAAAAGCCCAAGCTCGTGTGAATACAAGATGTGTATACATTGAGATTGAGAAGATATCTTGCAACTGCTCCAAGATGCAGTGAGCTGCCCCAAGCTCAGCCAGAAGATGCACATGAAATATCAGAAGAAGAGAATGGTGGTTTACGTTGAGTGCATGGAGAGCATAATCTGATGTCGGATGCAGCGGAGTCTTACACATCTGCATCACCTCGGACGTGGTAGCAAGTGCTTTTATCAAAAGTCTGAGTAAGTTGTGGCACCACGAGCGCTTTATTATTGACACAGGCTTACCATATGGTCCTGTCTCTGCTGAATAAGGGGGACTGTTGTCGGACTCACGAAGATATAAAGAGTCCAAAGATCGCTCACTCGAATAGCCTTGCCAGCATTCAGTTCATCGGAAGCTTAAGCATCTGTCCCGAATCAAACCAAATCCTGCCTAAGTATATCTACAGCAACATTCTTGTCCACGGACGGTCTTGCAAAAATGGAGGCGTCCCCCCTGTCCTGTGATAATGGCCACAAGTTCGTTGGTGCTCCAGAGGGAGTGGATGTGAGTGGTGACTATGGCACCCCCAGTCTCCTCTTCATCTACTACAACAAGCCGGTCTCCGACAAGCACCGGAAGGAAGTGCAGGAATTGAGACATGACCTGGAGACTTGGAACGCCTTTGAACTTGGGCGCGCCGAATCCCAGGTCAACGAGCTGATGCAAAAGGGAAACCTGCCAACCGACGATTACAACGAATCGCGCGTCAGACGTACCGACTATCGCAGCAAGGTGATCCAGTATCTGCGCAAGGAGCACGAATCATGGTGAGTCACTATATTCAGAGCCAATGCCCCTGAACTCGGTCCACTAACATTCCGCCATGAAGGCTGGTGGAAGCCGACAAAAAGGAATTTACCGTTGAGCTGAAGACCGACGAGAGGCACATGAACAAGAAGGTCGAACAGGAGCTGCGCGGGCGGTTGGAATCCAAGGAAAACCTGCCGGCGCAGTTTGGTGTTGTCTTGCGCATCATCAACCGCATCATTGCTGCACGCAAGCGAGACGACATGCAGCAGTACCATTTCACCAATGTGGAAGTGTGTGCCGATGGCAGGGACGATCCAGGTAGGCAGATATTTGTATCCTTTCGGTGACACACATACTAATGGTATGTCATAGTTGTCAAGTCAACCATGTTCCGGGTCTACGAAGAGGGTGAAGAGGATGACGAAGGATCTGTCAAAGTCAAGATTGACTATGTCAACCATCGCTGCCAGTTTAATAGGGAACATTGGGCCAAGGCACGACACAATGTCGAGGACTTTATCAAAGAAGGAGAGAGGATCCGCCGGGCCATGACATTGAACTTTTGTGTCGATGCCTAGGTAGCACTACCAGTAACTTAGGAAGCCTGTGTCACGTACAGGACTATGCGGATAGTCAGTGATCATGGATGGATTGAGCAGATTGGACGAACATGATATTCTTGGTGGGTTGAGAGAACAAATGAGCATAGTTTTGACAGAATGAATATGTTATCAATTTCGGGGCCAACATGACATATGGCTACCATCTTGAGAACATTCAGCCAATTTATTGTTGTAGCCATGCAAGCCTATGCCACATTGATGCTACCAAGGAACTGCTCAAAGTTGCTCCAGTCGAGACTATACTGCGTGATCGTCTGCAAAGACTCTTGCCACAGGCTCGGGCTATCCGAAGCAGTACCATCCAGGTTGCTGTTAACACTATCGACGCAAGGCATGCGAAGCTGTGAGGGCACATGGTCAATTCCTGCCCCCTGTGCCAAGCCCAACGGTGCGACTTCATCATTCTCACCTCGCTCCCGAAGTTGCCCGTTCGCGAGAACGGCTTCGTCGAACTTTTGAAGCACTGCATTAAATCTCTGCATTGTCGGACATTTCGCGTTTACTTGCATTATGGACTGCAACTTTGTCACCATGCACTGAACATCTTTCTGAGCTGCACCTTCAAGCTGCCACAAAGACTTCGGAAGATCCGGGGGCATGACCCACAGCCGACGGAGGAGCAGAACCATTCCAGCCGAATACCCGTAGAAAAGGTCCAGGCTAGTCTTTCCATTGACCCCATTGGCATAATCAAGCAGGACGAGAAGGTTAACAATGTGCATCGCTGCTGTGACGCAGCTAGACGCCAGGTGCTCAGCGCTCTTCTGCACGTTTTGGAAACTATCTCTCGGTAGAGTCCAAGGGTACTGCTGCTTCGGGTTCTGCCTTCGGCTCATCGAAATTACTGTAAGCAAATATGGCCGTGTAAGTTGAATAAGGAGGTTATTATAGGTTAACTGGAGGAGAACCGTTGGTCGTAGTTGGTCCGGTGGATATCCGGGGACGAACGCTTTCAGCACTGCCGCCGAGGGGGTGGTGCACGCATCCAAGATATCGGATGGTATAACGAGATAGGTTGGTATCTCAGCTTCCCAGGTTTTAAGGTTACTCAAGAGTAATATTGGATCAGTACATTGCGTATCAGCGGATGATACAGGTGAAGCAGGCCGATGCAAGAAAGCGATCGCATCGCGGAGCCGACTGACTTGTTGTTGAAGGTCGGTTGCCACCTGGTGATGGCTGGGATGACCGAGAAGGGCAGTAGCAGAGTCTTCGGGAGCAGGTCCCAGGGTTACCTCCCGACTGTCGATCACACTTGGGCGGCCCAAACATAAGCAGAGAAATTGCTCAAATGTAAATAACGTAGACCAGACTCGCCTTCTGGAGTCTTGTTCTGTTAGGCGAAGGCTCTCGTCGATATCGCTGCGATGCAATCCTAAAGCAATAGCAATCCTCGCAGCACTACCAGTTAGGGTCCACGCTGCATTCCGATCATTGTTGTTGTGCAGGAAGAGTGCCATAAGCAACAGGGCTTGGATATTGGAGACTGTACACGAGGTCAATAAGCCAGCCAAAGCTCCTCGAGCGAAGTTCCAGCAGCGAGACCTTAGCGTGCTTAGTTCATCGGCTTCGAATCTAGCGTCATCATCCAGGATCCAGCAGCCAAAGGCGAGAACAGCATGGATACAGGCCACCCAACCATCTTCTAATCCCTCAGCGGGGCCGATGGGATAGATGTAGGACTCAAGCTTGTTAAAGAAGTATCCCCTGTCCATTAGTGGGAAATCTGAATTTACAGAGTGAAAGAAGGCATGTATTATTGCCAGCAGACAATCCCGGGGCATTTCCTGCAGCTGTGCCTTGACAAGCGATAATTCTTCATCGCGTGCAACTGGTGTCATGTCTGTACTCACTGCTGACGGTGACAAGCGACTCGAATCTTGTCGAGCTTCGAGAGACTCTGTCAGAATATCTGCAGCGAAGCAAGAGGAAGGCTGTTGCTCCGATACTAGGCTGCGAAGATCCGCAAAGAAAGCAAGGGATGCTGACGGCCCGATGTAATGACTATGGCCACGGCTGTCTTTGACCAGCTGCGGTGGGCGCTGGCTGGTTCTGATACACCCTGGCTGATCGTTACTATTGCTAGCGCATGTCAGGGTCTGATAGGCGCGTTCTGGGCTCCGCAGCTCAACTCTCTGCTCATTCTCATTTTGTTGTGGAAGGTCCAGCTTGGGCATTTCATAGCCGGCTTTCCGGCCCAGCTCTAACAGAGCAGAAATACTATCAACGGGCTCACCCGGAAACGCCCCCTTAACGATTGCTTCAAGACAGTGAATCCTACAAGAGTGTTAGTCAGCCTGACAGTAAATCCAGGGAGGATCAGCACGGCATACCGATCGCGGATGGTCTCGACACTTCCGTACAGTCGGGTCTTTCGCTGATAGCTGGATACGCACGGGATGCCAGATCGTTGGCAAGCGACACAGCCTTGATCTGAGCCTCCGCGACGAATACATTTGCAGCGGCGCTAATACGTTGTGGTTAGCATAATTCTGACTGGAGAAGAGCCAGCCAGGCAGGGTGAGGTCGCCACTTGCCTTCCGGCAGGTGTCACAGCTCGCGAAAGTACGTTTCCGCAACTCATCAGGAACGCGACGGCTAGCTAAGCGTTTCTCCATACCTGAGCGATAGGCTATCCAGGAAGAATCGATCCGCAGAAAGCATATGAAGTGGCGGGTGATAGCCCGATTGAAGGCTAAGACAGCTCGACCGGCAAAGGGAGGGGGATCGGCGGATGCATGCACCCGGAACCTCGGATAGACTTGCATTCACTCAAAGCTTCTATGCTTGGCGTCCCAGCAGTTGTAGATGTTATCAAAACTTTTCCAGTCATTGGATGACAAATTCACTACCGTCTACATTGTCCTGTTCCCGGGTATCGAGTCTTCCGGTATGACCAGCGCGGACATGTGAACCCAACAACTCCTGCCATGTTTTACAAGCCGGATACGGACATGATAGCATCTGACCTAAAACAATTGCCATACAAATCGCACTGCCGGTAGACGAACTGTATGGAACCATGCCTCGCGTCATGGAAGTGATACCAAAGACTATGCAGGCAGGATGCGACCGCATTGTTGGTTGGACTATCAGCTCAAAAGCTGAAAGTATTGCCGTGGTGGCCTATAGGAACGTACATATCGACTATTTTCCGAAGCCCAGAATCCGAATCTTTAGAGTAGGGGATAGAAGCTCTCTGTTTGAGGGTACCGCACAAGAATACCTCACTTGGAGCTAATTCCAAAGATTACTTAAAGATATTATATGTATGAAAAGGCAATGAAAAGAACAAAAAAGAATAAAAAAAAAGAAATCAAAGGAAAAGAAAAACTTCTTTGTATTATATTTATCGTTAATAGAAAGCGCAGCGACATCTGCCTTCTGCCTATACTATGATCGGAATAATAGTGAATGAAAGCCTATCAATCTGCGTAGCCACTGCGCTGGAAGTTAACAAGCTGGCTTAGAGAAACTTCTCAGGCAATTGTAAAGTCAAATACGTTGCACCGCAAGTATAGTCTTCTCAGAGTCGTTCAGGGCTGATTAGATGAGCATAGCATCGATTGACACAGAAAATACCCGAAAAGGTTGGATGACACAGTGACTATCGATTCACAGCTGAAGCACTTGATTCAATTAACGGGGTCAAGATTTGAAATCAGCTTTGCAAACACCATTCCTATCGTTAAGAAGTAGAAAAAAGCTTCCCAGGTCAACAATAGTAACAAAAAGCACCTGAAGGCTTCCCTACCGTAACGCCTAGTCAAGCGTTGCCGGTGGGTACGCGGCTGAGAGGAAGAGTCAGGCATATTCAATCACTCTCTTTTCTTCGCAAAGTTCTCAGAGGTCGGCATCCACAGCTGTTGCACTTCCTGCAGCTAAGGAGCGAGAATCCCAAAGCAGCCTTGCTAGCGCTATAGCTATGTATACTATGCACATGAAAGCGTGACAGGAGGATAAGAGTAAGAAACAGCACTTGAAATTTTCAGTATCGAAAAGCTCAGTCAAGCGTTGCCGGCGGGCACGCGGCCGGGAGGGAGTCGGGCATATTCAGTCACCTCCCCATTCTTTGTAGGGCTCAGGTATGTCAACGTAGGGTTGGAACTAGCTATGATAATCGATAGAAATGCAAGGAAAGCATACAAGCGATCGGTTATCGCCCGGCCTTTAAGTGGGTGTACGTATCCATTCTTGTCTCCATCCACCGTTCATATTCTCGTGTCTCATTATACTGCTGCTCATAAAAATGAGCTATTGGACTGGAAAACCCGGATCATACTACTAAGTATGATGTACTGACCCGACGTTGCTAAGATACATCTGCTAATCCATAACCACATGTGGTGTTGCCTTCCGACAAAGATGATATGGCATTTGTCTTCTCAAGCTAGGTGGATCGGTTAGCAGAAGGCGTTTTTAACAGGTCCCAGTCTCTATATGGTAGGTGCGGCACCTCCCTGATAGCAGGCGAGAGGGAGAGAGCACGGATCCCACTCAAAACAGACTTGGTGGCTTGATTCGGCTGTGTCATATTTTGAGCAAAGGTCAGCTGACAGGATCGTAAATTTTCAAATTGTAGCAGATGAGCCATAGTGACGGGGCGCAAGCGTTGCGGTCTTCCTTTTTGGTATTCATGTCGAACCCGGATGCCTGCTTCCCCTATCCGAGGACTTCTGCCAGGACACCAACCAGTGCTGCAGGTTGTCGCAATAACTCACCCATGAGATCTTTCATAAAACCACGACAGATAGCTACTGTAGCATGGATCAGTGAAATGCCCTCTTAACACTACAATGTCTCTGAAATTTGAACCCTTGAACATCCTGATCGTGGGTGCTGGACTTGGTGGTCTGTTTGCATCCTTGGCTCTGCGCCAAGATGGGCACCGAATAACTCTTCTCGATGCATCTGCTGAATTCAAAGAGGCAAGAATATAATCGCTCACTTCTTCCTGGAGCAAGATTAGCTAATGCGCCCATGAATAGGCCGGTGCCGGTATCCGCATCCCACCCAACAGCACTCGCCTTCTACGCCGATGGGGGGTTGACTTTGACAAGATGCGAAAATGTGTCTGCCAAGGATATCATTTTCGTCGATGGCAAGATGGATCGACAATAACTGAAATCAAGTTTGAGGATATGATCGCTTGTCACGGTGCACCGTATTATTTGGTCCATCGTGCTGATTTGCATGCAACTTTACTAGCCGTCGCGATCGAAGCCGGTGTTGTCATTCATAAGAATCGACATGTGACCTCCTATGACTTCAGCGTTCCAATGGCTGTCACAGCAGATTCGGAGAAATGGAAAGCTGACCTCATAATATGTGCAGATGGTAAGACTTCATCATTTGCATGTTGGTCAACTGCTGCTGATGAAAACCACAGGAATAAAGTCTACAGCTCGACCGCTTCTAACAAGTCAGCCAGACCATCCTCGAGACACGGGCGATGTTGCATATCGGATCCTCATACCCGGTCAGGATCTACTGGCCGACCTGGATCTTGCCGGTCTCATCACGCACCCGGAAACAACGTCGTGGTGTGGGCCAGATGCCCACCTCGTTGGCTATCCTATACGAGATGGTGAGCTGTACAACATCGTTGTGTGTGCGACATCGAAAGGAGAGACGACAGATGAGATTTGGGTTGTGGAGGGCGATAATGAGGAGCTTTGCGCCAGATTCTCCGGATGGGAGCCCCGTGTGCAGAAGTTATGTCGTTTGACAAAGTCCTTCATGAAATGGCGATTATGCGACCTTCCGGCACTTTCCACGTGGATTCATCCGTCAGGTAAGGCTTGCCTTTTGGGAGATTCCTGCCATCCGATGCTACCGTATCTGGCGCAAGGAGCTGCCCAGGCGGCTGAGGATGCTGCCACAATTTGCAGGGCTCTGGCTGAGGATACCGATATCACAAGCGCTTTGAAGCGCTATGAGCGTATCCGCAGCCCCAGAGCGTCCTTGATTCAATCTAAGACGCGAGAGCACCAATACATCTTGCATGTCGATGATGGTGAAGAGCAGTGCGAGCGAGATGAGCTTATGCGACACGATAGTCCGTCTAGTCCGATCTTCTGGGGATACGAGCTGCGTCGAGAATGGCTGTTCAGCCACGATGCTGAAAAGATGGAAGAGGCCACTGCAGAGCCACGTTTGAGAACAACTGCTCTATAAGGGGTGGGAGAAACTTAGATTACCTAGTACTTTACTCAGGAAAACGTGGCGTAGCATTTTATAGCTGGAATTTGAAGGGATGTTTGTAGTTTGAAGATCTATCGGCCATCGGATGGCAAGGGCAGGCGCAGTCCATAACATTAGAGCCAAAGCATTTGATCCGGATATTGCCATGTAGTTGAGGAAACTGACAACATGCTTCCCATAATGTAAGTGCGGTCCGGGATTTCCAAGCATTGGCTTGCAACCTACCTTGCCACCTGCACTTGCAACCGACCTTTGCAACCTGGTTGACTGTCGATCACTTCTCCCTCAAGGAATCAGGAGATTCATTCACCACTTGCGGGGACCCCGCACTCGGCTCATCTCAGCCGGATGGCTGCTTCCCTGCTGTCCTTAAGAATGTTTCCCGGCTCGAGCATGGTCTTGATTAAGAGGCTATCTATGATTCATTTTCTGTCAAACAAAGGTGGAGGCCAACTTAGCAGACATAGCATCGTCCAGTATGACTACCAATGTCCCAGCCACTCGCAAAGTGGCTGTCTGCATTGATACCCAACACATTGAACTCGAAGAACGCCCCATGCCAACACCAACTGGCTCAGAGGTTGTTGTAAAAATTCAGGCGACCGGTATCTGTGCCACAGATCTGCACCTCGTGCGACGGACTATCCCTTATCTTCAACGGAAGGTAGACGTCTGTGGCCATGAGGGTGTTGGACATATTGTCGCTGTTGGGCCGGATGTAGATACTTCAAAATGGCACATGGGAGACCGAGTCGCCCACCGGTGGATATTTGATGTCTGTCTAAACTGTGATATGTGCCAAGGAGGGAATGAGCAGCTATGCGACTCGAGGAAGCTGAGTGGGAAGGATGTGGAGGGATGCTGGGGAGGTACTACCCCATCGAAAATCCACGTCCTACATCCTAGGCACCACTGAGACATTGCAGAATACACGATTGTCAATTCGAAGTATCTCATGCGTATCTCTGAAGATATCTCTGCAGCCGAAGCTGCACCGACCTTGTGTGCTGGTATGATTTAAAGGATCGCATGTGGGTGTGCCTATGCTAACTTGAGCCGGCATTTCAGGCACAACAGCATATAGAGCCATTCGCACTGCCGGTCTCACTTCTGGGCAGTGGATAGCAATCGTTGGAGCTGGAGGTGGGCTGGGTCATCTGTGAGATGTCTCCAAACGTGAATCAACGGGTCCATGAACGCTCACCTACTGCCAGGGCAGTACAATACGCTAAGGCGAATGACTTACAGGTCCTGGGAATAGACACAGGCCCAAGCAAACGGGAGCTGTGTAGCAGACTGGGGGTCACTTCATACATTGATTTCATGGAGACACGGGTATGCAGACTGCTGACCTTAGAGGAATGTAGCTGACAGGTATCCTGCAGGACTTGACAGCAGATGTCACTCGTGTAACTGGCGGAGGACCTCATGGAGTGATTGTGGTTAGCTCTAGTACCAGGGCTTATGAACAGGCCCTAACATATGTCCGCAAAATGGGGATTATAGTCTGCATTGGAATCAGTAAGCTACGATGGTACCTCCGGGCTACACCACGGGCTAACATTCCACCAGCACCTAATAAGATGCACTTCCCTATTGGCCCAGAATACTTTGTGGCTCGTGGAGTTCGCCTTACTGGCAGTAGCACCGGTACGATGGAGGATGCGTGCAAAGCACTGCAGTATGTGCGCGATGGCCGAGTCAAGCCTATGATCATTGAAGCCCAGTTGGAGGAAATCGAGGCGTGTCTGCAGGCACTCGAGAAAGGGGAGGCGGACGGTCGATTCGTGGTCTCGTTTACTTAAAGAGGTTACCGCTGGGCTCTACCAGTCATTCTTGAGTATATGTTTCTAAGCTGCCTCGTTTCGCTTTATAGTCCAGTATCTGATTCGGGTTTTGTTTTGCCCTGAGCTAACGTTTTCATGTAATTGTATCACGATCATTAAGGACACTTATATACAGAGTACCCATATCACCGCAAATGTAAGCTATACACGGATATCGATTCAATCCTCATCCACCAGACAGATAATCTTGCCGGCGTTCACATTTGACTCCAGACGTTTATGAGCATCCGATACATGCGTCCATGAGAACACTTTGTCCACCGTTGTCTTCACCTCGCCTGACTTGATATGCGGAAGGATCTTCTCACAGAATAGATCACGCAACTGTCCCTGATAATCAGCCGCTCGAGTTCTCAGCGTGGTAGCCATCAGCCAAATTCGCTTATTGAGCAGTGCACGCAGGTCAAAGTCGTCCACCTTGCTCCCGCTTAAAGCAGCGACCAGGACCATGCGAGAGTCCATGGCTGCTGAGGCCATGTTCTGGTGAAAATAGTCCCGTCCTACTAGGTCGACAATGAGATCCACGCCGCGTCCATTTGTTTCTCGCTTGACTACCTCGGAGAAGTCCTCTCCGGAGCGATAATTGATCGCAAAGTCTGCTCCAAGGGAGCGACATAATTCGCACTTCTCATCACTCCCAGCAGTAGTGAAGATCTTGGATGCACCGCCGACTTTGGCAATCTGGATAGCGGATTGACCGACTCCAGAAGCACCAGCGTGGATGAGTACTGACTGGCCAGGTTGAAGGTTACCGACTAGATGGACGGCCTGGATAGCTGTGAAGGAGGTCTGTCCGATCAGTCGGATGAAAACAAATGCGGTGGGGGTAACATATCCTACCTCTGGGATGCCAGCAGCTTCTTCGAAACTCAGCGTAGGGGGAAGATGCATGAGCATCTTCTCTGACACGGAAATCTTTTGTGCATACTGTATCTTGTCAATTGCATGTCCCTGCACTGTGCGAACAATCACGTACTGCCCCGCCATATGCAAGCCCAAACACCTTGTCTCCCACTTGGAAGTCCCCGGAACCTGTTGTTGTCAGCTAATGCCCTCGCAATGGCGAATAGGCCAACTCACAATTGGGCCCCTTCTCTTCCACTATCCCACTAAACTCCACGCCCATGATCTTCCCTGACTCAGGCAACAAAGGATATGGATACCGATCTTCCCTCTGCATTATGTCCATGCGATTGAGACCGAATGCCTTGATGCGAACCAGGATGCGATTACCCGTCGGAACGGGATCAGGCACACCCTCCTCGATGAAGAGGGCATCGGCATTGCCTTTGCCGTTTCTAACCCCAACGGCCTTCATTTTGACGATATTGGGCTGTAATGTGTGAACGCTGTAGAATGAGGTAAAACGCTTTCAATTTACAAGGCTATGCGACCGGCGCGACACAGAAATAATAGTAATAATAATGGCAATGGCGCATGCGCCGGATCGAACGCATCCCCGCTGACATCACTTGCGGGGACAAGACGAACAGTTTTGTGGAGTTGGAAATGGACCATGACTTGCCACTTTCCGACGCGGTTCCACAGCTCCGTCTGACGGAGAACAACCCTCCGTCTCTGGATCTGTCGCTCCGACTGGCTCACCCAGTGCAATGGCTGCTGCCACCGAGATTCTATGCCTTCTGGAATCAGGCACGTGGAGGGGGTATAAAATACGCCATTCTCGGGGTCAATCGATCGACTCGTCTAAGCATTTAATCCTGGCCCTATTTATTTGACTAACCCCGTTTGTCATACACGACTCAGTACCTCGATATATATACATATATATATATATATATAATAGCGCTCAAGGACATTCAAATCATGGCCACGACTACCGTCACTGAAACTGCCCCTCAGAACGGCAACAGCAATCCATCAGCTTCAACCAGCAAGTTCTTCGATGATGTGCACTTCCTCGGTGACAAAGAGGGCAAGGTCGTGATCCGTTCCCCTCCGACCTTCACCAACATTGAAGATGAGCGCGCGTACCAGAAGCAACATTTGGCCGTGGCCTTCCGGGTCTTCGCCCGGCAGGGATTCGATGAGGGAGTGGCTGGACACATTTCCCTGCGCGATCCCCTCAACCCTCGTCAGTGATCCTGTCTTCCCCCACAGCAACTAACGAGTAACTAACAACCTTTACGTTAGACCACTTCTGGATCAACCCACTCAGCATGCACTTCTCCATGATCAAGGTATCCGACCTCGTCCTCGTCAACGAGAACGGCGAAGTTCTCCCGGGAGGCGCCCAGCACCCGATCAATGGCCCCGCCTTCGCCATTCATAGCGAAATCCACAAAGCACGCCCCGACCTCAACGCCGCATGCCACGCACACTCCGTCTACGGCAAGGCATTCTCCTGCTTTGCGCGGCCCATCGAAATGCTCTACCAGGATGCCCTTCGCTTTTACAACGATTTGGCTGTGTACCCTCGCTACGGAGGCACCGTGCTGTCTACCGAAGAAGGAGCCCGGATCGCCAAGGCCCTCGGTCCAACCTGTCGCAGTGTGATTCTGCAGAACCACGGCATGATTACCTGCGGGAGGACAGTCGATGAGGCAGCGTTCCTGTTCATTGCGCTGGATCGGTGTTGTCACGCGCAGATGATGGCCAATGCAGCGGCCGGACCGGGGTGGGAGAAGGTCTACATCAACAAAGAGGAGGCGGAGATGACGCATAGAAAGAGTGGAAACTCAAGTAAGATGTGGTTGGCGTTCCAGCCGTATTATGATCAGGTGGTCAAGGAAGATCCAAGTGTTCTGGAGTGAGCTCATTCAGTTACGATATGATGTTTTCATGATGTTATGTATTTTATGTATTTGATTGAATGTCGGTTCGGTCCTGATTCCGATGTTTATTCGATAGTGAGGTCTATATACACGTCACTAATAGGGTACAACCCCGGTGAACATGGAGGACATGGACACGTCGGGCTCGTTCATGAACCCGAACAGCAGGTCCAGGTCCTGGTTGAAGTCCTGGAAGCCAGAGATGTGGTTGGCATGATCAAGTCGCGCAGGGCTGAAATCCAGACCGGGAAAGGTTTGGAAATCTAAATTTATATCTACCTGGAAGGGATCCTGAATAGCCGGGTCACATCCTGAACGCCGTTAGTGACTTTGGGGTTTGCTGAAGAGTGCGTAGGCTCCTTACCAGTCTGAATGGACATGCCGTTGGCTTCCATCAGCCGGCGAATAATCTTCGACGGCGCCGAGACGCCGCAATTGGGGATGGCCAGCTCGTCCAAACAACGTAGACATACTGTCAGCGGAGATGACGCTTCCTTGCGGCGAGTGCTTTCTCGGATGGCCGGATTGCGCGCATGAATGGTGCAGGCTACATATACCGCGTAGCTGAGCATGTAGTTGGCTCGACGCAGGGAGTAGGCTGATCGATAGGCCAGCGCCAGGCTGGTGATGTTGCGGGCAGCCGTGACACAACGCTCCCAGGAGTCCGCGGGCGGGTCGTCGGAGCGCAGATGCCCACTACCCATGAACGGACGATGGAGTAGAATGATGAGGGCATTGTAGGTAGTTAGCAGGATAATGACATTGGGTGCTACAGTGGCGTGCGGCGATTGGCCATCATCTGCCCAGGGCTCAAATCGCAGCTCCGCCGGCAATTTACGATACCAAATCTCAAGACGACGGTCAATCAGCTCCAAATGCTTGCGGGTCTTGCTTCCAGTGGCACCAGCCATGTAGAAGCGGTCAATAATGCTGGTCATAATTTTGGACAGAGAACATAGTTGCTGAAACACGGTCACGGAGTATATGCGAGTGGGAACGTGACAGCGGGCAGTATTGTCTGGCTTGAGGGGATCGATGTACGGCGTCCATAACTCGTTCTCTTCAAAGGTATCCATGAAGTCTCGCGACACATGCGCATCACGTAGCTGAATTGTGAAAGGACGTCCAAAATACAAGCTCTGGAGCTTATCACAGATGAAGGCTGCCCAAAAGACACGGCGTCGGACCTCGATATCCTCCGCACTGGCAGCAACTTCCTTGCAGTCCAGATGCAAGCCGAGGTCGTATACCATGCGCAGAGCAAATCCCGTGTAGAGCCAGCCCTTGGAAGTCTGTCCCCGGGCATTGAAGGTGCTGCCAAGCATGATTAATCCGGCAATGGTCGGGATGCTCGAATGCGTCAACAGCGACTGTTCTGCCAGTAGTTGATCACACCGATCGAAGAACCGTTTGCCAGCTGATTCGGGCCGCTGCGGATCTTCCCGCACCTCGACCCGTGTTGAGAACTTGCTCGAACAAGCGAAGACGGCATTAAGCAGAAAGTCCGAGCAGTACGGGCCGCCAGTGACGAGATCACGCATGAATGCCGGACGATATGTTAGCAGGAATGTGTGATGCTGCCGGTTCCAGTGCAGATCAAGCAGATGCAAAGCCAACTCGGACGGTATCCCTCCAATGGTCGGTAACCGACGTAGATCAGGCTCACGTTGGCGCTGGAGGGCGGCCTCGGCGATAAGTTGATATCGGTCTGGCTCTGCAGCAGGCCGTGAGTTGGCACTGTTGGCTAGGCCGAGAGGGCTCCGGGCATGCAACGCCGACGACGGGCCAAAGATGCCGACAGTGCCGCATTCGTCCCGGGAGAGAAAAGTGGTGGGATCGTAGTCATCATCTTCGGAGCTACTCTCATTCAACTCGTCATTTGGCGTACTGTACACGTTCGAGCTATTGTCCGAGGCTTGGGTGGGTTGAGATACCGGAGTGTCGTTGATATTAGCACCGAGGCCGGCCAATGATGCCGGCAGTTGCAGGACTCCGTCCTTGACATGAATAGAGTCAAGGATAGCAGTTCGAGCAACTGGATCAGCCTTCTTCAAAGCAATAATCACGTTTTCCGCCGCACGCCTCTGGCGGTGAGCGGCATTGATGAGAGCTCGGGACGGCCTGGAGCAGCAGCGTCAGCGCATGCGTGGCAAGATAATTGCAGCCATGGATGGCGAGAGGCGTCCAGGTGGGAAGAACACCTACCTCTGGCGGGGTGGGTCGACCACATAGACACATTGTCGATCATGACGCTGACAGGAGCCACAGGTGGGCTTCTCGTTGTCACAACGGATCTTGCGGACGCGACAGAATTGACAGGCCCGGGGGGTGGTCGGAGAAGACTGGCGCTTGGGACTCATTTCCGCACATGGCCGACCTTTCTCGGAGAAATAGACAGTTAGAAGGAGATGAGAGGGGAGCGGACTGTAAGGCAGCGTGGGCCAGGGCAGGCTAATTCAGAGACAGCAGGGGCCCGATAATCTGGGGGAGCTAAGAGCAGCTAGTTGGGGGCACAGCCAGCATGACGCAGTGTCACGATCTGACATTTGCGGGGAGACCGTGCAGGGAGGGAATTAAGCGACAAGAATTCCCGAGATACAGAGCTTAGAGGGTATAATGAACAACGGGATTGGATATCCCCGCGCTGTAAGCTGAGCCGGGGGTAAATGTTGAAGTCGAACTTAGGGCTGCCACTCAGTCCCGGTTCCTTCCTCTTTGGGACGAGGGGAAGTCCCGCTGACTAATTGCTTACGGCACATTGTGATTGGTCAATGGGTCACGGGGCCAACGCCATCCCACGCTAGCTGTTTACAGACTGAAGTAGCGGAGCATCTCGGTCCGTGAATTCCCGGCATGTGTAAGGCCAGCCTGTATCAACTGATCACAGCATTCATCCTCGATCCACAATCATCCCCACTTGCCAGACGCTCAGATCCCCAATCGCTTGAGACATTGAAGCGAGAGTCACAGTGAGGTAGCACTGTGGTTATGCTGTATCTTCTCCATTCAACTTCAAAAATATTGCCAGTGTACGCTGTCAGCTGCACGGGGGATAATGCCCCGTTGGAGCGGTCCCGCGGCAGTCCTTTGTACAGCAATGAAAAGGCGTCGTGGGGGTAGGAAGATGCTGACGGCCACCCTGTGCCAGTTCAATTATTTTTTTTGGTAATGTCGGATGGCATCGATGACCACAGCATATCTCCCGGTTACCCAAGAGGAGTGTCATCACACCCAAAACTATCAGGTACATAAACTCACTTTTGAGCATGCTTGGTACACTGCTAATTGGACCTCACCAAAGTCGAACATCTCATCCATGAACCCCTTGGTCGCCGGTGAGCTGACTAGGGGTGCCGAAGTAACACCAATGGCATCTGTCGCCCTTCGGACCACCCTCTCACATTCCTGCTACACCATTCATATCTTATCGAGTGCGCCAAGACATGCTTGCAACTGGCCGGAGATGGCGGGGATCGAAACGCCGTTCGGTCTATTCTGTCAGGTCATCGCCGCAGATGAGCTCGGAGACATATATACGGGAGCTGGAGTCTGCTACACTGGGCCATGTTCGAGCCGGATATGCGGTTCCTATCTTTCAACATGATCAATAACCAGTTGGTGGATGATGCAAGGCGGTTATAAACAAGGAATGGCATTCTATCTGACATGGCCGTGGTGTGGTCACCATGACAGTTGAGCAAAAGGAAAGCCGGCCAGTGCGTGTGATGTCCTACGACATGCTCAATGGGGCTTCCAAGCAGAGACTCGGTGACCTCGACAGAGTTACAGCCCTGCTGCCGGGTTCGCTAGCCGGTATCATGGGTAGGGGTATTACATTTACCGCCCACGAGCTATTCGCCTAAACATTTTCTCTGCGGTTTAGCAGAAGGCACAGGAATGATCAAGGACTATCTGACACAGGACTAGGTAAGATCTAAAGAATACATGCTATAGGAAGCATATCTCTGACCATAACTCAATGCTTGGGTGGGACCCCCTCGATCTGTGCTCGAATCGAGTCGGTCACCAATTCCTGAAGGCCCTTCGTTTCCCTCACGCCAATATCTTCGTTATCCCGGCGATCGTACAGGGTACCTCCCTCCGACCAGATGCGCCGGAGCGTGTAGACCGTAGCCACAGGGTCCTCCTTCTCCCACGCCTCCTTCTCTAATGCCCGCAGCTCATCCAGTGGGGTATACTCAACGGTCCACTTAACACCAGTCTGGCGTTCAAACTCGGCCAAGACATCGGCCGGCGTGGTAGTGAACGAGTTGACCTTGAGTGCGCGGTTGCGAGCGGCATCCCAATGTGTGAGGGCGTGCACGACAAACTTACCAACACTATGGCTCATTAGCAAACTCGAGATCTAGACGAGGATTTTCCATTCAAGGGCCATCATACTCTGAACAGGCCGTGAGACTGATTTTACCATGCTCATCCCCCACAAGGACTGCTTTCTTGGCCAATACATCGAAAGTGCCCGCCTTGGTATTGCGGGATCGACCAAGATAAAAGGGAAAATCCGCGTAGGGCCCTGTCACCACGTAGGCATACTCTAGGGTACTACGGACCTCTCTGAGAGCTGCGCGGACCTTCAGTTTCTGTTGGTGCGGCTTCTCGTGCTGTGAGGCAGGGCTGTATTCAATATCCGTGCCATATTCAGAAGGCAAGAAGCGCTTGATATTGGGAGTTTCGTTGGCCAGTTGAATCAGAGGGATCTGGGCTGCAATGGCGCCGCGACCGAGTGCGGAGATGACGGTGTCCACGCCTGGTGTAGTCGATTAGTTTTAAGGTGCATATGGGATGGGAGGGCGAGTTGCGGCAACAATGTACCTGCATATGCCTTGAGCACATCCTCGCGATTGCCAACATCACCAATCAGGATGTCGACTCCCTTCTGACGCAGAGCATTGAGCTCGTCGGGCTTGCTACTGACGGTGTGGGGGCTAGTGAAGATGGCGATGCGACCGAAGGAATCTCGGGCGTTGACGATAGCTTCGATAATGTACTTGCCAATGGTGCCAGTAGCACCGAACATAAGAAGATTAGACTTGTCGGACATTATGAACCTCTGGTATCGTCACAAGGTTGTTTGAATGTGATGTGGTTGCGATGTGGAAGTTGGCAATTTTGGATTTATAATAAAAGCCCGTCCCCGCAGCCCGGCTATCGATGGCAATTTCACCCCGCGGGCTCGGATCGGCGATCCGGCGATTAGAAACCGCATGGCAGTTGATCTCACTGTCAGTGCTCGGACCTATGTTAAATCCTATACTCTTGGAGTTACTACGTGGGATGATTACGGTGCCATTTCCCATTTTCTCCTGGGAGACTTCAGATGTTGTATTTCGGGTAGTTTAACTAATAATTCATTCGACCTTCAAGGCTATTCGGTAATCGGCTTCGTATGCGATAAAGAGATAAGAGCACAGCACGCAATGATTGATCGTGTCAACACAAGAAGACGTCATCGGGGTATTCAATCAATGAATGAACTACTGAAATAATCTGGCCGGGTTATTGACCCACAGGTTCTGCCAGGTTTCCTCGTCGGGGATCCATTCACGCAACGTCCGGATATGCCCGGCATCGTCAACCTTCCGAAATCCTTCCACCTCTTCCAACCGTTGCTGGTCAGTCTTGCCTTTGCGCGTCACTCCTAACTGTGTATGAGGCCAATCCGTGCCGAAGATAATGCGATCCGGACCGGCCTGGATCACTGCCTTCGCAATGGGCTCGATGGCCTTCATGCCGCTCTCGTGACCATGGTACAATCGCTCAAAGCCCGAGACCTTCACCCAGACTCGCTTTTCCCGGATCAGGTCCAGGAACGTGGCAAACTCAGCAAAGTTCTCCTCTCCGGGGAATGTGCCCCCAAAATGATCAGCCACCATTTGGATCCGGGGGTCCATGTTGCGGATCGTGTCCGCCATGGCTGCCCACGCACTGACAGGGCAGAAGATGCCAATAGCCCATCCCAGCCGGGCCAGCCGGTGGGCCAGTGCTTCCACTTTCTTAATGATGTCGTTGCCGCCGCTCTGTTTGCCGTGGCCCCAGGCCATCTCGTGCAATCGCGCCCCGCGCACTCCGGCGGCATGTAGTGCGTCCAGCTGTTCATCGGTGACGGTGAAGGGATCGATGGTTGCCAGGCCCCGGAGAGTGTAGCCGGGCATCTCTTGCTGCTTGGACAGGGTATCGACCAACGGGGCCGGCGAGGCCCCTTGCATGGAGGCGTGAACGATCACTATGTTCTTGCATCCGGTGATGACCGCCGGATACTCTGCCATCTGGGCGGCCTGAGGTGTATACGAGCGTGGTACGGCATAGGGGAACTTTTTAGGATCGAAGACATGAATATGGGTATCCCATGCATTTTCGGGGACGAGCTCGGCCATGGTGAGTGGGCGGGGAGTGCGATCAGGCCAGACAAACGTTCGGAATAAGTCTTACCAACTTGGAGGCAGGTGAGAACTGAACTTGCAGTGATTCTGGGCAGCCTGAGCTGAAATGAAGAGGCAATGGGCCATCCCAAGCGAGATATGCATGCACGACCGACATATATGTTGCTACCAGCTGACTTCGCATGGTTGCATCATTGGTTGGAGCTTGATGCTCCATCTGCCCGTCCCGGACCGGCGCCGCAGCGGTCGTGCGGACTATCGTTGTCCGTCGTGCCATTCTGTTGGATCCCAAGGACACCCAACCCCCGCAGGACGGCTGCTTCTCGAGATTTCCCCTGTGGATGGAAACTGGGGAACTGGGGGATCGGCATTTGATCAGACCACGTCGTGGTGGCGACAAACTAGTGGCCTTGGTCGCGCGATACGGTGAGAATGTCATCAAGAACGAAGGGGAATCGGTTGGTTGATATCAAGCATCTAGGGCTCGATATCGGCGAAGAGCAGAAACACCGATGGGGGTCAGATATTTCCGATCGGTCAAAGCTTTCACAGCCGACTTGCATCACTAGATCTGCTCGACGACCGTCATCGTGTCTGCAAGGTTATGCCGCAATCTTACTGTGCAACCGGTTCGGTGACCACCTGAGGCTGGCGATTGGCGAACGATGAGGGGAGAAAGACATGTCAAACCCACCTCGCTAAAGTCAAAACCGAACCAACTGCCAGACCCCTTCTATTGTGTCCTCCCCCGCACATCTAGGATTCCCCATACGCCAAGATGATGCCAAGTATGGCGTCCCAGATTGAGGTATAAACGTTGCCTCGCTCGGGGAGTTTTCGATTGTGTCCTCGACCACTCCCTCAAGCTCTCTGTCCACATTCACCATGAACATTCTTGCCACCCTCGCCGGTCTCCCCAGGGAGATTGGCTCTACGCTGCACATGAAGCCCGTCCAGGCGTTGATCTGGCTGGCTTGCTGGGCATGCTGGACGCTGGGCTCTCTGCAATACTATGCCCTCCCGTTCACTCTCAGCACCGTGGCGGAAGCGCTCGACGTGGCGGAAACCAACGTCTCAGAGGCCAACACCACTACGATGCTGTCCCGTGCTGTAGGGGCAGTCATCTTTGGTATCCTGTCTGATCAATACGGGCGGAAGATTCCCATGCTCATTGACCTGATTCTCATGTGCGGCTTCACTGTCGCCACGGGGTTCTCGCAGACCTTTCCCCAGTTGATCGGATTCCGGTTCCTCTTTGGTGGGTACTACAGATGAACAATGAGCGGGATAATTGTGCTAATGTGTCCAGGCGTTGCTTACGGTGGTACATATGGTCTCGCCATGGCAACGGTGCTGGAAGCGGTGCCGGAAAAGTCCCGCGGTGTGGTGGCTGGCTTCACGCAGCAAGGCTTCTCGTCCGGGTATCTCTTTGCATCTGGCTTGCATCTGGCCATGAGTAGGCTTACACTGTCCCCTTTCTTTACTCATTACTCACACTCTGGACAGATGGCTATGGTTGGCGCTCTCTTTTCTGGCTCTGCGCGGGTTTGACAGTCCCCATCGCTATCCTTCACGCAGTGACCCCTTACTACAGCGTTGCCTCTCCCGCCTCGCAGGACGAAGAGCACGCCGGCGGACCAACCCAAAATTCTCGCGCGGCTGTGGGAGGAAACCTTCCGTTCCATAAGAAGCTCGCCTACGTGCTCCGCTACCACTACAAGGCCTTCATCTACGCCTGCTGTCTCACTTCCTGTCTGGCTACCATGGGCCACGGCACCATGGATCTCTACCCGACCTTCCTCGTCAGCCAACGCAAATTGAACATCTTGGAAGAGACCTGGGTGACCTGCATCCTGCAGATTGGAGGTATCTTGGGCGGCGTGGTCGGCGGGTTTCTTTCCCACAAAGTGAGCGCTAAATGGGTGGCGGCGGGCGCAGGACTGCTGATCGCTCCGTGGTTACCACTATGGACGCTGCCCACGAGATGGGGACTTCTCGCCCTGGGAGCCTTCTTTTTGCAGTTCTTCTACGGCGCTGCGATCGGTAACTTGGGAAACCTGTTGCAACAGCTATGTCCTCATCCCGGTATCAGAGCCGCCTTTACTGGTGTCGCATACAACATCGGTAATGCAGTGTCGTCGATCGCACCGACGATTGAGACGTCGCTGGGAGAGCGGTTCCCGACTGCGGACGGGTCACCGGATTATGCGAAGACGCAGATGATCCTTGTCGGGATTGTAAGTATACATGTTTCCTATGCTTTACTTTTTTTTGGACTGAGGTTTGCTAATAGGCCTGCTATTAGGTTATTTTCTGCTTAGTGTTGACCTTGACTCTCATGCCGCTGAACAGCTTGAACAAGAGCTGGGACCGAGAGGATCCCAATGCCACGGTCCCTGCGACGCATGCAGAGATGGAAGTGATCGATAAAACCGATTTTAAAGCACAGGAGGCAGATGCAGAGAGGGGTGGTTCAACACATGTTGAGGATACCAAGGCTTAGTTCCATGCTTTGTTTTGTATGCTCAAGTTTTACGGTGGTTGGCGCTTTTGACACGTCACGAGGTGGAATGAATGTAAATCCCGGCTTCAGCGTTCTGAATTGATTTGATTGATAAACAAATGCGCGCGCCGGCCTGATGATGCTACTCCCTTGGCATGGTTTAGAGAAAATGCCACCTTTTCTTGTCCTCTAAAATGAGTGCAGGTAGTAAGTTGCTCAGGACCATGAAGGTTGGACCCTGTACCCGCAACGCTCACCCTGGTCGCTTGCACATGCACAAGCACTGCACAATGGTAGAAGATTTCGGCATTAGCTTTGCCCCTAGTTCCAGATCTAAGCGCTGCAGTGCATCAGTCCACCTCAAGGGGTCCCCGTGGCAGGAAAAAGAATGAGCCGCCTGGCGGGGGAGATGCAGCGACGGAATCATGGATTCACTGCGGCATCGAGGAAAGATCGGCGGCCCGGTGGATCAACCATGGAACGAGGGATTTAACGCTCTTGAGTATTGTTGAGGGGGAGTCGGAAAAGGGTGTACCGCAAGCGCTAGGCATGGGATATATTCCTGACATGTAACTCGTTCCGCCCTAACACAGGACCGCTGAAGCTGTTTACTGAACGAAGCTGCAGCGAGTCTCTTCATCGCCTTTCGAGGCAAGACTCTGATGAAGGGAATCGAACATGGCTCTGCTCTCTGGTATTTGTGAGATAATGTGAATCAGTAAGAAAGCCTAGGGAAGATGCCGAGAGGAATATGGCCCAAATTTTTCTTTTCTTTGAAAAGGACTGCGATCCTTAAGACGTTCAGCAAGCTTGACAGTAAACGAGAGGCGGACTAGAAGACCACAGAAAATCTCAAAGCATATTAGCTTGCACGGAGGTATTATTCTCCGACCCCATTCGCGATCTATACTTTGTTCCATCGCCATATTTCTTCATGGACGCATGTGACCTATACCCACCTCCTAACATCGATTCCGCACCTCATATTCCTCATTGGCACACAACGCTTCATGTAAATGCTGGTAAGGAGTTGTTCTCGATTGTTTATCTTCAAGCAACTCTTTGAGGATTGAGGATCCCGTTGAAAGTCTGACTCATAAACCGTCATAAGCGTTATGGCGAGGCCTAGCAGATATACCCACTGTATCAACTAGCACTAGTCCCAGTGTAATTACGGAGGTCGGCTAGAGTAAGTACACATCAGAAGCGTAGCTTTCTGGTCCTATTATGAGAACTAAGTATTAAGGCTCGGGATTCCAGAAGCTATACCGTCTAAGTACAGTAGAGTGGTGATAGCTTGCTGCTATCACAGAGGGTAGTCCGTGCAATATTTCTAAGGTTGCCTTACCCATATTCCAGCTGCGCTCGAATCTACGGGCTCGAAATTAGCTCCCATATGACAGCAATCTTGTTACGTGGGAAGGAACTAATTGGGCGGACCAATCTAGGGGTATCCTGACACTACAGACAGGCTTCCTGTTAGGCTGGTGAGCAATCATGAATGGTCCACTAGCCTGAGATGACGAGAAGTATATTGCTATGGGCGGCTAAACAATATATATTGCTTCGCGGTAGATTTACAGACGATATTGTCTCAGACTGTCTATGACCTGGGAAGAGACAGCCTGCTGTGGTAAGTGGTACCAAGTCTATCTTTCTCGTCGATAGCCCGATCAGAAACCTATGTCAATCCAACTACTTGTATGACAAAAATGAGGCTATATTCAATGTAATGTTATATGTACAGTGATGACAAACCCTGTTTATCTCTGCTCAAAAATTTCCCTTGAGTAGCCGACCCTTAACAAAATATTCAGTGCTGGGGCTTCCCACATTCGACGTCCTTCATACACCGAACCCCAAGCTAGCAACAGCTAGAGTAATGACAGGTCCTTAGTTGTGGTTGTTGCATCCAGTGACGTAGTCAATTTTGATCTGACAATTGTCGTTACCATTATCATCGTCCGTAACAGTGCCGCATATCTTACAGTCATAGGCCCTAATGTTGTTGAATGCTGCTTTCATCTGCTGGGTGGTTCTAGTGCACCCTACAGGCCCCGCAACAAAGACACCGCATCCAAGACCGTCAGGTGCACCCCAGCAAATGCCCGTACGGCCACCACTAGAACATGTTAGGTTATTTTGTCAGGAAATGGAAAGAATGGTTCCTTACTTGGTGTCAAAGACTAGACCTGGAAGCATAGTATCAACAGCCTTTGGCAGTATCCAGTCATGCCTGGGAAATGGCCACATTGGCTCGAGCCTTTGCAGTTGAACGAAGGACTGGCTATCAGACTTTGGCCAAAAGGAGTAGGGGTGGCGGTTTCCACGCTGTCTTCAGGATCCGCGGGAATAGAGGCCGATGATAAAGGCCGATGCCAATGTGGAGAGGAATGGGAGAGAGACAATAAGAAACTTCATCGTGATGTATTTGAAAGGAGTTTTTGGAGTCAGGAGAATTGCTCTAGATGGTTTGGAAATAAAAGTGACTCGAGGGTGTTTAGGGGCCTCCTTATATAAGTCTCATTTACTAGCCTTTGCTTCCACTGTCACCGAACTACGTGGCTAACAACCAAAAGCGGAGACACGAAAAGTGAGAACCTCCCTACGCGGAATACTACTATCATTAGCCCAGGATTAGGTTATGGTGAGTCAGACCATGTGCACTGCTCTAGTATTATTGCACTTGCAAGGGTTTGCACTAGTCTTTACTGGCCTTCGCCATCTACTGGTATTAACCCCCACGATGATAGTATATAGACCGTAAGCTACGCATGGGTATGCCTCTAAGAAACCTCCGCCAAGGACTGGAATGCTTCGATAAGAACCCCCCGGGAAAGCCGAGAAATTACATTACGGAGCTAGCAAACTTGTCTGCATAGAACCCTGTATCCAATTAGGCATATACAACTGATGAGGCAATAAGACATGACCCAGTAGCACCTTGCCAAGCGAAGCACGCTTAATTCTAGTATGAGCTAACGGCTTCCTCGGACGCATTCTTCCTCGTCTTGGTCGCTCGTCACTCTCGGAACTGAATGATACTGTCCCATTTTCATTTCATGAGCGCTGTCATTTGAGGTTACATGGGCCTAGTTCAACTCCAAGACTCCGGCAACTAAGGGTTGACTTTTCAATTATGAGAGTGAGATTATACTCTATGAACACCCTTGGAATATATGAGGCACTCAGCCGTGGCATATATTGCCTATGGAGAGCCAATATCTTAGGTAGTATTAAGAAGATTACCAAGGGTACTAAAGGAGCTGGCACTGCGCTGCCTCGACGTCCGGCTAGGCTGGCATAACCCAGGGTGGCCAGTGCGAATGATGGCATCGGCCGGCGTGGTCAGTCGAGTCTCAACATCTTCACCTTCTTCTTTGGCTTCGAACTCTTCCCTTTCGATTCGATTACCATGTGGTTAATCAGTACATGACTCCGGAACACGCTGGGTCGCATGGAAATCGTTAAGCATCCTTCCCAACATTGGTTCTAATCTTGCATCCGTATACTCGGTGTGAAACGTAGACATGCAACACTTACCCTTTTTTACCTAGTCCTTAGCCCTAGTAGAAAATACGAGCAAAGAAATATACATACGGTACTCAACAGAGAATTTAGATACTTGCTTTGGTTTACACTATTCTTGGTATCAAGAATTTTGCCGAGGTCCCCGTTGCACCTCTAGTTCTACTGTAAGGAAGGTAGTCCTTACAAGAATAGATATCCACCTCCTCCCAGTGGGAACCTGAGTATATAGGGGATTCTAGGGGTCCGCAGAGTATCTGCGGGTAATGATAGCCTTATGGTCTTGTTTTGACTCTTCCTCTTGGCAAGGTTCTGTACACCTAACAAAGAAGGAGATTATCGATCACTATACAATTCTCGACCACAAAGCTGCACGTTGCATGTCCTGGTAATACCAATTCTAACCGATAATTTCATGTTTGACGGATAATATTTCCTAGGGTCCCACTATGTTATGGGACCAGGCAAACACGTCGAACGTTATAGATTATTTTCGTTGTGGAACCAAGACAAGCACCCACAACATTTGCCAGAAGTAGTATAGTGGCCCGCCGCGACGTACAAGTAATTGCTAGAAATGGGGCCAGGGCTGACATTCTTTACAGGTGCGTCGAATGAGAAACCAACATAAACAGGGTGCAGCGGGCGTGAGATGTGTGGTAAATACCTCGGTCACTTGTGTACTGCTATTTGCGTCTCGGGGGGTTGGGAAAATGGCGAAGATAAATTACACTGAAACTAGGGTGAATTAGTATGCTTAGAGGTACTTTTTCACAGGCGGAACACATGTGTTAGATATTACATGGCAAGGGGTTCAGCTGAGCACGCCCTTTAGGGCATTAAGAGCCCCATGCGGCGCAGTAACCGTGCGTTTTATGGTAGGCCATTTGACTAAGTAGTAGTAGGGCCTATTAAGGACAAATTGATCCTTTCCCAAGAAGGAACCTGTAGTGGGTCCGTTGAGGGTCCGAAGGGTCTACAACAAAGAAAGCGAAGCCTCGGAAGTACGCCTCTATTTCAGTAGAATTGCTTAAATTGTGGATATCGCAACAGGCTTGAATTGTGCCAAGGATGTTTCGGTCAATCGTGCCCTATCCGGGTAATTTTATTTAGCGCTTCATGAAGTGATGTGATTTTATATCACTTGAAGTTGGCCAGCTATTGCAGGTGAGTAATCCTTCGTTACCACTAGCAGAGACGTTGTCTCTTCCCCCCTCTCCCCTACTAGGCACTGACTGCTTACCGTCTGCTGGGGTGAACCTCTATTGCTCCCTGAAATTTCTCTGTTCACTCGACCCTTTCAGTACTACACAACGAGAGAATCGCTGAAATGGGGCAGCGTATGAAATTTAGTGCCTTCCACATAGTCACTTTGGCGTTGGCTGCGGTTCTTGGGATCTCTATCTGGTCACTATGGTTAGGAGTTAACAGTGATAGAGACAACATCCATCCACTGCTCAATCAACTAATCCCCGCTGGCCACTGTGCTTGCCACACTGCTGCTATCTTTGAGTGTGACAGCTGTCTTCGATGCCCCGCCCAGTTGCCCTTTCATGACACTGTTTCCTCGTCCTCTGCACCTCCCACGCGAACTTTCTTTGATCCGCTTGAGTATTCATACAATGAGACTCAGTGCACCACTCTCTTCCCGGGCCTTTTTGAAGATCCCATCCGCGCCCAGTCATTCTGGACAGCCAGGCATGGAATCAAGAGGATTGATATTGACAATATCAAAATGGTAGACGGCATGGCTAGGGTGGCTATCTACCAAGGACGGCTTTATGTCCTTAGAGCTCTGGCGAAGGGGGAGGATCACCGCCGTAAGATTCTAGGGATCTTGGCTTCAATTCATCGCTCCCTCGTCTCGGCTCCACAGCTCGCTGTCATGCTAAACACGGAAATTATCTTTTCTGTTGAAGACAAATTGGAGGACGTTGCTGGACCAGATCATCCGCTCTGGGTGTTGGCACGGAAGGCTACTGAAGAATCTGTATGGCTTATGCCAGACTTTGGCTTCTGGTCTTGGGGCCACATTGATACTCAGATTGGGCCATATGACGAGGTAGTCAAACACGTGGAAGAGCACGAGCTCCCGTGGGACGAGAAAGAGAACAAACTGGTCTGGCGTGGAAAGCTCAGTTTCGCCCCGAAGCTACGACGTGCCCTACTCGAGATTGCACGGAATTACGCCTGGGGAGATGTGAAGGAGGTCGAGTGGAAGAACGAGGCCAACTACCTTAGCATGGACAAGCATTGTGATTACCGGTTCATCGCTCACGTGGAAGGTATGGGGTATTGCATCGTCTAAGCATTGCCAATATCGACGAGAAAGTCCAGCTAATGTCTTCTAGGTCGGTCCTACTCAGCGTCTCTCAAATATCGCCAAGCCTGTCGATCGGTAGTAGTGATTCATAGATTACAATATATCCAACATCACCACTATCTTCTTGTCTCGTCCGGTCCGCAGCAGAACTTTGTTCAGGTGGAGAGGGACTGGACGGATCTACCGCACAAGATCCAAGAGCTTCTCGATAACCCTATCAAAGCTCGCATGATTGCAGACAACAATGTGGATGTATTTCGCGAGCGATATCTGACTCCAGCTGCTGATGCATGCTACTGGAGGGCGTTGCTGCAGGGGTGGACCACTGCATCGCCTCAGATCACCGAAACTATGAGTGACCCAACCAATGTCTCTAACAAAGGCATTCGGTACGAATCTTTTTTACTGCTAGATCCAAGCAACATGATGCGCTTTAGGCCTTGAGATTAGAACCCTGTATTTTATAACTTCGTTGAATGTTCGAGTCGGTCCACAAGCTGATCTGGTGAGAGCGGATTCCTCCTATCCTCCGCTACTCCAATAAACCATATAGCCTTTTCCTAGGGCAACGTAATACATACGACGATGCGTTGTAGAGAACAGGGCCTCACCACCTGCTCAGGCGGGCCGCTCATACAAGTACTACTTTTGTGGTATACTAGTTGCAACAAGACTGCCTTGGGACGATCTCACCATGGTCTGTATTTCATTCAACTCGGTCTCTATGTATTCCTGCTGCGCCGCACTGAAGTTAGAGCTGTACCGGACACCGGGGTATTATAATGCCCTTTTGACCAGATGCCTTGCAGCCAGGTTAGATCCATTTGCGGACGGAACAACGTCGGCCCTGCTGGGGAAAGGCTAAAATGGAATTGCCAGGGCATGGCGAAGAAACAGCGTCGAGATGAGGAACTTGATGGTGGCAGCTGAATTAGCCATAGTGGGAACCGACTGTAGAGCTAATTTGATATAGCAATTGAATGTGTGAGTGAGTAAATTCAGCAGAACAAAATGATATTAGAGCGAGTAGATGTTTTTCTGTCTGAATGAGCGACAGAATTGTAAAAGAAAGTCACCTCCATGCACAACTCGAGGAGGCTGGCTAGTAAATGACTTTGATGATGCCTGCCTTTCCAGTGGCAGATAGGGCATTGTCTTGTTGTTCCCTCATTGCTATATTCTACTGAAAATCTCATCTACCCTTCCCCTGCTATCTCCGTAGGCTTTTAGTGTTTCTAGTAAATTATCAGTTTGTTACGGAACCTATAAGTATCCAATCTCCGAGGATGTCCCAGGCCAATTACGAACACCAGAACATGCATATTGCTCCTGGCGTCAAGCGGAAGATGAATATCTGATAGAATTAAATCAAGATAGCGCTGTGCGGCTGTTATCATATCTTATTAGAAGAATTTTATGTTTAACACAACCACATTAGTGCGAGATATTTGATTTATTAATTAATATGGACTATGCCGACACAGGGCCTGATAAGGACTGTATAGACCCAAGCTGAAAAATGGAGCTAGAGATAGAGATGAACCGGTGTGCTATTTTCTGAATAATTAAATTAACCGACTGTGCCCCCTCATAGCGCTCCTACCTGGAACCCAGTCTCATGTTGCATCACTAACAAAGCCTTGTGGGGTTGACAATAAGAACTCTAATTTAGTGTCCACCCCCCAACCACCTGGGGATCATTTGACGGATAAACCTCGCTGAAATTCATGATTCTTGGCAAGATGTCACGTAAAGGATTTTTCGATATGTAAAGCTAGAGAACACGCTAATCTATATTTACAATTACTTACTATGTTAGGCAATATTTTGGTCCTTTTTAGTGAATTAAAGTATTATTATAAGAGTCCATCACTGTCACGTGATTCATTTAAATTGTAACGACTTCTTGGGGTGAAAGTTGAATTTTCATGGAATGGTGTCCCAAAAGTGTAATTACACCATCCCTACTGCACCAACCTGGCACTAGAAGCTTAGCTCGCTCAGGTTTCTCAAAGGAATGGGAAGGAGCTGGACCATTAATACACTAGGGCTAGTGCTTATGCCAAGCAGCCAATCTCCGTCGGTGGCCGCGAAGTGGTTGATCGCCAAATGTAAGAGACTCTCTTTAGGGGAAAAAATCAATACAAGGCCATAAGGCCAGCGCTACCCGCAGATACTCTGCGGACCCCTAAAGTCCCCTATATACTCAGGTACACACACATACAAGTGGCTTGTAAGGATTCACTTCCTTACACCAAACGATCTATATTCGCAAGAGCCAGACAATTGATGAAAGGTGGAAAGACTTGAGAGAGTGAGCGACGCTACGGTTCCTAACTAGTATCATTGTTATGCGCATCGAAATGAACAGCTCCAGAGAAAGGGGCTACCCGTGGACGAAGATCATCTACTCAGGGTAATATCAAAGCCGTCCGTTATAGTAGGGAACAGGCTTTAGTGCATGTTTGCCGGACTGAGATAAGAGATATACTGTGTGCGGACTTTGCAATATAACAGATAATAAATATATAATAGTTACTGCTCAGCGCTTTGTGTGCCCTTTCTTTAGTATAAGTAGCTGTGGGGTCCTGCTTGGTAACTGGTCTATATAATACTGTATATTATTTAAAATATAGATTTTCTGATTTATAGATCAGTATTCTGTTGAAGTAATATTTATGTTTCTAATTATTATGTAGTAGCTGAGTATAAAAATATATATCAATAAGAAAATATTATTAGATTTTTTATAATATGTTTAGACATGGCAGGGCTCACCTGCTGGTGCCGGGCTCACCCGGGCCCGCTCGTACCCGGGCTGAGTCAGATCCTGCTAAGACCTGCGGGTTCATAGCTGCTAATCCAGGCTCGAGTAGGTAGAATATCTTCTTCCACCTACAGTTAATATTTTCTATAATTTTCTGAATACCTCTCTGGTTCCTGTTTTCTAGCATCATCAAGCATTAATATAAGCTTCGTTTCTAGCTGTTCAACCAGCCATACTGCTTCGTTTGACTCTACGGACCTCGTGTCTCTCAGTATAACGTAACCCACGGTTAAACGGCCCACACGGTTAGGCGTCCCAGCATAAAAGATCCTTTTTGAATATAAGATATCTTAACCATCAAAAGTCGAAGAGATATGAATTTTGATATATAAATTTAAAAGAGTATAAAGAACCTTTAGCTATATTCTAAAAGTCTTATAAATATGTATAATAGATTATTATAATATAATATCTGTAATTTATATGTATCATATAAAAATAAGATCTATTGATATAAATAAAATTTTTATAATCTGAAAGATGTATAGAATATATATTCTTATATATATAATCTATCTATAATATTAGAACTACTCAAATACTGTATTTGTGGAGATATAATAGATTTAAAAAAGTATCTTTTATATGGGATAGTAGGATGGGCCGCCTAACCGTGTGGGCCGTTTAACCGTGGGTTACGTTAGAGCTTCTTTTGGACTCGCAAGTTTTATAGGACAGCACAGAGCAGCACATTCCGACGGATGTCTTATCTCCGAGGAAATCCCCGAGTCTTTGATCTCCGACCTGCTGGGGATGTCTTCATCTTGTATTAAAGGCTGTCCAGAGAGCAGGGGTCAAACTGCTATTTTGACCAGGAACTAAGCATCACACTAAGATATCCCGATCTGTCCAATGACGGTCTCTCAGGAATCCCGACCGCTGCAGGTCCTCATCGTCGGTGCCGGCATTGCGGGGTTGACGGCTGCCATTGCTTTGGGCCAGCAGGGCCATCACGTTGTGGTACGTCAACTGCTTCTATAGAAACATCGACCCCAAAAAGATATACTGAGGACTACAGATTATCGAGAAATCCAAGTTTTCCCGCGAGACGGGCGCAGCCATCCATGTGCCTCCCAATTGCACCGCTCTGCTGAATTGGCTGGGCATTGACCCCAAGGACTTTGGTGGCACTTTGTTGGAGCAGGTATACCTAGCACTCCTTGATATATGCGCAGGTGCTAAACTTACAGATTCATCGATATGACCATGTCGGCAACTTGAAGTACCTGAAAGACTTTTCCGAGATCCGGCAGAAATGGCAGGCAGTATGGCCCCCATACAAATCTGGAGAGACGAATCACACTAACAACCCAGGAATGGTATCTGGTCCATCGAGTCGACCTACACAACTACCTCAAGCAGCGCGCCATCCAGACAGCCACACTTCACATGGGCTGCAAGATCGTCAATATTGATCTCGATAGCCAGCGTCCATCTGTCACACTCGACAACGGCGACCGACATGAAGCGGATCTGCTACTCGGAGCTGACGGTCTGCACGTATGTACTACTCCTTGCTGCTGACGATAAAATGTCTACTCACCGTATATAGTCTGTCGTCCGGGAGGTGATCGGACAGACACCCCCTCCTCCCTTCCCGGCTGGCAAGTCGTGTTTCAGATGGCTTCTGCCGACGGAGAAGTTGCGCCATCTCCCTGCCACCCAGAATATCGTGCGCGATCCCGGGGTGTTCATCGAATGGGCCGGCGGAGATCGCCGACTCGTGGCTTATCCCTGCTCTGACAACACGATGTTCAATCTTTGTGCATTCCTTCCCACTGCCGAAGCTGGTGATGCCGCCGAAGGTATTTCCCGCCCCCCCCCCTAACCGTGTCGCTTGAATTTGTCCATAACAATTATCGCAGGCTGGCAGGCGGTCGGCAACAAGAGTGCTCTCGTTGATGGATTCTCCGAATTCAGTCCGGAAGTCAAGGAGCTTGTCCACGGAGCGGACGAGAATCTCAAGGTCTGGGAGCTGTTCGATATGAAGTCTCTCCCATCGTGGGTTAGGGGATGCTCCGCTTTACTGGGTGATGCAGCACATCCTTTCCAGCCCTGTGAGTTCCTCGCTCCATCGCTGTCGGCACATAACCTAACGATAGCAGACATGGGTCAAGGAGGCGCCATGGCCATTGAAGATGCGGTTTCCCTAGCGGTATTGCTCCCAGCTGGGACTCCCGTGAACGAGATCCCGGCTCGGTTGGCCCTGTATGAGAAAGCAAGACGGTCACGTGTTGACTTGGTTCTGGAGTACACACGCATTAATGGAGTGGATGAGAATGATACAACTGCCAAGCGCATTACTGGTGAGTTTATCGCCACTTGTTGACGAACGCAAACTGACGACTGCAGCTGCCGAGATGGTCAAATTCATGGGCATCTGCTTTTCGCATAACGAGGTCCAAAGCTCCGGGGCGCTACTTGCTTCTCAATAGAACAATTGCCGGATGGTTTGTTTGCGTGCTGGTTCTGCGTCACAGCCTGCGACTGCAGACTGTATTTGCCACTTGTCTTGGAGAGATTAGACGGGGTTGTAAATAAAAAATATAGGAGTCGAATCATAGTACTAGACATATTACCCAGTTGTACATATTTTCCTTTCCTCTGCCTTTAAATGTTACTGGCTAAACTCGTTGTAAAAAGTCTCATTCGTGGTATACTTAGCAATAGCCCTCTGGATTCATCAAGTTACTACTGGTATTCCATAACGGGGATCAATAGCTTTGCTCCCGCAGATATATATTCCTGGCTAGAGAATGTACCCTCGCCCATAATTGTACGCCAAGAACACCAAAACTTGACGTAAAAAACATCCCGTAAGGCTCAAGCGTGCATATATACCGCATCTAGTGTGCAGATGAAGAAGTGGTTGCGAGAAGCATCATGCTGAAGATCGTCGGATGCGCCAAGCACTTCGCCAGAAAATTTTCACGCCTTATCCAAGACAATCTCCAGCGAGAGCCACTCTCCACCATTCCCCTTACGACGTTCAGATATACTAGTTCGATTATCAAAACCATAAAAGCGCACTCTCTACACAAAACCATAGATACTGCAAGGCCCCCTAAGCAACATCAGACAGCCATCTCTGCAACAATGGCGATAGACTCCGAGCCCCTCCGCTTCGCCGATGTAAGCCCAACCACAGCACAACATACCCACTCCCAACTAACAAGTACCAGGTAGCGGTAACCTACACGGCGGACCAATTCCAAGGAATCTACCGCGGCAAACAATACCATGCCCCGGACTTCGGAGAAGTTATCCAGCGGGCCAAAGCCTACAACTGCGAGAAAATGATGTTGACGACCATGAACCTGGAGGGTTTCCATCGCAACCTGCAACTTGTCCGCGAGCATCCAGAAACATGCACCCTCACACTAGGCGTGCATCCCTACCACGCGGCGGAAATATACACCTCTACCAACGAACCATCCTATCTCTCCCAGATCCGCGAACTAGGCCAATCCCTCCTGCGCGAGGAGAACTCCCCGCTCGTAGCATTCGGCGAGATCGGTCTGGACTACGAGTACCTCGACCGCGCGGACAAGGAGACGCAGATTCGCGCTTTCAAGGATCAACTCGAGCTCGCAGTGGAGTTCCAGCTCCCGCTGTTCCTGCATGTTCGGGAATCCTGTGCCGATTTCATCGAGATCATCCGTCCGTATCTACCCCGGTTACCCAAGGGCGGGCTAGTTCATTCCTTTACTGGCTCTGTGAGCGAGATGCGGCAATTGACTGATGAGCTGGGACTAGATGTCAGCGTGAACGGGGTATGTTTCCGGACGGAGGAGCAACTGGAGATGGTGAAGGCGATTCCCCTGGACAAGTTGCAGTTGGAGACGGATGCGCCGTGGTGCGAGGTGCTGAGTGCGGATGAGAAGATTGCACCGTTTCTACAGAAGGCGAGGGAGATGCCGCCGGTTAGGAAACATAATAAGTTCATTCTGGGACAGATGGTGAAGAATCGCAATGAGAGCTGTTTTATGGAGAGGGTGGCGATGGTGGTTGCCGGGGTGAAGGGGATTTCGGTGCAGGAGGTGGCTCATGCGGCGTGGAAGAACAGTGTCAGGATGTTTGGGTTGGGGGTACGACAGTAGATCAGCTGCACCAGAAGAGAGATGTGTTTGTATATAGAGCAGGATGTGTATATACTTGAAGTCACTAGACAGGGACCACCGTATAGACCCCTCCAGCGTCCGTCTGTATGCCTCCCGTATATCTCTCCCCGTTGACTGTAAACTCCGAGCCACCCTGAACACGAATTTCCAACAAGCTACCGCTTCGCGAGGTGATTCTCGCCTCTGTCAAAACACCTCCTGACCATTCCATATCAACTACAAAGTTCCCCCTGGCCACCAAACCAGACACATGTCCCGTTGGCACAGCGGCTGGCAGCGCCGGGAGCAAATGCACAACCTTGTAGCTCTGCAGCAGCATCTCTGCGATCCCAGAGGTGAACCCGAAGTTCCCATCGATTTGAAACACCGTATCCGGACCGGAGTCGGTGTTCCACAAGTTCGGACTGGGAAACCTTTGCAGATAGATCTGCGTATGGTTCCAGACCTGGTCGCCGTCAAACAGCCGCGCATACAGATTCATTGTCCAGGTACGCGACCAGCCCGTGCTTCCGCTGCCATGGGCGATGCGCCAGTCCAGGAACGCCTTGGCGGCTGTGGCTAGCGTTTCGTTGACGAGCGGGGCCATCTGGTCGCCTGGGAAGAGACCGAAGATCGGACTCATGTGCCGATGACCTGGGTCGGATTCTTCGTAGTCCAGTCGCCATTCTAGGATGCGACCGGAGGAGCCGATCTGTGGTGGCTTGATCTTTGCGAGATAGGATGCAGCGGTGGTGCAGTCTGTGTTGTTGATTGCCAGCACGTCGCAGGTTTCAATGACAGCTTGGAACAGCTCATGGAGCAGGGAGTTGTCCATTGTCGGGGCAATATCTATACCCTCTTCTTTACCCGCTGTGGTCATGTCATCCGGCACGATGTAGGAGGCTTCCGGGGACAGCGATGGCCCAGTGCTGTAATAGCCCTCGAACGGGAAGAGATAGCAGTAGTAGAACCTCGCAGCACTCTGCAAGAGTGGCCAGATGCGGTTCCGGAGAATGGACTCATCCCGTGAAAATCGATAATGCTCGATCAGATTAGCCGACAGCCATGCTCCACCCATAGGCCACATCGTCCAGGTTGTGCCATTATCGACGGGGGCTGCATCGCCCCAGAGGTCGGTGTTGTGGTGAAGGACATACCCGCCGTTGCTGCAGTGGTACATGCTTTCGGCTACATCAAGCCCTCGGTCATGCACGACATCCAGCAGATCAATGAACGGGGAAAAAGTATCAGCGAGGTTAGTGACCTCTGCCGGCCAGTAGTTCATTTCGAGATTGATGTCGATGGTGAATCGCCCACCCCAGGCGGGATCGAAGTCCTGGTTCCACAGCCCCTGTAGATTGGCCGGTAGGGCTGGTGACTCGGTGGCGCGCGAGGAGGCGATCAATGAGTGCCGGCCAAAGTGGAACATGAGGGCGACCAGCTCCGGGTCGCTGTCAGGATCAGTGCGATAGTTCACCAAGCGGCTGTCGGTGGGCAGGTTGCCGGCTGAACCAGAGGATCCCAGGTTCAGGTCCACTCGCTGCGCCAAAGCGGAGTAATCGGCGATCGCATTTTCCTTGACGGCGACAAAGCCAGAGCTGCTAGCACTGTCGAGCTTTGATTCAATCCCTGCTTCCCAGTTTTCTTGAGCTGAATAGCGATAGGACGTTTCGGTGTCGATGAAGATGTCGATTGTCGAAGCGTTCCGGACTACGAGGGATGTGCCATTGCTTGTAGCCCGCCCTATCAAAGTCAGCGTGTCAGGTACAGATTAGATCGCTCTACTACGGACCATCAGAAACGACCCTGGCCTCGGCCGTAAACTGAATGGGGTTCGAAACGTTATTTGAGTAAGCCCTGAGCGTCAACAACCCCCCGTCATGCGAGATGGTTGCATTGTTGGACACAACATATCGATCTCGAACCAGCGCAGAAGCCACATTCAAACCTCCGGGCTCGCTCGACGACAAGCGCACAGCGACTACATTATCCGAATAACTCGCCAGATACTCTCGCCTATCTTTATCAGCCAATATCCGCTTGAACACACCAGAGAAACATACCTATACCGCACAGCTCGATAAGTATATTCCACCACCGCCACGCCACTCCTTAAATCCAGATATCGCGTATAGTTACTGATTCCCGCCTCGTCATGCCCAAAATCCAGGACCAACGACCCCAGCGCACTGTAAGACTGCGGCGAATCTGGGATGCCAACCATATTTGCTAGAGTAGCATCATTCCCCTCCGTCATGTTCCCCTCTGCCAGGAGCGACCGGACTGGCCAAAGGGCATCATACGAGCGGGGATTGACGCGGTTGATGAACGGGCCACTCCAGATGGAATTCTCATTGAGGGTGACATTCTCGGTCGCGGTACCCCAGATGGCGGCGCCTAGTCTGCCATTACCAATGGGGAGGGTGGAGGTGAAGTTGTTGGCCGGGGTAGTGTACCAGGAGACGTGGGAGGCGTCGAAGCTGGCGAGAGCCAGAGGAATGGCCGCTACTAAGGCGTTGTAAAGCAGGAGTCGCATCGTGAGCGAAGTACCGGTGGAGGTGGGAAGAATTCCATTGACGGGTAGGAGATGAAGAGTATATAGATTAGCCGTGCAATTATCCGGGAGTGGAGATGACTGAACATCGAAGCAATCACGGTGCATGAGGATACAGAGAAATGGTGCAACGGAATGACAGGGATTGACGGAATTCCACAAATCGGAGACATAAGAAGCGGCGAAGACGCGCCCTGATCGGCAGCACAATTAACAATCTGACTGCAGCATGATCCTTTTAACCCACCCCAGATTTATCCGGCGGTTTCCTGGCTGCAGATGGTACAATCCATCAGAAGCAAACCTGGATCAGCCTGCGAAGCAATTTGTGCAAATGACGAGACTCAGCTTTGAATTGACACCAGGGTCGCTCAAATGAGGAAACCACGACAAGGTGGAACGCTTTCATATAATAACTTTTGTTTACATTGTGTTTGTTAATTACATGATCGGTATGGCCAGAACAAGAAACCCATTTTCCAGGTCAGGTACTTTCTTCCTCTACAGGGCCTGAAGTAACATCCAGACCATATGCGGTGTTGTCTGCCTGTCCCTCCGGACGGTGCTGGGTTTTCTCGCGTGTGTCGACCCCCAGCCACAACAGATCAGGGCGGCTATAATGGCCACAGGCATCAACAAAGTGCCGGCACGTCAATATCATATCCAGATCCAGATCTGCATAGACGAATCCTTCTTCATTAGCGGGCAATGGCTCCGTCAGCCGGCGCCCATCGGGAGCGATGACAGCGGACGCGCCTCCTCCCAGGGTATCCCACGGCGGAGACAAGTTCATCTTCTTTACGCATGTGGGACCCAGCACGGCGGTTGTGAGCAGGACGAACGATGCCGACTCAAGCGCATACACCTGGGATGCACCCGTTCCACCTGAGGCCCATGTCAGCTCTCCGCGTTAGATCTCGCGTGTCATGAATGGGGTCTTACCTTCCTGTGACATGCCCCAGAGTGACTCGCCCCCCATATGAGGATGCAGAACAGGCCAGGCCGAGACATGAATTTCCTCCCCTTGGATCATGGTGTGATATTTGAGCAGCGGCTGGATATGTTCCCAGCACGCGAGCGCACCCACTTTACCAATGGGCAGATCCGCCACATTTAGGAGACTCCGCCCGGAAGATTCTCCGAACACGGTGCGTTCCATGTGAGTGGGTTTCATCTTGCGCCGGCGCATCACAATCTTGCCCGTGGAGTCGATGGTGCACTGGCCGATGTAGAGGGAGTTGCCATCACGCTCGGAAAGGCCGAGGACAACTGTGATCTTGTGCTGGGCAGCGGCATTGCAGATGCGACGCATGTGCTCCGAGTCATATGACAAGGAATTCTTGAGGTAGGTGGTGAACAGGCCCATGTCGACGGGGCGACACCTGCCCAATGGTCAGTACACGGTCGCGGACTGGCGAGGGGGATGAAGCCATGCTGACCAGATCCATGCTGGATACCCCGGGAGCCAACATTCGGGGAAAGTAATCAGCTGGGCGCCATTGCCGGCCGCCTCGGCGATCAATCGGCAGGTTTTATCGACGGTGGCGTGCAGATCCAGCCAGACGGGCTCGTGCTGGGTGACGGCGACACGAACCTTGGTGGAAGCTGACATGGTTGCTAATAAAGAGGTCTGTGCGTTGTGTTTGGTGAGAAGATTGATTTTGAGTGAACTGTTCAAGTCAAGCGTGAGAACACCAGATCTTTATATGATGCTGAGTGTCATGCGAACAAGGTTGAAGGGATGAATGGCCAAATGGAGGTCAAAGCGAGATGCTGAAAGGGACTCGGGCAGCAGAATACGATCAGAAGTGTGTGTCTACGCGAGATTGGACCATGCTGGAGAGAAAGTTGAGGCTCGCTATAGGCCCTGGGAAAGAGCGATTACTACTACTAGCCATCTACATGGTCGTGGAGATGAAGATAGGGGGGTGGTCTATTCACTTACTTAGTATTCGGTTGGAAACCACCCCATCCGAGAGATTCCGATTGGCCCGATCGCGAAGAGCAGTGAAGTCGAGGCAATGAAGATGGATGGAGATGCGGCGCAGCTGCTTTTTAGGGGATGGGGTCCGTCGTAGTGGGAGGAGTGGATCATCTGAATCTGACACTCTATCCACTTCGCTAATAGCCCCCCCCCCTGGGAATGAAACATTGTGTCCAATAACACTGCTCTCTTCTGATCGAGATAGGACCAGTACGGTCGGGGGTACATGTCATGGTGGTGGTTTACAGTAGAGGCTACGGGTCTTCCAGGGCGAAGTCTTGCCCTCACTACCTAAGATGTGAATACCTTAGGCTAACTAGCAGGAAGGAAAGATGACTGCGAGAATACTTACGACACTCTGGCATATTATTTTTAGTGAGGAAGAAGAATGGATCCATTTGAGGGACGGAAGATAGAGCCACGCACCTCGTGGCCAATCAGGTCACGGGACCCAACGGGATTCTTGGCCCCTTCCAGAATTTGACCAGAACCGAACCCAAGGGATGGCCAGGATGCCTACTACTTCTCCTCGGCCAAGTACATGCCTCACTCCCCGACCGCGCTAGAACTTTCGATGGCTGAAAAAAGAACTGCCCGTGTAACGGATACTACCTTTCCATGATAGCATCATTCGAGATCTAGCCAGACTATGGTCTCATCTGACGACGTCAGACTGTTGAAGCGGTGAGATGTGGCTTCCTAGCAAGCCTACAAGCCTAACCTCCGCGGGATCTGGACGGACAACAACAGAGATGTCTTAAAAGGAGGCGTACTGAACGGCTACTTACTGGCGAGAAATGTCCGAGGGGCATGAGATGTGGCAGGATACTCGGCAAACGGGTTGAACTTTATTAATAACCCGGGGGATTGAACGGTTCCTAAATTCACTCATACTACAGTGCGTGCGTCTGTTGCTAAGTATTTGGACATCAGCTCGCGGGCAGAGAGGTCGCAGAGAGGCACCCCGGACACTGGAGCGTGATTTTCATGGGACTCTGCCAGAAAGTTGGCTGTGCTACGTAAGATATGCGAGATGTACTGCAGCCCACAGCTACCTACATACATGCGGGCTTTTTGTCTCTGCTCCTGAAGCAGTGATCGAGCGGCCTGGACCTGGCCATGATGAGGATGCTGGGCCATGGCACCATCTTCACCTTGTCAAGTCTGGTATACCCGGTTTTTGTGCGAGTATCCATGTGCTGCTAACCAAGTCAACTTGGCCAACTCACAGTTGCCTACGACGCTCCTCCCCATGCTGATCGCTCGCTAAATTCAGTGATTCACAACTTGCCCATCCGGCACGTTCCAAACTGGGGTTACTGATACAAAGAAGAATAAGACAAAAAAAAAAAAAAAATAGGCTTATATAGGCTCACCTACGACAGGAGGCCCACCCGTAGCATTTAGCATTCCGTTGTGACGGATTGTGATGCACTTGTCTGGAGGTACACTCAGTGGACCGAGTCCGCGCGAGGGGTGGCCGGCTCACTGGAGGCCGCGCGCCCAAGAAACCGGGTTACGGTTGGACTTGACAAGAGGCCACTGGTAGATGCAGGGCGCAGTCTCTAATACCAGTAAGTACTTCGTTCTGCAGCTTCTGATTAGTGACAATGGCCGGGAAAGCTGCACGAGGCTGACATAAGCGGGACGTAAAAGGGCCGTTGCTGGAACGGCAACAGCAGCATGGAAAACCCACTGGTTATCTACCACAGCAGTCCTGGAGCATCCCAGTACAATGCTGATCCACGTCTGAGGCCGGTTTTGGAACCATTTCCCTGAATCACTGGGAGAGAGGTCATCCCCGCCCCACCGCGGGAGATATACACTGAGGAACACGCGGCGGCGTTCCCTAAGCTTTTGTATCGCCTCAATTTCGCGCTAATCTCAACTTGTTGGGAATCTGTGTGTCCTGCCAAGGCCGCAGTGTCAATGCAGGTGGCTGGTCTCAATATGGAAGCTCGAAGGCTGAGCGGTGGCTTCCAGAACCACCCGGGCTCTTCTGGATTGTCCCTGGAGGTGAATCCAACCTCCAACATTGCATCAGTCACCGCTGCGGCATGAGCTGGTGCCGAAAGCCGCTCCCCAGAAGACTATGGCAAATTTGCGTGAGTTTTGGCACTTTGGACCCAAACTTTGATGAGCCTTATTCTTGAATCTTGCGCCATCAGCCTCCCTTGCACCACCATCATACCGTCGCGCGCTCACACCTGACCCATGTAGACCGAGAGTTTCGGGATCCATCCAACATACAGGGTTTTGAATGGATATGCCGACTTCATGTAAACGCCACGGAGCCGGACCTTGGTATCAGGCCTGGGTCTGGGGCATTCCAACCTCCTCACACGAGCAAGGAGGACCGGTGGCTCGGAGACCCGCGCTGGCGTCGATATACCCCAGAATTGATAGCGACAATGAGGGCTTATTTTCCCTTCCACCTCATAGTCTGCATGCTCACGCCATGATTCTCCTATGTTTGACAACCAGCTAGGCAAGCAGGATTAGCCCCTCGCACAGGCAAGGGATTCGCTTGTCTATACCTGCCCGAATAACCGAGCAATCGTGACTGCGGCAGAGAGAGAAGCCAATGGTATGCGCTTGGATGACCGCTTCAACATGGGTTGGCACCCAGTTAGTCCTGAAGCATTGCGATGGCGAGCCCGAGGCACAACGGCGTCCGTGGAGGAAAGAGTATATGAGGGGAAGCTCCCGAGCTAGTTGGACCTGCTGAACCAAAGATTCCACCCAACACTCATAGTAGCCTTAGCTCCTGCTTGTCTGCTTTTCTTCTACAATGTCGCCGTCGCTACTTATCTCAGAGGCTCCGGGAAATGGGTGGTACACCGGACTGGGCCTGGCTGAGCTCCTGGAACGGCAGGCTATCGTTCGCGGCACAGCCATCGCCATTGAAGAAGGCCCGCGCGAAGTCACATACGGCGAACTGCACGAAAAAGCACTCTTTGTCGCCGACCAGGTCAATAGTATCCTTCACGATGACCCTTCCCCAGTTGGCATCATTGTCCCTCGCAGTTTGAATCACGTGTTATCGCAGGTTGCTGTGATCTATTCGGGCCGGGCTTGTGTTCCGTTGGACCCCAAGCTCCCCGACGAGATGCTCAAGAACATGCTCGAAAATCTGGGCTCAACCCTTGTCATCACGGATATTCTACAACAGCATCGACTACCGGGCGTCAAGCATCTGGTGGTTGACCACCGCGTGGTTCCTGAAACCTTTGATGTCAACATTGCCCCAAGTCAGAATGGGCCGCAGACATGCTCTCATGTGTTCCACACCTCCGGTACAACCGGCAAGCCGAAGGCAGTCGAGGCCTTTGCAGAGGGAATGATCAATCTTTGCCTTGATCCAGCGGACCTGATCCGGAAGGGACAGCGTGTTGGACACGGCTCCAACGTCATCTTTGATACCTCGCTAGTGGAGATTTGGGGGCCCTTGCTGCGCGGAGCAACCCTGGTTATAATCCCCCAAGAGACTGTCCTCGACCCCCCTGCTCTTAGCGATTTTGTTAAGCAGAAAGAGCTCAATGTGCTGCAACTCACAACCTCCCTGCTCACCGTGACAGCGTATGCCTGTCCGGATGCTTTCTCGACCTTAGACACCCTTATAACCGGGGGCGAGGCGATCAACTGCCAGACAATCCAATCCATCTTCGATGCAGGAGCCCCAGGCCGAATCATCAACGGCTATGGTCCGACGGAAGCCAGCGTCTATGTACTGTACCACGAAGTCTCGGAGGAGGAGGCCCGCAGGGGCGAAATCCCAGTGGGAAAGCCATTCGGCGACGTGGAGGTATTCCTCGTTGATGATAACTTGAACACGGTCAAGCCGGGTGAGGTCGGCGAGCTACTGGTCTCTGGCGTGGGTGTCGCTGGGGGGTATATTGGGGATCCTGAAAAGACGGCAAAGAGCTTCGTGGTCCTTCCCCAACTGCAGCGGAAGGTGGAGCGCGGACCCAACCACATCTATCGAACCGGTGACTTGATGCGTGTGGATGAGAAAGGAGTATACTACTACCTCGGCCGGAAGGATAACCAGATCAAGATTCGTGGCCAGCGCGTGGAGCTGGAGGCCTTGGAATCGGCCCTGGTTGGTACGGGCTTGGTGAGCGCTGCTGTGGTAGTCAAGATCACGCCGGAAGAGGTCGGCCGTGGCCAGTTTCTGCTGGCCTACTGCATTCCTTCCTCCCCAGATGTCGCCAATGGTGCCATTATGAAAGCCTACATGGAGCAGGCACCACATCTCATGGTCCCCCGTCTGGAGCTAATTGACATCCTCCCCCTTCGCTCCACCGGCAAAGTTGACCGGAGGGCCCTGGAAGAACAGTATTACCAGAAGCTCAAGCGATCACGGGCTAATGGAGCGAATGGAAATTTCAACACGGGCAGTAACGCCGCTAAACTGGAATACATCTGGATTGACGTGTTTGGTCTCACGGTTGAGCATCTGCGCCCAACCGACGACTTCGTGGCTATGGGTGGAACGTCTTTGATTGCCGCCACGATGATCGCTCGCATTAATCAAACCTTTGGGATCTCGTTGCGGGCTCAGATGCTCTACGAAAACACCAGCTTCGAGAGCCTGACACGGCTCGTCACCAACATCCAAGTTCATGGCGATGACTCGAGCATTCAGGCCGAACAGGACGTCTGGCTACAAGACTCCAGGTTGGGCGAGAACCTGCGGCCTATCGGAGGCGTTATCCCGCACTGGCAGGACAAACACGAAGGCAGAATTTTCCTGACGGGAGCCACAGGCTTTGTGGGCGTGTTTCTCCTCGCCACCCTCGTGAAGCGGCCTGATGTCAAGAAGGTGGCCTGCTTGGTGCGCGCCCATGATGAGCCCTCAGCCCGGGCACGTCTAGAGAAGACTATGGAGAAGTACAGTCTCTACGCAAACATGGACAAGGTCATCGCCCTGCCAGGCAATTTTGGACAGCCCCGGTTGGGCCTGTCTCCGGAGCAGTACGACTACTTCGCCACATGGTCTAGTGTGATCTTCCATCTCGGAGCCAAGGTCAGCTACGTGGCTCCTTATTCCTCCCACCGCCAGGAGAATACGATCGGGACCTTGAACATGCTCGAGTTCGCTACTCATCGGCGGACCAAAGCCATGCACTACTCGTCCACCATCGCGGCCTACGGTCCAACTGGATATGTTACGGGCGCCAAGCTACTACCAGAAGATGAGCGGCCCGCGCCGCATCTGGCTGCTCTGCCTAGCGATACTGGTTATGCTCAAAGTCAGTACGTGGCGGAGGCGATTGTCTGGAACGCCATTGATAACGGTTTCCCGGTGGCCGTGTACCGTCCAGGATTCGTGCTGGGCCATAGCAAGTCCGGCATCTGTAACCCAGATGATTTCATCTCCCGGCTCTTCACCAGCTGTATGGACATGGGGCTGTATCCTATCCTGCCCAACCAGCGCAAGGAGTTTATTCCCGTAGACTTTGTCGTTGATTCGATCATCCATATTTCCCAGACCCACGACAATCTGGGCCACGCCTATAATCTGGTGCAGCCCGACCTTAATAACGCCATTGACATCAACACCAGTTTCGACCTACTCAATCAGCTCTCTCCTTACAAGATGGAAGGCGTACCGTACGAGCAATGGGTGAACTCACTCTCCGAGAGATTGGACGACCCCCTGCACCCCCTCACTCCTATGCTCAAAGAAAAGGTGTTTGGCAACATGACCCGCTGGGAGGTCTACGAGAACATGGCGGAGTATGGGCGGGAGAACATCCGCCGCGCCTTGCAAGATGCTCCGCACATTCTCAACCGCGACGACATTGAGGTGCTCTTCCACCGGTCGCTGAAGAGTTGGCTACCATGTTGTGTATGGCACAAGCCCGTACGCATGCAAGCGTGAGCAAGAATCCTTTCTCAATTATGTTATGGGTCGTTCTTGTTGCCGTTGAGCGGGCACCGGTGGGCATAAGTTGAATGAAATGATGAAGGACAACGAAGCACACCAATGAGAAATCGATGACTGATGATCCGAGAAAAACAGAGAATGAGAAATGGAAAAAAGCGTGCCAAACCGAAGGAGGAGAACAATAATTTATACCTCATTGATGTCAGATAAGACGAATCATGAATGCTTGATAGAACATAATGTCAATTGCTTATCCGCTAGCCAAGGCATTCCTCATGAGCAACAAACCGTCACGACTGTTCTTGGCGGTAATGGACGGAAGTCCAAATGCTTCAATTGAGTGGCCCAAGATATCTTGCTGCCTGGAGCCACCACTTGCCTTGCAGGTTTTGTGTTCTTGGCCTGTTCATAGACTCAATCTGAGAGTAAGGGTCATCAGGCTGAACCATTCATTTCATATAGCTAGGCTGAAGATATCTGGCTTTTTCTCCAATCGTTTCCTAGAAAGATGGGATTGATCTCAAATAGGATAATGTCGGGTGCTCCAGGGGTATTGAGGTTGATGTCTGCCTGCTGGCATGAGAGACAGGGGGGTGACCTCGGTGTTGTTGGACTTATCGATAGCCGCTTGGCCAGTGTATATGTATGTGACATAACAAGATGACCAATCCCTTGCTAAGAAAGCTTGTTCTGGCCTTTGTCGTGAGCCTATAACGGGAGTATGGTGCTTTCCATCTTAAACATATGATGGCGTTTACTATGATGATGGCCATGTGAGACGCTCTGCTGCTCTACCTTCGGTACCTTCCTCGCCTGTCGCTAGAGGGGCTTTCGCAACAGCGGCAAGTGCAAAGGAGAGACGGAAGTGGGCACCTTTATCAACTTCACTGAGACCTGGTTAGAATATGCCCGGACTTCCAACTGAATTATAGACGACACATGCCCGTCCAAACTACGCCCACTTAAGTATATTCTTGGATCATGCCGGAGCTGCAATAGGCGGTAGTCCTGCACGGGAAAGAAAAGCTACAATTAGAACTGCAAATACTGCTGTAGAGAGTTCGTCGTACCGGATATCTTCTCCATACGGCTTGCCAACCACCTGTTCGGCCAGGGGGAAGACCAATACAACCGTAATTTTACAGCGACGAGAGACAATGACATTACCCAGCGCAGCAGCACTTCGACTGCCAGCGAACAGTATCTGGTATACGTTTACTTATTTCGTCTCCTGGCTGGCAGGCATACTGAGAGATGGGGAATTCCAGCTATGGGTGATAATATATTTGGACTAGTAATATACCTCAGGAGCGGAGACTGCACACACGATGGTATATAGGCCGCGGCCATGCTGACGCCTTGGCCTCTTCCAGCAGGGAGTTCTTTCCTCCAAATAACGGCCTATATTTTGCCATAACTCGGGGCTGCTTTGGGTGATGTAAAGAGATGGTTATCAGTCTGTGGAAATGCACTCGCAAGCTACCATGATGTCCTTGGGACCAGCTCTCCGGCCAACAAAGCTGCTATCCGGGTATCTGGACCAAGATCCATGTTGATACTAATAGGTGTATTATCAATAGCCTGAGCTTGGTCTCGACTCCGTTCACTGTTTACTATAACAGGAAGATGTCTATCTACAACCGATAGCGGAAGCCGACGGTATTCCAATCGGTCGCATCTTCATAATCCTCCGCCTGCAACTCGACCGACTGCACCAACACCGACACATCATTACCGTCCTGTCGCTCATTGACAACTTTCCCCCCAACAGCACCCGCCAGAGTCGCCGTCCCCTGGACACCCTCCTCGCGATCGCGCTTCCGATTAAACCACTGCAAGTAACATCGCAGCGACACCGCCAACACCGCAGATATAATATAGCAGATAAGGATGGCTCGAAACGAGGTCTGATACAGGGGCGCCTCATTTGATTTGAAAAACTGCGGCCCAGCAATATTGCCCGCACAGTAGGCAATGAACATCATGGAAGTGATGGTCATTTTCTTGGTGACACCACGGTAATTTGCCTGTAGGAGGGACATGATGAGCGGGAGGGCACCGGGACCCGTGGACAGCAGAAAGTAGCCGAAGAGCTGGGCGCCGAGGGGCACATGGTGGGCGCGGGCGTAGATGATAGCACTACCGGTGATGGACAGTGCCACGATACACACGATCAGGAGACAGTTCCAGTGGTGGGACCGACTGGCCAGCCAGCCGGTGAGCGCGATGGTGCCAGCACTGATCACACTGGCAGGGATGACGATCAGGGTGGATTGCAGGGAGGTGAAGCCGAAGGATTTGATGACGAGGTTGCCGAAGTTTTGTGTGCCGCCGTTGGGGATCTGGGTCAGCACTGCCAGGGCGAAGAGATGCCACGTCTTGGGGTCGCAGAGGCATTCGACGAATTGCGCCCATTTCCAGGTGGTCTTCTCTGTCCGACCGGTACCTGCGATCACGGCACGATGCGCCATGAACTCTCGTTCCTCCGGGGTGAGGAACGTGGCAGTAGAGATGCTATCTGGGAGGAAGGCGAAGAGGACAAATCCCCACAGAAAAGTGGCTACGCCGAGGATGATGAACATCCACATCCAGGGATGCAAAGGATGGTCAATGTGGCCAATGCCATAGGCGAGCAAACTGGCGACGAGCCCGCCGACCGAGTTGCCCGAGAACCAGATGCCCGTGCGGAAGGGAATCTCATCGCGGGTGTACCACGTCGAGGTGAGGAACATGAAGGCCGGCGTGATGGTGGCCTCCGCCACCCCGAGAAGGAATCGCACGGTCAGCAAACCGCCGTAGTTGGTACAGGCGGCCGTGAGGGCTACTACGGCACCCCAGAACCAGGTATTGATGGAGAGGTATTTGGCGACGGGCACCCGGGGGATCAACACGTTGGTTGGCTGGAAGGAAGTCAGCTCACATGTACGCCAGAGTAACTGTCGCGAAGGGATCACGGTCGCACCCATTCCCAGAAGAAATATCCAAAGTAGAAGATGCTGGACACCCAGCTGTACTGCTGGCCGACCAAATGCTGGTGGAAGTCAATTAGTAACAGTACCCTAGCTTGTTGATAAGGAAGGCACTCACGGTATCTTCAATCAATCCAAACACAGATGCACTCGACAGGATAGTTTTATCCATAAAGTTGAGCAGATACGTGACGAAGAGGAGAGGCAACAGACGACTGTCCACCTTGCGTAACACGCGGGAGGCGATCACCGGCGATTCATCGGGCGCGTCGTGCGCCTCTGCACTGGTGGCAGCGACCGTGTCCATCGCCAGGAAGAGCAAAGCACAGCGACCAGCAGAGAATATTATGTCTACACGGGTCAAAGTCCCAAGATAAGTGATTAAGAATGATATTTAGAGCTCCGAAGACAAGTGCCATATCTTCACCCCCGCCGGATCCCTTCCGATATCTGCCGCGGAACCACCAATCGGCACGCGCATCCAATATATCAAGGGATCGCCGCTGCGATACGCTATCCGCCAATAAATCTGCAGGATTATGATTTGCCAGCGGTGTACTTTGCGATTGGTAGCTACAACCTGCCCAATGCTTCCTTACACTTTGGGATTTTCCTGGCATGCCCTACAACTTTGACTTCTGTGGCCTGTCAATACTCTCCATAATTGATGGCAACAGTCGATCCACCGCTCGCCAGATGGCCGAGGATCCTGGATATTCAAAAGTCGCCCCGACATAGTACGTATTGCGGTGACCCTGCAGCTTCTTCAATTCCTGGTAGAATCCATCCTCAATGGCCTTCCGCCCAACTGACATTTCAAATGGGGAATGGTCGGCAAACGCCAGGAATTCTGGGTCGTCGACATCGTATCCAGCTCGTCGCAGTCCTAGAATATCCTCCACAATCGCCGCCTTGACCTGTTCCTCCGTCATGGGCTCCTCGCTACCGTATCCAACGGCCATCACACCTGGCACCGCGGTCGGATACATCATCAAGATACACGGAAGAAGGGGAAGCGAGTAAGGTCTGTCGGACCCGCGATTGACAATTTGGACTCCCTCGGGGCATCCATCTACCCGCACCAGGCCCGCGTAGTAGTGTCCGTAGATGAATTGGCTGAAAAGAGAAGATTCAAAATCGTCGAGATCGAGGCCATCCAGCACCTGTCCAGTTGGAGGGGCCGCCAGGATGGTTGTGTTGGCCTCGATAATCCAACTCTTCCCACCTGACGATTCCACCCTCAATCGATGCAGCTCATCGTCCTCGCGACACGCCTGCACCACAACGCTATCAAGGAGGGCGTCATCCCCCAGCTCCGCCAAGGCAGCCTCATACAGTTCTGAATTATCATGCCGAGCAGTGGACAGAAATCCCGTCTCAAGTGCTCTCAGCATATCCAGTGACACGAACTTCATTAGATAGACTGTAGGGTAGTTGAGCCAGTTGCGCACGCCCTGGCTGTAGATACTGATCAGCTCGACGGCAGCCCCCAGGTCGTACTTTTCAACGAACTCCCCAAATGGCATCAAGAGATCCTCTGGGACGTCTTCTGGAAGATTCCAACCCTCTAACAGGTATGGATATTGTCGGAGAATGTCTCCATAACGCTCCAGAGCCTCGCTGACATTCCCGGGATAGGGGTCCACAATTTCGCCGGTTTCAAAGTCAACGCGTTCCATCTGACCGCCGCCATTTGAAACTTTCGCAAAAGGCACGTCAAGATGGGAGAAGAAGTCTATGGTCTCAGGCGAATCTTCAAAAAGGGTCACGCCAAAGTCAAGCGGTGTGTCCGTGGTCGGCTCGATGTACGTGATAGTATGACCACCCAAGCGACCAGTCTTTTCAATCACAACCACAGAATAACCCTCCTGGAGTAGGTTTATGGCAGCATATGTGCCGGCAGCACCACCGCCAATGATACAAACGTCTCGTCTAATTACCTCGCAATCATTGCATGAGGAGGAATTGATGGCGTTGGAACGACCGATGCTAAAACATGTTCCAAGAACAAAGAGAAGTAAGGAAATTTTGGAGAACGGAGAGAACATAATTTCCAATTGCAGGATGGACCTATTTAGTAAATGCCTGTATGCTGTTGGTGGTCACAGCGACCTATCTATACCCGCCGACTGGATGGGAAACGAGATCTTCGGTGACCCCAAATGATGTGGCAACCCAATGCCGAAAGAAGGATGGAAGTCCTGCCTGCAGTGGTGTGTCAATGCAAAGATGCAAGTATGCCTGGATCCTGCCGCTTCTGCTGTTACCTAGAGAAAGAGCAGGTAGTACCCGGTGGTCAACTGCACCATTCACCACACTCATGGGATGTGACGACTTTCTGTGACACATTCCTATAATGGCAGTAACAATAATCCTTCCATTGCGATTTGTCAGGTTGTCCCGTTTGAGAAAGCTTGAGCACCAGGAAACTCAGACGATCCGCGACGAGATGTCTCGCAGGATGGACAAATTTACCATTCAGCTGTTGGATGCATATACGAGGCGCGACAGACAGTAATATGGCTGATGAGATGGAGGTAGGTAAAGTGCGGTATTACCACCAGCATGTAATAGGCATGGTTACCAGAAAGACCCGCTGGGATAAGATATAGGTTAAATAGTAATATAACTAAAATAGTAATATAGGTATCAGACAGACCGCCTGATTATACATGGCTCGGTTATAGTAGATGAGTTTCCCCTTGTCGCTTCCAGTGGCAGCGAGCCCGCCTGTTTGGCAACATCCTCTGAATGTAATCTGGCAGGACCTTGATGGCCTGAGGTAAAGAAGAGAAAAAGCAGAATGCATCACATGATTGTACAAGGTGAGGGGACATGGACAGTGCCACGCGCCCTCGTCCAACCAAGTTGGTCTACATACCACGGCAGCGGTAGTGTTATCAAGCGCACTTGCCACTCTGGCAAGTCAGGGTGCCGGAACAGTCGTTCTCGGTTGAGCAGGAAGCACCTGAGCACCATGGGTCAGTGTAACACGAAGCACAGGCCAAAGAGGGGTCTTACCAGCACAATGGCCTGGCCAGGAGCAAGAGGATGATGATGAGCTGGACCCGGAGCCAGAGCTAGAGCTCGAGCCCGAAGAACCGGAACTGCAGTAGCTCGAAGCATCGGCATTGCTGTAAACGTTCGAGGTATAGCATTTGCCGCTCGCAAACAACTCGTCCGCTGATTATACTGTTAGGTCATGTCATGTAAATACTAGCCGGGGTCCATGACATACAGTTGACGGTGTAGGAGGTGCCCGGATTAATAATAACGGTTTGAGAATCATCAGGAGTCAAAGAGTCTTCGCAGTCAATCTGGGTATCCCCACCACTGGAAGTAGTAGAGCCAGTCCAAATATCGATGTGGAGCTTGCCGTTGTGATAATCGGTGGCTGTTTCTGTCAGCGGAGGAACGTAACAAGCGTGAGGGTACTTACTGCACTGCGCACATGTATCCTCGAAGCGGAGATACTTGCGAAGGTACGGGAGGTAGACGATCTCACACTTTTCAAACTCGCCAGGGGCGGTGGCAAAGGTGAGAGGGTCGTCATACGTGCCGGTGCCTAGCAACTGTTAGCTTTAACACGTACAGCCCAAAGGACTGTGAGAACGTACCTCCAGCCGTGTAACCACGACCACAATCATACGCAATATCCGCACTGGGAGGATCGTTGTCGGGATATCCGTAAAAGGTAATCTCGACATCAGATTCGGTCGAACACGCTACGGATGCCCCAAGAAGGCCAGCGAGGGCAAGGAGTTTAAGAACCTTGGAGCTCATTGTGCGAAGAGAAAGAATAGTGAGATCAAAGAGAAGTAGTAAGAATGCCGTGTTTGCAAAGCATATGAGGACTTTAAAGGGAAAATACCGCGTTTATATACTTTAAGGCTTTGCTAGGGAAGTTACGATGAGCATCATACTATATATAGTCTCTTGTACGCGGAGTAGCATTGAAGCATTGCATACATGAAGATAATGGCACTAGGTTTCAGCCTACTACCTGCAGAATCCTTCTATTAGCGGAAATACGAGATGCCCAACTCTCCTTGGAGGTAGACCGCATGGACTGACTGATCGACACATCCTAGTGCTTATTCTCCTGCACCCACAAATCTAACTATCACCCTATTTCATGGCCCAGGGCCTCAAACGTCGCCAAATAAAATGACCGGGATGACGCAGCAGAACTCGAAGCTTGAAGCTGTTGTCATACACGATTGTACAATATTCTTTTCAAATTTCCTAAAGCACCCGCTGCCTCCGCAATGGCCAAGGTGATAGACCGACTTTGGTGGCTCCAACCTTTTCTTCCAACGGTTCGCTAAGTATGGTGGGGTCCGAAAATCCTGGGTCTTGAGCGGGCAGATCGGATCCAATATCCTCATTAAGCGAGGATACCACAGCTTGATCCAAATTTGCCCGGCCTGATTGATGCCTATTCTCAGAGTCAGCTAAATTGTGGGGTTTCCTGTCAGGGTCCGACATGGAGATGCTGATCCCCTGGGCATATCCCACGTGTGAGATCAGGGACAATGGATGTCTTGTAATTGACGACTGCTTAGGGGCCTGTCCGAAAGCGGTATCACTTGGGGCCACATAATTCTCTTTCAGAGCAGCTGACATACCTTTAAGGGGATTTTCCTAACGAGGAAGGTGGATAATGTCTGCAGCATCTGGCGTCGGAGACTAGGTGTCTGTCGGTAGTTTTTGTTATTAATAAATTCACAGGATGCGACCGTTGAGAATGCGAGGGCTTAATGGACATACTGACCCCACTGCGAGGTAACCAGCCTGTGGCTGTTGTTAATAAATGGATGCATTTTACAGGGTCCATATACTGGGCGCTTCCATAGAGGACAGTACACATTGCTTACTGCCACTTTGTGTTGAGAGAGAGAAAACCCAATATCACTAACACGGGGTCTCCCTAGACTCCTTCAAATTCCAGAACCTCGGACTGCCTAGAAGTGGTAAGAAAGCTTGTGATCCTTAAGCTGCCCCTGACTCGGAACAATGCGGTTGCCATGCATGGTCATCCGATGGGGCCAAAACTGGGGGCCGTCGGGATCCCATGTTGCCCTTTGCGGAACGGAGACTGGCGCGCATCAAGTCTATTCTAGTGATTCAGGCGCAGAACCAGCGCAGCACGGTATTGGGGCGTTGGGAAAAGGTATATTTGTCTTCACTCTAGCTAAAGAACGACAGCTATTATTTCGCGATGAGCGGGTAAGTTCCAACACCTTTGTGACGATGAATCGATGAGATATAATAATGTGAGAACAAAACAGCTATTATGAAGAGATTGACAAACACGGTGAATAATGAGACAGTGAACGCCAGTAACCATGACAATCATAACATACATCACAAGGGATAATAATGCAAGTCATTCAAACGGACGAAACCTCCATTTCCACCGGCACAGACATGAACTTTTGCGTCTTGATCACTTTGTCAGAATAACGGTCTCCACGCCCCAGATAGCAGTTGACTTGGCTGGGATGGATGAATTGGAGTATCTCCATCGCCAGGAACATCAGCAACGCATCGAAGACATAAATGAAAACCTCATGCTTCATGAGATAGCCGTCATATCCCTGCAGGTACTCCACCACACGGACAATGGAACGGACGAAGATCAGGACACTGGAGATGTAGAGAGCGTTCATGTGGCGACGCCAGATGTGCGATAATTCAACGGAAGTGCCGGTGGGAGCCTTCGCTAGTCGCATTTGGAAGATGAGCGCGGTGATAATGAAGAAGCCGAAGAAGATAATCTGAACAAAGAGACCGCCAATAATAATGTGCTCGCCCGAGGATGGATCGCTAGAGTTGCTGACCATGAGACCAGCGCCTACTGTTCTTAGCGATGCTGCCAGACAAGATTCGAAGACAGGAATATACGCACCAGAGGCCTGCATCAGAAAGGAAAGAACGTCGCCCGCAACAAAGATCTTGGTCACCCAGTTCAACCTGAACACCGAGTAGTGTTCGGCCTGCACCATTCGAATGATGCGACCGAGGGTCATGTAAATACTGGCAGCCAGGAAGGCGGGAGCGATGAGAATCAGGGCGCTTTGCATGGCATACGAGCCTGTGCTGTAGTTGGGGCTTTCAAGCGATGACAGCAGACGGCCAACATATCCGATTGTTTCCACTGAAGATGAAGCATCATGTCAGTAGTAGTCCTGCATGGTCGGGGTTGGGTGACTGACAGATTCCTCCAATGAAGAAAGGGATCATGAACCACGTTCGCGTCCGAACCAGCTGCAGAAAGTGCAATACAGTGCTGATGCCGAACAGAACAACAAAGATTCCTGCTGCCGCAGCAGAGGGGGTGTAGTAGTAGAGAGTGAATGCCATGGCTGGTGTGCAACAGAGAAGAGCTGGAGTTGATGAAATTGCATCGGTGCAGGGAGCGAGGCCCTGCTTTTATGGAGGGCCATTATTGTTGCCTTCCATTTCGTCCAGTTACCAATATGGCAACGGTCGCGATATACGAGAGATGATAGTGCCTCTGTCCCTGAACCTCAGATTGGAGATCCGTGGCTGGGGTATCAAGATCTGCCCTACCGGGTGCTCCTCGTTTTCGTTGCGTATGCCGTTTTTGGTAAGACGCCCCTCGTACTCGCACCCATGGCCGAAAGAGGCAACTACCGGCTGATCTCCAGTGGAACTCGAACGTTTAAATCTCTACAATCCAACTTTTCGACTGGGTCCGGAGAGATTCCGGTTTAGAACTCTTTATTTTCCGTATGATACACGCCAGATACCCATAAATAAACTACAGAGAACATTCCCGTTGCCTAAATGGCTTGCTGCGCCCGCTGCTCCTTCTGAGCGAACGAGTCCATGGGCTTCAAGTTCGCCTTGGACGGTCCCTCCACGCAAACCCCATCGCAGCTGAACCGACTACCATGTACGGGACAATCCCAGCTCTTCTCGGTGTCGTTCCAGTTCAACACCCCCTTCATATGCGGACAGACAGCGCTGAACTTATGCGCCTTACCTTGCTCGTCTTTGTACACGGCCACGGGGTTCGTCAGACCCTCCTTGATGACGCCTCCGGAGCCGACGGCCAGATCCTCGATATCCTTAATGTCGGACTTCATCCAGCGCTTGTACTGGGCGTTAATCTGAACATCATGCTGCAGCATACTGGGTAGTGATTTGACGATGCTGGACAGCCGATGGGGGTTATACAGGCTGGCCCATGGATTGTCAATGCCCGTAATCTCGTCCGCAATGAGTTTGCCAGCAAGTACGCCGTGCGTGAGACCATTGCCGCTGTCTCCAGTGACAATATAGGTATGGTTCAAGCCCTGGTTCTTTCCGATGAATGCCATGTAATCGACAGGCTCAAAAATCTGTCCGCTCCACTTATAGTCGACTGTCCCGGCCTTGGTGAAGCGTTCACGGACCCAGGTCTCGAGTTCCTCGAAGCGACCACTAGTGTGCTCCTGGCCGACCTTATGATCACATCCTCCGACTACCAGGTAGTCGTCCTTCTCGTCGCACTCGGTGAATCGGACGTACTTGTACGCTTCCGCCTCGTCATAGAGTAGGCAGTCCTCGATCGAGCCCTTGGGAACACGGATGGCAATGCAGTACGTTCGCATGTACTCCATCTCGGCAATGACACTCAATTTCTGGAGCGGCACACATGTCGCCTCAACCATATCTTTGGCCGTAATGGTGTAGCCATCTGCGGTTGTCACTTGCACCAGGCCGCTCTCGCTGGATGACATCATGCGCGTGTGCGTATAGCATTGAAAGTTTGGCTGCTTCTGCAGCCAGTCGAGTACCCCGACAAAATACTTGGTCGGATGGAATGTGGCCTGGTCTGCAAAAATGGCACCGTCCCGCTGGTCGATGCTGCCGTCCCATCCCTTGACAGTGAGCCCATCGCGGTAGGAGGCAGGAAGACCAAGCTGCTTCGCCAGCTCGGCTTCCTTCTTCAGGCTAGCGACCTCCTTTTCATGGTTTGCGTCGCCGCGGGGGTACTGGGAGATCTCGTAACCCGGAAGTGTACGGTACTCGCACTCGATTCCAAGCGATCTGGAAATCTCCCCGACTCGCTTGAGCGCCCAGGTATGACTCTCGGCGGCTGCTTTAGCCCCCTGCGTACCATGCTTCTTTTGGATCTCAACATATCCATCATCCAAGGCATTGGACAAGTGGCCACTAGTCCGGCCACTTTCTCCCGACAGGACATTGCGGGCCTCGATCATGGTAACTCGCTTCCCGCGATTGACCAGTTCATAGGCAATGGAGATACCTGCAATGCCTGCGCCGACAATGCAGACTTCCGTTTCGACGTTCTCATTCAGCGATGGAAACTTGGGATACTTGGAATACGGCATGGAGTGAACCCAGACGGGGTCCGTCTCGCCAGAGGTGTTCATCCAATGGGTGGGGCTGGACATGGTGGCTAGTTTGCGTGACTTTGGAGGGGGGGCAGAAGTTGAGTATGAGGCGACCGTATACAGAAGTTGATAATTAACTCGTTTGAAAGAGGCACGTTTACTGGCAGGATGGCAGGCGAAGCTGCGAAAGCTCAGTTTATACAACATGGCAGGGTCGTGCCAGATAAGACTAACCCTCCCCTCTATGCGCAAAATGGGCATTCCAGTGCGGGTTTATGTTCACAATATACCCCGGAGGCATCATGATGACATAACGGCAGACGCAAGAATTAAGTTGTGCGACAGCCAGATAGAGTTCAAATTGGGATCTAGACAATGGAGCCAATGACCTCGACTCTCTACGAAACCGGGTTTATCGTCGATTTTCCGGGGTGGTGGAAGATGGATAGTCTAGACCAGCTTGCGTGAACATAGCAGGCGGGGCGTGGAGATACCGGAGAAGGCCATTGTGTTTGTGGGTAGACTATTAAACCTCCCGTAGACGTGCGTATCCCATTCATCTGTAGTCACAGCACGACCTCTTACGCAGCTAGATTAGACTTCATGAAACCCTACGCATAGTAGTGGTAGCCTCTTAGGATACATTTCAGCTACCCGGTCATGGCGGTCCTCGAGCACATGAGCAGAGCGTGGCGGAAAATATATCCCCCCAATCTCGGCGGGAGATTTCCCAGCTAGTCCCCCCACATTCTTTGTTGAAATGTGCGAAGTACGTAGCTGATAAGCAGGGCAATCATGACATTCTCAGTGGCAATAAGCCCCCGCTAATTCGCCGATGGTGGATGATGGACTATCAATAGCACCACCAATGACCTCACCATGACTCCCGGACCAGTGACGCCATCACCACCCACCAACAACCAACCCTAACGACTCGACGAATCTCCAATACTCTAATCAGCCGTCTCCCATTACCAACAACTGACTCTTCTACTCCCTGTTCTATTTACATTTTACCTCCTAAGAACCATCGACTCAATTGACCATTGCATAACCACCAAAATGCCTCGCAAAGTCTCCTTCTCCGAAACGCAACTGCCCAACTTCGACAAACCTATCCGCCCGCCCTCGATCAGCGTCGACTTCTCCACCACCGCCCCCGAATGCCCCGTCACTGCGGCCCGCGAGCCAGCCCGCTATACGAACGACTACATTGAGAAACCCGGTGTCCCGCGGGCCAACACCACCGCGTCAATTGACCGGCCAGATGGGGATGAGAGCTACACCAAGCAATTTAGTGACTTCGTACGTCCTACCACCAAGCCAATAGATTGAAAACATGCCACTGACATTATGATGAATTGATGGTGAAGACCCCCCTCCAGCAACATGTCCTCTTCTGGGACCGCGACCGCGACGGCCAAATCTACCCCTGGGACACATATATCGGCTTTCGCGAGCTAGGATTCAATATTCTGTTTTCCTTCCTGGCTGTTTTGATCATCAACCTCAACTTTTCCTATCCGACTCGTCTAGCGCATTCGTTTCTCCCGGATCCGTGGTTTAGGGTATATGTGGATGCGGTTCATAAAGCTAAGGTACATACCTACACTCCTGTAGGCAGGATTCAAGGCTTTTATAGAGGACGATGGCTAATGAAAATTAATGAATAGCATGGCTCCGATAGCAATACCTATGACCCCGAAGGACGCTTTGTTCCTCAATCGTTCGAGAATATGTTCGCCAAATATGACCGTGATGGTGACGGGGCATTGACACTCCGCGAGTTGTTTGATATGATGCATGGAAATCGGTGCGCGGCTGATCCATTTGGTGTATGCATGCCCCCATCTAGAGTAACTCTGGTGTTTTAACGGTAGCTGATAAAGATGTGTAGTGGGGAGCTGCAGTTTTCGAATGGGGCACCACATGGTTGCTCATTGAGAAAGATGGCAAAGTCTGGAAGGAAGATGTGCGGGGAGTTTACGATGTATGCCTTTATCTTCCCTTGATTGGAGCGAGAAATGTAGCTAATGATGATGACAGGGTTCATTGTTTTGGAAGGTCCGCGAAGCGAACTATACCGGACGGGGGTGGTCGCAGGGGTTCAGACCGGGGTTGTGGATCAAACGGACGGTGAAGGGGTTTTTGAATGCATATCTGGATGGTTAAGCACACATGCATTGCATTAGACGACTAGAGATTTATAGAGCGACCTGGTTCGCTATCATATAAAGTTCAATTTCTTTGTCGAGCATAATATCAGTTATTTCTTTTGCATGGAACAGAGAAACAACATTCCTTTAATCTCCCTGCTACGTGGCCTGTAGACAAGCTAATAAGTATACCGAAACCCCGGCAGATCCCCAATAACCAACTCTCCCCGATCAACCCGACAATTGCGCAGATACAACCGAATCGTCAACAACCCCACCAACACTATTGCGGCAGCCTGCATCCCAATACATGTAAGCATCCCCGGCCGGTACTCTGGGGCATCCTGGGACCGAAAGACCAGAGACCCAACCATGCCTCCCGATGCACCGAGACCGACGAAGATGGCGCTGCAGGCTGCTCGCTTCCACTGGCCGCGGACGTTGTTGGCCTGGAGGGAATCAGCATTGATGGTATAGCTTAGTCCCAAGGTAAGATCCTACCTGATATGCCATAGCAGCGGGAACATTCGAGTTGGCTCCCATCGTAGTAAGGAAACACCCAACCAGTCGGGGCCCGTTGCCCTTTGTGAAGGTCTAATCCTGTCAGCGATGCCTACTATGCCCTTAATATGGAGGGAAACTGACCATCAACGGCAGCCCAATCAAAGCCAGCATCGCGTTGAAAACAATAATCGGCCCTCGTATCCGGTATTTATCCCCAATCCAGGATGTCGCGAACATGGTAATCCCCGCAGCCACGTACGGCGGAGCGAAAAGACACAATGACGCTCCCATTGAGAATCCCATCCCCTCTCTATAGATGAGAGGCAGGAAATATGCGATCGAGTAAGCGGTGGTCGTGGTACAGAAATAGACCAGTCCAAACCCCCAAATATTGATATCCAGCGCAGCGACAAGGTACTTCTTAAGATTAAACGGTTCAAGTCTGACGTCGCCGCGGTCGGCGTTGATCTGGTCAGTGATGAAGTCGTATTCCCGGTGCGAGAGGAATCGACTCTTGCTTGATCGCATGCGGTCCGGGAAATTAATCAGTACGAAGTAACTTATGGCTGCAAGGGTGCAGGTGATGAGGCCTTGGATGACGAAGATCCAGCGCCAGGCTGTGAGGCCGCCTAGTCCGTTCTAATCAAGGTAAGTATTAGTAGAGAAACGATGGAGAAGGGGGCGTGCGTACCATGAAGGTGATACCATAAGATAGAAAGCCGGTAAATGCTGAGGCTACACAGCCGAGAAGGTAGAAGATGGCAAATCGCTTCTGCATCTGATAGCGGGTGTACCAGGTAGCAATCAAGTAGACAGCAGCGGGGAAGAACCCTGCTTCTAAGGCTCCGATAATGATTCGGATGCCAGCTAGCTGGGCCCAGTTATGGACGAAGCCACCGCACATCTAACATGTTAGCTCTTGTCCAGGAGGAGCGTCTAGGGAATATTGCTTACCATGCTAACACCCCAGATAAAGCAGATGCCCGCTAGGAAGAGCTTCGGGCCCAGCTTGCGAATAAGTACTGGACCAAGCATCTGCAGACAGATGTAGGGAGGAAAGAACACGACAGCAATGACATTCTGCACGATCCTGTTAGTATTGAGATGGTTTTGAGCAATGACAACCTCACATATTGATTGCCCTGGAGGTGCAATTCCTTCTCCATTCCCGCAACCGCTGCAGTAGACAGGTTCCCCCGGTCAATCAGCGACACGGTGTGCAGGAACCCCAGCATAACAATCAATCGGGCGTCGACCCGACGGATAACCCGTCGCTGCTCCTGTGGAGTCAACTCGGTATCATCGGTCCGGGAGCTTTCTGCCTCAACGGCCAAGCCTTTAACAGTGTCGTCGTCGGCCATCATCCCGAGGACGTTGCAACTATCCCGTAGCTACATTGAAGGGATTGCTCTTGCTCTGAGGGAAATTCGTAGGGTCTAAAGTATGATCAAGGCAATGATGCAAATTTGGTATCGATGGCGACATTGCGAACATTTTTTGAGATCATGGATGCTTTTATCAAGTCATAACAGAAGAAAGTGTGTTAATGGATAGATTTGCATTTGCGGGGAAAGCTCAAGAGTCGGAAATCGGCGTTAAGCATTAAGCTACTACGTGTAAAGTAGCGATATGACTGGCCAAGCTCTGTAGACTGGAGATAGTCTCTCGCAGCTATATTTAAACGCCGAAAGCCGAAGAAAATAGCCATGGCGGTCCGCGTGAGTGGTTAATGTTCCAGGGGCCAAGGATCGATAGGCGTCGTCATTGACATGTCAACTTCTAGGCTGCCACGCCGGTCACAAGCTGGTTTATCCAGCTATTCTGAATGTGCATGCTACCACTAAACTACCGTCCCTTCACTGACCCTATCCTCGTCTGCAGTCACATTCCAATCCTCAACCCGACGTGTCTTGGCCTTCTTCTGTTCTTCCCATTTGAAGGCAAAATGGATGCAAACAAACAACACCGCTGCCAAGCACGAAAGGCCGAGGTATAGCTTTGCTCCAATGCGCCAGTGAGGAGCTTCCGATGCTGGGTATGCAGCTATGGGAAGGAAGGCACTCAATAAGTACGAGAAGAGAGTTCCGGTAGCAAACAAGACGGTGCGGACTTGCGGCTCCGTCTCCAGATGGGCAGATGCCCACGCACACAAAAGCATTGTCGAGACCCTAAACAGTAGACGTCAGCTGAGTTTCCTGTGCCTATCGGATAGGGGAGGCTTACGCTCCGACATAATCCATATACCACCCAGCCATATATGCGTGCTCATTGCTCGGTTGTATCGTCAGGATAATCAGAGATACAATGTTGATTACCTAGTACTTGGTCAGTACCAACAAGTGACTTCTCCGGTGTGACTTACCGCATGCAAGAGAAGGAACGGCAGTCTGACTCCGAAATAGTCACTGAAACCGCTGAAAAAGATCTCAGCAACAAGTTGGATGGCTTGACCAGCGATCGGAAGGTAATCGAGCATAGCCACAGAGCTACACCAAATTAGCCCTAGATGCAGACAATGGGGTGAAATACATACTATTTGGCGGTTCCATCAGGGTTCTTCAACGACTTGAGCCAGAGGTTGAAGTAGCTCGTTGGCGTTGTGCCGGTGCCGATGGCCCAAGCAACTGGAACAATGTTAGCTATTGACTTTAGGATAGCGCGAGGTGGAGTCATACTGGCGAACAGCCATAGATGCCAGAATCTGAAACAGCGCAGAAAGCTTTTGACTTGGATGCCGATCTGCGGTTTCCGGCCCACGCGGCGTGTGCGTGCGATAGCAGTCTCTGCATCCGGTTAGCCAATCGTTTGATACCTCCTTTGATCTCTACTTACTAATATGCTGTGGCCTGAGATAGATCTTCGACAATGGGTTTTGCCTTTCAGGCTATGCCCATTAGCAGGTATCCCATCAGAAGAGTTGGGGTTTCTCACAAAGCCAGGTAATATGATGAAGGCTAATAAAGCGATGAAGATTGTGCAAACGCCCTATCCAAAATATTTCTCGTTCAGTCATATGAACACGGGCATACAATAAATCGAGACATACGTTTATTATGAAAGCCCATCGCCAGCCACTTCGCCCCATAACACCTTCCAGGTTGGTAGACATTGCGCCCTGCATGGCGCCAGAAAGCATAGCCCCAACTGGCTGGGCCATGTTATATAGGCTCATACGCAAGGCCATCTCATGGGGGAGATACCATTGGCTTTGATCATTGTCATTAGTCGTATTCACAACTTGCAGAGAGCATTCCGAGACGTACCTGATAATGGTAAAGTAGCCAGGCCACGTCGCACCTTCGAAGAAGCCAATAAGGAAACGCAAGCCATACACCTAGCCAATTAGCTATGCCGAGACATATCCACAAGCTCGGGGAAATACCTGCTTAGCAGACGTGACTGTGGATAAGCAGCAGGTAAGGATACCCCACAACACCTATCCTTGTTGGTCAACCATAGATCCTCTCCGCGCAGAAAGAACTCACCTCGCACGCTGGCAGCCATATCGATGGCCCGATGTGAGAAATGATGATGCACGAGGGATAAAGCATAATCATGTACCCGATACTGATGGAGTCAGCATTAGCGATAAGCAGGGGTGACGACTTACTTGAAGAAGGTCGTGAAATAATTGTATTCATTCCCATAGAGCTCAAGATCTGTCTCCATACCGGAAACATAGGCATTGCTCTGCCAAGCATGAGTGCATATCCTTTATCAGATCGTTGCGGATACTAACAATGTTCGTTTGATCCAGGTACTTGAACGCATATCCCAGGAACCCCACGACAAGGAAGAAGCAATCGAGCCTCCATACCTGAGATTGGTCAGCTATTGAGCACATCTACGATGTTGCGTGGTAAAAACAATACCAGTGCCCTCTCATCCTCCGGTCGGATCTCAACCGATACGTGCTCGTTCACAGATGAGACCCTATCGATCGGGCCTTTGTTGCTATCCTCGGGTGTCTCCATTTCAGTTGAACTCTTCAATGTCGACAAATTACCATAAAAGAATCGACAGTATACTCGGATGCAGAATGGATATAAAAAGCAAGCAACATCGGGACTGTGGGAAAAAAAAAAAAAAGTGCGTTCAACCACGTCTTATCGGTGACCTGCAGGCATGGCATCAAGGCGGGATGTGAAGGCGTGCTCTGTATAGCCCGCCCCGCTCAATTGGTCTGATGCAGGCCGTTCGTCGCCAAGCAGACCAATGAAGCTGCTGACGTTGAGGTCTAGAAGATCATCTCCGATAACGATGCAGGTGCAGTACTCAAATTGTAGGTATCAGGCTAGACGACATCCGGCACCGGCTTCAAGTATCCCCACTATCGCCACCAGCTGTCCAAATTACGAGATTTGTCGCTCAAACAACCGATGAAAATGATCTGAACTATTCCAATCCCACACATTTATTCTAATTAAGGCATATGCTCACGCAAGAATCAGGCTAATCCCGTTCTGAATAAGTACAACAACCAGACCGCGGAGCTCTGACCAACCCGAAAGAACCAAAACCGGTAGACTAAGCAAACGAAGCCTTGTTCTGCTGGAGGAACTCCTTCCAGCTGGTGAGCTTGTACCCGGCCTTCGCCACTAAATTCTTACTCTCGTTGAGACTGCGACCATTGAAGTAACCCGGATTTCCAATGAAGAGGTGATTCTCCAGCATTTCCAGACCCATGGGGCCCGGGATGAAAGACTTGTACGTTTCGGAATCCACCTGAACAAACTGCGTCTTCTGTCCCGTCACCTGTTCAAACTCTTCCAGGATGCGAGTAGGCGTGTAGTAGTCTTCCGCCACTAGGATCTGAGCACCGAGTGTCTCGGACCGGTTCTTCAAAGATGCAGCGACATATTTGCCTGCATTATGCGTTAGCCAGGACACTAAGAGAATGAAAAAGTTAAAGACGACATACCCATATCAGCCGCAATATCAATCAACGGAAACTTGGCCTCCTTCCCAACAGGATACGCAACAGTCCAGACCCCGTTCTCGCCCTTCCGCAACAGACCGACAGCTGTATAATTGGTCATGAAATAGCCCGGCAAGACAAAAGTCGCCGGCACTCCCAGCGAGCGAATATACTGCTCCACCTGGGCCTTGTGGTCGAAGTGATGGACATTCTTAAGACGTCCGGCTGTTGTCTCTGTCACATTAAGCAGAGAGGAGTAAATCAAGTGCTGAACATCCAACTCCTTAGCCACGTCGGCGACATTCTTCCCGTGAACCAATTCTGCACCGGAGCCAGGAACACCCCAGGCGGGGATGGTGACTAGGAAGACAGAGTGGCTACCCTCGAGGGCATTCCGGATTGATTCTTTAGAGTTCAGGTCCGCCTAGATGGTCTGTTAGAGTGGGATTCAAGGCAGGATGAAAGATAAGACTTGCATTTCTGATTTCAACTCCCCGCTTAGCCAAAGCTTGGGCTTCTGGCTTGCTGGCATCGCGAGTGATACCGCGAATCTTGAACTGCATGGACAGTTCCGGGTCGTTGAGGATGGTGCGGATGACGGATCCGCCCTGCTGGCCGGTGGCACCGAAGACAGTGATGATCTTAGACATTTTGCTTGCGAAGTAAATAGTAGTAGTATTCAGAGCTTTTGCTGCTTTCTAATCTGTTGAAGTAGTACTGATAGTGGAGTAATGATGCTGGGGGAGTTTGGCCCGGGGCGGGCTTCCATTATATGTCTGTCGGACCACCCACAGCAGCTGACTATGATGGGCTGCTGGCATCTACTAGGTCTTTTACACATCTCTTACACATCTCGTTCGACTTCAACTGCGTAGAGGGGTGAATGACATAAACCACCTCGTAAATCGGCCTTGCGTGGCCCCGAGGTTAGTCAAAAGGGCATCCATTCCTGACTAAAAGAGGGCGAGGGTCGGGTTTGATTTCAATCCCGAGGGGGGATCGCCGCCCCGACCGTGACACATCTAGAGATGTACACGGTCGCCATGTTTCAGGACCGCTTTCTTTTATCACCATAAACTACATAGACGGTAAATTTCTCTGTACAGAAATGGTCCTGGTCTTTATGTCTCGAGTTATTTCTTACATTTGATTTACGCCGACCAAACACTTTGTCCAAAGACAACCTCGGTCGGGAGCCCGACCGTCACAGCAATGGCTCCCACAGCCACTCCATGCCCGAGACACCAAAACCAGCCATCCCCAACGAATACACATCAGGGGGAAGAGAACCTTGACCCAGGGAAACCTGCGAGATATCCATACCTGGCACAGTGTTTGTATCAAAGGACATCAAACCCGACCCGAAGCTATCATCATCCTTAATCTCCGTGCCCAGCGAGGAGCCTGGCGATATCCCCATCTTGGCCGCCCTGGTCGATGCCGTCCGTTGCATCAAACGCTTGAGAGGCTTTCGGAGCATGACACTCTGGGGCGAGCCATCTTGTTCCCATTGCCGCTGGATCTCCGTCACCACCTGCCAGGCATGGTCGGTCTCGGCCGTGATAGGGCGGTTGCACAGCTCCGCGAGGATGAACGCGACCGTGTGCCACTGCTTATAGGTCTTGCACAGCCACGCCCATTGCGAAGTACTCTCGTTGGTATGTAGCAGAATGGTGAATTTGATTGTTTCGACCGCCGCTTGAAAGGCATCATCGCAGGCGGCTTGGGTCCATCCGGATCGAGACTCATGGCTGGCCATTTTGTTGTAATGGGCGTATAGCCACAGCTTCGACAGGGTCAACCGGATAATCATGGCATAGACCCATTGGATTGGGATGTTGATGTCCAAGTGTTGCAAAAAGCGATCTTCCAGACGGTTCGCTACGGTGGTAACGAGCGGTTCCCGATCAGCGGTGGATTGTGCATCTCTTGCACCACCGTTACGCCGATTCGGCCAGTTAAGTTCCGAGATGATGTCGCACTGGATTATAAGGAGGGTGATATCGGTGGCACCAGTCTTCTCCGGTGGCAGCTCGGTCATGGATGGGTCCAGATCTGCCCCGTCAATGTTATGGGGGAGACGAGTGTCAAACATGCCTGGCTGGATTTGGGTGTCGGTTCCTTGGTCCTCCGAGCACACCATATCCAGAAGACAGATGTGCCACCATAAGCGACGTCGCATCTCCGAGTCAAATGGGCTGAGTCCAAGGCTTTGACCGTCGCGATGAATGCCCTGTCCCTGAGCCACGCGAACCACAACGGCAGACGCCGCCCAGACGAGTCTCGCATCGCCTCTCCAACGGAGACAGAGCAAGAAGATCACCGCAGCTTGCAAGACGCAGATATTCTGGGACTTGATGAAGTTGGCTCGTACCAACGCCTGGTCCACGGCGAGCTGATAGCTCTGGATGGCCTTTTCGCAATCCATACCCACCAACGCCATGCACTGGTCTGGGGGTATGGTTACGATGGCAGCGAAGCAGACGGCGAGAATGAGTGCTTCGCGGGCAGGGTCCGGATTGATGTTCTCGGATTCTTCACTTACCATGATCTCCACGGAAGGTACATGTAGAACGGCGAGTAACGGTGCCACATTGTTTTGATAGACTTGCCATAAGCGCTGCATCTGATCTGGCTGCAGATAGGTGTCCCGTAAACTGTGATCCCGCCAGTTGCCCCCGAGGCTACTGGCGAAGTGCAAGCCGGATGTCTCCGGGGTCTCCAGTTCATCCTCGGAAGATGATGCATCACAGATATCATGTAGTTCTCGGATCTAGAATAGTCACGAACACACCCGTCAGGGCTCTTGTTGGGAGAAGAACAAGTATTAAACGAGGAGAGAGTTCTAACCTTGTCCCCCAGCACAGCCGAGGGAGCATCCCCCACATAGCGACTCTTACCTTCCTTGACAACTAGCCTGCCTTCCCGCTGGCCTGGTTCCAGTGGGCCAGCGGCCTCCTCCAGAGGATGGCCGAGTGGAGACGCTCCAGCCTCCGCGGGTTGCTGAGCTTGAGCGCGCAGGAGCTGGACCTCTTGCTCCAGCTGTCGCAGCTGGGCCAACACCTCCGCGATGGGAGGCCGTTTGAGCTGTCGGGGCGCTCGCTTGGGACCCGGAAAGACACATTGCTCGCCGCCCTTCACACACCGGCCGCAGGGAAACTTCCGGTCGCATCGGAGCTTTCTGCGGTTGCAGGGGATGCAGCTACGGGGATACGTGGTCTTGGATGATGCAGTTGCTTGCGCCGGGCGGGATAAATCATCCATCTTGCGACATCGCCATCCCCTCAAGATTTAACATGGATTGTTGGCAGAACAGGAGGCGGGAGAGGAAGAGCGATCGGGCGCGGTCCGAGACACAGACGGAAAGTAGAAGAAACACCCGGTCGCGTCAGCAGATCCTCACTGACGTCCTGGATTCAATCCATGCAGCATTCATCACTGGGCTCTACCTACTCCGCACCCCGCAATCATATGGCTTTGATTATTTCCTCTGCTAGATACGATGCTAATAATAATGCAGTTTGTCTCGATCGCTCTCTGTGCCAGTTTCATGCTCCACCAACCTCCCCACTCGCTATCTCAGCCCGAGCTAGATTCCTCGGTACGGCCACCCTTGTGTGTCCTTAAAGAAGACGTGGTTTGTTTTACAGACCTTCCAACACCAACAACAACAGCCAGCTGCGCGATTTTGGCCCTTTCCCGGTCGTTTCCGAATCGTCAAAGGCACTTGCTGCCGTGAGGAGAGGTCATAATGGGACCAGCCGTGACTTTTCACCGTAGGTTCTTCAGCCCCGACCGTGCTGTAAAGTCAGTCCTTGCGTTTCGAGCATGGAAACATCTAGGTGATGCCCACTTGGAGTTAAATCGACTTTCCGGACTATTCGCAGAAATACTGTCCCTATCCTCCGACACAATCAACTCTTTGCTGGACGCACCGAGGCTGTCTCGGATGGCAACTCAGGCAGCAGCGTCTCCGACGAGCCGACCGATTTGTCGTAGTAGATGTCCGGCACCACCTCTGCTGGGAGCTCAGCGATGAATTCGGCGGGTAGTTCGGCGGGCAATTGGACGATCTCATCAGCAGACATCTCAATTGGCTTTTTTTGAATGTCTGTGCCGGCAGACGACTGCGATGGCCGTCCGGAAGAAATGGAACCTTTGGTGGAAGCAGAAGAGGTAGCGTACAATTCCGGTCGAGGCGCGAACAGATCGGAGCGTAGGACGTTCATCAACTCGTCCGCCTCCTCGGGGGGTGGGAACTGGCCCTCGATTAAATCGCGCGCCTTGATCTTCTTCCCATATAACTTCTGGTTTGCGCCGCGGCGTTCGAATATCATGCTCCCTTCAGTACTGAAGCCACCAAAGAAACCTTGATTATGGCCGTAGACAAAGATGCCCGCCATCCCACCGGCACTGACCACTCCGTTGACTTCGCCAAATCTCCCCGATGGGCCCATGGCAAATGAAGCCGTCTTGCCCAGAGACAAACTCCCCAGCTGGGCAAATGTGCGAACGGCGCTGGTTGTGTTGAGGACGAAGACGAAATTGGTCACCTCCACGCCCAGCTGCGATCCTACTCCGACTCCGGCTGTCAGGATGGCTGAAGGTGCAGACCAGTCGCCGTCCTCGAGGCGCGCGATTAAAATGCCCGAGCCCATTCGTACAGATCCAACGATGCCCAGCTTCGAGACGGAGAAAATTGCGAAGCCCTGCCCTTGGCTGGTCAGTCAATCGAGGAAGGATTATTTGCGACCGTTGTAATGCCACTTGCCTTGGCAGCTCCGAGGACTTTTGGGGGAATGAGACTGTCGCGGCCATCCGGGTTCAATGGGTTCGTAAAGGCATCTAGAATCCGGGCGGCTTTGTTACATTCACCTGCATGAGGCGTTGGTCAGTCACCGTCTCTTGTGCCAAGTCCAGAATTCAGAGCCAATGTCGCTGTGCGATGATAGAGAGGGGGAAGAAACCTACTGCGAAAAGAGCCCGGGAAAGGGCTATGCATTTTCCTCAACTTCTCGAATGGAGGCATGATTGCAGTGATTCCGTTAACAGCGATGATGAAGATAACCGATGGATGGGTTCACTCGCAATAGAGGAGCAGAGTGACACAGAAATAGAAGAACTGAGCTCCCCATCCAAGTGGGGGAGGTGGTTTAAAATCGACATTTGACTCTGTGTTATCTAGACTAGCGGGGGGCTTGTGTTGAGGCGCAATTTAGGTGTTCTTTCTGCCTTCCAATCAGCAATCCCGGCCACTCTGATCATCATCGTATGTGGGGGAGCTAAAGTCGGCCAGCGCATGAATTTAATGGATTGGAAGCGAGAAGGATCAGCCTTTGCAAGCCAAAGTGGATCCCGTCAGTCTTTCTCTGCCGTGTCCCATGCACGCTGACCATCTCAATTCAGCAACCACTTCGGAGGGGGATCCCATTCACGATTGATCTATGCATCCTCATTTACTACTCTTACTCTTCGGACAGCCAATTTCGTCATAAATCAGTGGCTGAGACAGCGGAGTGGTTTGAACTGCTTATCACTCAAGTGGTAGTTTATGATGACCTTGGTGGATATATATTTCCGTCTCCTGCAGCTGACGACCACCACAAACTCTACCACCTCCCAGCTTCTTTGACTCACATGGCCATGATGATCCGAACCGATTGCCGAAATAGGAACATACCAATAAAATTTGGTACACTCGCCACATGGGAGATCAAACAGACATCATTACGACCGTGTCGGAGGAAAAACTACTTACGGCCCAGAGTTCATAAACGCAACGGGCATAGATGTCCTGTTATAATCTTCACCCTCATGCCCATGCCCTCGGCGGGGGTTTGGAGCCAGTTAACTTGCCTTAAAGTCCTTTTGAAAAAGAACCTCGATCGATAGACCAGCGGCTATAGACACAGCTCACTTGGAGAAGTAAATTTCACGCCTTGAACAAGTACCCATCAATGTTAGTACCAAATTGTAGCGACTGGACCTTTCTAACCAACATGTTCTAAAGTCAACATCAGTCTGAACGTACGGAAGTCAAAGCCCTAGCGTTGTATTAACTGACTATTATATAGGAGGCGACAAACGCAGCCGCATTATGTTTACTCCGTATAGGAAATGTTCCAGAGAATTGGGCATCGCTCTATGCCCTCTCATTCTGTCCTATACCCACCCTAACTGTCATTATGTAAGGATGATATTTCACATTTCTGACCTATAAGATGTATTGGCAGACGAACGAGCCGTAGCCAAATTCAGAGAGGTACGGGGTAGACTTTCATACAGAGCACATTAGAGTTAACCATAATAGAGAGAAACTCCTCTCCATACGCATTAGTTTACGCTACTGTGACTCAAAGCAACCCCAGTAGTCTAAATATGGTCTAGGTTTGTGGGCGTTCCTTGCTATCGTTGGATTAGGAAAATATGATGAAACCTTGTTTCCTTCCTACGCCAAGCATTCACTTCTGCTACCCCTTCTCTCAACCGGTTCACCCCAGCCTCTCAATTCTTGGTGCACTTGTAGACTCTGTGCATCCTGTCGTATTGTAGACAAGGAACCTTGTTAAGATCAATATTGATCATCCCTGAACCAGGAATCTTCTCCATCGGTTACGCATCTGATAAGGTTACCGAGAGAAAGAAAGGAAGACTAAATGCGCCAGACGAAACACTGCCACCAGAAAGCTGGTTATGGCCCATGATACCAGCTAGCCTTCTGACACCAATCGGTCTCCTGTGGTACGGCTGGTCACTACAGGCCGGGGTATTTCCAGTTGTGCCTTTGGTGGGTCTCGGCGTGTTTGGCTTTGGTATGATGGGCATTTTCCAGCCTGTGCAGATCTATCTGGTAAATGCATTTCCAGTACATTCGGCATCAGCCCTCGCAGCGAGCAACTTACTGAGGAGTTTAGTGGGTGCACTGTTGCCTCTTGGAGGGCACCGAATGTATAACACCATGGGGCTTGGATGGGGGAATAGTCTACTGGCCTTTATTGCGTTGGCAATGGTGCCGGCCCCAATTATCTTGATGAAGTTTGGGGAACGAATGAGGCTGAGCGATAGAAATATAGAAAATGGAAGAACTCAAGGTTTTAGGAGCTGAATACTACTGACACGGCAAAATGTTTGATTTGTGTGGATGGAGGGAGCAAGGACAATACAGACTAGCAACGATACGTCGCGTCGTTGACTGAGTAAGGGGTTGAAAAGAAGTTGATAATTATTTTCCCATGAGAGGCGTGAGTTTGCAATGTAAATTGACTGGAGATCTTAGCTAGGAAACATGTTACGAACTATGTAGTACTGTGTATCCCGCGTATCGCCTATGGTATGGGTCCCTCATCGATAATGCGAACAACAGAGGTCAGACAGCTGGCAAAGAAAAACAAAACAGCAGCTAGAAGATAAGGTAAGCCCATCCAAAATCCGTCCTGGTGCACCCCGCGTTGAAACGCAGCCGCCAGGATAGGCCCTGAGACCATTGACCCGATACTCTGTGATAGACCAATGGCCGTGTTTAGTACACCAACCTGAGATGGCAGAACCAGAGCTGTAGCCAAGCTTCTAAGCGCTGAGTAAAACCCCCAACCAAATGCAAGTAGACACACTCCGAATACATACAGCGGCGGCTGGCTTGCGATGGCCATCAGCGCCATCCCCAGGGTTAGAATCCATGCACTCCACTGCACGACTCGAAGGTCAGTGAGAACCGGGGAAAATGACATGTGTCTATGCAACCAGTCCGACAGTTTTGGCAACAAAACCAGAAGAGTGAGGAGGTTGATGAGGCCCTTGACCGTGATGAGGTAGCTGGCCCCCGCGATACTCCAGGAGAAGCGTCTCGAAGCATATTGAATGATCAACTGTAATGCCTGACGACCAATACTGGCTAGAAGGAAGGAGCATACGATGCAAATTAGGTTGAGGCACCGTGCGTTGACGGTGAAACTTCTGGCCTGATCCCACAGCTTGCGTAGCGTGGTCGTCAAGAGACGACCCGGGGAATCTCGGGTCGGGGCAAAATGAGCAGTCGCATCGTTGTGGTTGCCTTCACCCTCCCTTTCTTCCGCGTGTAATGTTTTCTGAGGATTTGTCTCGGGCAGAAATGTCGTCCCCAGGAGACCCAGTGACTGGATCGCTACACCAAGTAGCGAGGGAACCCACGGGCTCCAGGACATCAAGAAGGCACTGAGGGGGGTGGCCAGGATCTCTCCTAGTAGGACTGCGGCAGCCATGAGGAAAAAAACAGAGGCACTAGTGGTTCGGTTAGCAAGTCCATAGAAATCTAATCCCGCTGGTGGATTGCAAACCGGTTGCTAACAGGCACCAGATCAGTAATCATGGCATAGGCCATGGCCGTTGATAGCTGAGGGCCCCAGCCCACAAGTTGAAAGATCGGGGTCACCCAGACAGTCCGAAGCGGGAGAACGGTATTGCACCAGCATACCACCCGGATGGCCAGTTCCTCCATTAGCAGGCCGGTAAGACTGAACAAGAGGATGGGTTTCCGTCCAACTCGGTCAGCCAGAAAACCATAGGGCAGGGCCAACAGGATCCCTGGTAGCTGGTCAAACATGTCTTTCCACCCGTTGACAAGGGCTAGTTCCGCTTGCACCTCCGGCGACTTGCATCCCGCGCCTACTTCCAGAGCATGACTGTCTGCACCAAACCGACGACATATGATGGATTCGAAAATGGCGATATGAGGAGCATATGAAAGATAATTTCCGAAATCAGCTGCTACCACTGAGGCAAAGATGAGTGGTAGGAGAAAACGCTGGGGGTCTGCTCGTAGGCGGGGGACTCTGGCAGTAGGCTGGTCACAATCAGACGGTCCACTCGGCGGTAATAGTGGCTCACACTCTGGGGGCAACTCGGATAGTTGGGGAGCCATGAGTAGTAGGAGTTTTGGGGCAGACGCCAAACTGTGGTGGTTGACTTGCGACTCTTGCTCCGTGGTCTTAGGGGGTGCTGGAGGGCAGAGACGAGATAAGCCTTCTCAGTCGGAAGCTAGAAAGGCATGCCCCCAGAGGCGAGACTGTAGCCGTCCGTACTTTGGTCAAATTAATGGCGCCTAGGCTATCGGACAGGGGATCCGGGGCTATCCCCAGGACCCCCTACATAGTTACAACTAGTACTTCGGTTGAGAGGCCCTCTCAGCGAGTTAGGGACCGTTCCCGACTAGGCGCCAGCAAAGCGGTGCATCCTGGGCTTGGATTTCACCGAGATACAACCGATGCTTGTGGTTACCGGATCTTGTGATTTTGCAATAAGATTGGTATTGGCAAATGGCAGGGAACCGCACTATAGTCTTATTTCTTACCCTGCAGGTTGGTAAGGGAGAAATTGATGGCGAGCTGGCTAGGGTCCCTCCCTCTCCCCCCGAGCAGGGTTGGCCCGGGGAGAAGCCTGTTTTCCCGACGGCTATGCCGGTGTGGTATTGCAGGGAACCCCGGCGGGCAGCATTGAAAACCCACCCACACCGGTGCTCAAGTTACATGGTGGAAGAACTAATCCAGGTCCAAGAAGGGCAAGAAGAACAGTGCAGCATGGCGAGCAAGTTTTGACGAAGGACACTTGCTCACCTCGAGTCAACCCCATACCCGACACTCCTAGCTACTAGTGAGATCCCAAGAAACTATTATAATTCGAACAAACTGCCTCAATACGAGGCAGAAGAGAACTCTGCTAGACTGACCAGCGTCAAGATCAAACCAAGGGAGCTAGATACTTCCTCCCGAGGCACAAAATACAGCTTCGGATGAACACATAAACATAATTAGTCTATTCTATGTACAGATCTTTATTCGTAACAACATTAAGCATTACTGGTCTTTTCCATATCACGAGCCGGTGACGCAGCCAGCTTACTTCGCTGACGGATCCAGGGCCCAAAGATCATAAACGCAACGGGCATAGGGATCATAATGGCAGCAATACATCCCAGCAGAGTGCCTGCCCACTGCACGCCTAAATTGACCATCATTTGCCGCGAGAATAACGGGAAGACGCAGCCCACGGCCGACCGGAGAATAGTGTTTGCCGCAATGGTGGATGCAGCCCTGTCTCGCATTAGTCCTATGTCATCCTATACCATGAGTTGCAGGAGGTTACTTACAGAGTGGGATAGCAGTCAACGATATAGTTGAAGCACTGCAGGAAGATGCACAGAATGCCAAATCCGATCAGAATACCAGCTGCTGTCGGAGCCATCCAGTGGATCTGGTTCGTGTACCCAGTCCAACCGAACCTGTTGTGGTCAGTATCGTCTACCATAGTATTTAACAAATCGGACTACCCACCAGAACATGCCAATAGCAAACGCAACAGCGCCAACAATCGCAGCCGGAAGACGCCATTCAGGAATAGGCTTGCCCCCATTCGCCGCCAGCTTGCGCTTATATGATCCCTGCAGACAGAGGATAAAGACACCTCCAATCAGCTCTCCCAGGATAAGACCGATGAATGCGAGTCCTCCCACCCCTGCGCTCATTCCATACACGTCATCGAAGACGACCGGGTACGCACCAAGAAGGGCATAGATAAGGCCATACACGAAAGAGATATACAGAGAGATGAGAAGCAGGATCGGCTCCGTGATGAGCATTGACAACGGACGAGTGAAGTTATTCCGGACTAGTTCCTTGATGTCGACTTCCACCTCGTCCTGCTTGGCGTGGATGCCCCAGTTACGGGTCTGTCGGCGGAGGACAGCAGCCTTGCGGACCAGGATCACAGGGGCATACGACTCATCCAGGAAGAAGAACACCAGCACAAAGGCAAGGAAGACCATGATTGACGAGATGTACATGGTCCAACGCCATCCCAACGGGCTCGCGGCAATGAATCCACCCACGAATGGCGCAGCAAACGGGCCGATGAACACAGCCATGCAAAAGATCGACATGACAACTCCACGGTGCGCTGCGCTGAACAGGTCGGCAAAGACGGCGGGGACAAGCGAGACGGGACTGGCGGCAAAGAGACCGGCGAAGAAGCGACTGATCATGATGGTCTGGATATCTTTCCCGGTGGCAGAGGCAATGGTGAAGATACCACATCCAAAGAGTCCAATGGACAACGGCCAGCGTCGTCCGATGAGTTCAGAGGCGGGTGCCCAAATAGTCGGTCCGGCAGCGAACCCGAGAACATACAGCGTGACTCCGAGGGTACTGACTTCTCGACCGACATGGAATTCCTCACTCACGGCGTTGACTGCTGCAGAGAAGACGGCGCTGGTAAAGGCTGTTGCGAAGGTACAATAGCAGAGGATGGTGACTAGGACAGTTCTATAAGCGATGAGAGATGAGTACTTTATATCGGTAAAACGTATTCCAACTCCCACTTCCACTCACCTCCGAATAATAGACCAGTTCCAAGGATGCAGAGGATCATCTGCACCATCGAACTCGACGACATATTTCTCTGGATCAGGAAGCGAAGGCGGATACTCTTTCCCAGCACCCATGGGCAGCCATTCCTGGCGAGGCTCAGGACCTCTCGTGGATCCTACCGTAGCACGTTGCTGCAGACGGTATGTGTTGATGCGAGCGAGTTCCAGGGAGTCGGGATGATCGGGATGTTCATCGGAATAATCCTCACTATCGGAGGTATGAATCGGAGAGATTTCTTTGGCGTGTTCGGTTACGTGCTCCATGGTTTGCCGATAGCACTGCACCCTGCAGACCGAGTAAAAGCAACACACTCTTTTCTCACAATCATCTTCGGGAGAGACATGGCAACCACCAGATATAAGTATCAGTGACTAAAGAGCCCCATACTACTAACTAGCCAGCAAGCAAGAGAGAAAAAAAAGAACCCACTTCACTAAGGGACCCATTATCATACTAGAAACACCCACCATCAGGGTTTTCATACCCGTTCCATCACCTTCTGGCCATGGCACCATACCCATCCCGAGCCCGAGACACCAACAATGCCTTGTCTCCCCGATCCATCTTTTTCCGCGCGCCGTTACGGATACTTCCCTTAGCTCTGATCCATCAGCCACAACTCCGTTCCTGATGCCGTGGAGCCAATCATGATGCTTGCCCTGGATAAAACCATCGAAACTTGACAGCGGATACTCTCGGCGTTGTGGCTCGTGCGACGGCGAGCCGCTCGGTAATGTGGCTGCGACCGATCCCAACCGAGGATATCCGAGGGTAGGCGTTGGGCACACAAAAATTTCTGGTATACAAAGAGCAGACATATTGATAAGGAATCAAAGTGGGTTGAACTAGTCAATTCGTTTAGGAGAATTTGATGTCACTGACTTACGCATGAGGCTGACGCATAAGTCTTCATTGGCCGGGAAGATTTACATCAATCCATGTGGTTGTCCGAGCGTCACTGAAATCGGTTCCGTCGGATCAATGCTGTGTGCTGATTGCTTGGCGGTTATCTATTCTTGTTGAATAAAGTAATATAGATGTGTGGTTATTGGGGATAACGTATTCCACGTCCTGCTTGTGCTCTTTATCTACCATGCTCCCCCACCTATACCCATCGCGCTGATATCTTGTTTTCTTACTCCATGAACCTGCTCCGGGCAATAGGCAACTAAACTTGTATCATATCATCTCATTGTATAGTCACTGATATTTTCATGGTTCTACAAGTGATATCAAGGTTATACTAATTCCACGGGGCAACCATCTTACACTACGACATATACGTCGGCAGTGTTGGATCAATGCTACCCCACCACAATCTGCCCCAATAGGCAATATCTATTAAAACTCACCAGGCCCCTTGCCAAAATGACCTCCGGTAGGGACCGTCAGCCACGGCACCGAGTTTTCATCATCAGTGTTCGATCCCACCGTATTTCCCCACCAGTTGAAGGTGGTGTTCGTGTATCCGAGGGCGAAGAAAATCACAATGGTGGCGATGGCTGTGCCGGTGTCCATGGCTGCTTGGAAGAGGTCTATCATTGTCAGTTGTGGACTCATACAATCGTTTCACCGGTGCATGACTGAGAAAGAAGGCGTAACTCACAGTTGTACTTCTTCCACCAATCCATGGCACGCTTGCGAATGAGGTAGTTGAACAGGAACCCGAAGATGAACCAGAGCGAGTATTGGGCTGGGCCATGTTAGCACTCTTGGGCATGCTCGAATAGTATGAACGGGACAACGAACTAGTATTGGCAGGGGGGATGTTTCCTGCAGCGTTGAAGAAAATGGGTACGTTGACATATTTGACCCAACTCTGCGGATAACGTCGGTAGATCAGGTACACAATCACCGTCACCACGGGCTATTTCTATCAGCAAGTATACAACATAGGAGGAGCAGGTCGAACATACACCGATGAGGAAGAAGTACATCAACGAGTGATAGACTTGCCCGGACTGGAACATCCGCTGGGGTCCAATGGTACCCCAGATCAGACTGGCGTTGTACATCACCTTGGCGCCGGCGCAGGTAAATCGCTGGGCATTGTCGGTGTCGCATAGTCCGGAGATATGGCCCATCATCCAGCGCAGGACTGCCTTTAATCAGCTTATGTCTATTGACGGGTAATCGTGTTCTTACCGCCTGTCTGCGTCATCGTGGCGAGGATGCTGGCATATATCTGTCCGAAGAACAGGACACGGGGAGGAATTTTCTAAGGCCGTTAATACCTACAGTCTGCGATCGAACGGCTAGACTCACCATGTACTGCCCCATTTTGAGGTCCTGAGCAAAGTCCATCCCGTGCTTGACGGCATTATACCCGTAACACTTGACCATCATGTTGGCGATGGGCTTGCCCGGCCACGCGTACCCGGCGATCAACTCTGTGATGATGTTCAGAAAGATGCGCTGGTTGGTTGTTCCCTCCAGGATGCCTTCTGGGACAATGAGGACCACGCCCATTCCGCAGCACACAACGATGAAACCCCAAACCGGCAAACCCGTCTCCCAATACTTGGTGGTGAGGATTCCTAGCCCCGCCATGACAACGAACAACGCGCCGTACCACCAGTCCGGAACTTCAGGATACGCGCGCATCAAGCGGCGATGGATGTCTTCGCCTCCGTGACGAGCGTTCTTGAACTTGGCCCAGATCTCTGATCCGTTGTAGAGGTAGGTGTGTACCACGATGGCTGTCACCGCCGCGAAGGACAAACCGTAGGTGAGCGTGTATGACATGGAAAGGTACATGGGCGAGTACTCTTTGTATTTACTGAGGACAAAGTCCCCGTTAGAGTCAACAACTCGAGTCACATTGTATTCGCTTCCGGTGTTGTCGAAGGTCGAAGAAGATAGCAAAGGCAGGCTGAGCACGCTGTTAACGAAAGGTTCAACGTGTATTCATGATTGGGCACTCACTATGCGCTAAACCAGACATCCTTGTAGTATAAGATGGGCGAGAGGAAGAGGTAGAAAAAGACTACCACGGCAAAGGCATTGCAGGTAATGTAGAAAGGGGTCATGAGAGGGTATCCGGCGTAGTTGATCTGCGTCCAGTCCAGACTGAGGGGCAGCAGGCCCAGACCCGAGTTCATCTAACCCATGTCAGCGAGCCCCTGGAAGTATTCGGTATCGAAGCCTTACACCAAAGATCGTGTTGACCTTCTGGTTGTGCGGCGCAATCCAAGTGACGAATGCAAACGCACTGAGTGTCGTCCAGATATAGTCCGGGAACCAGTAGATTGCAAAGGCAAACAGAGTCGCGTACCCAAAGAAGCTGTACCGGCTCAGCGTCCAACCATTGGCGGGTGCCCGGTTTTGGGGTTCATGGAGGGCACGGAACAAGACCGTGGACGACAGGGATTGCGGCCAGATCAAGGCCGCGGGATACACGAGCCAGCGCCGACACATGCCAGCAAGGCCGAACCTAAACTGTCAGACAGATGTACAGGTGGGAGAGTGCAACTGGGATACTTACCCCATCATTTGCGACGTCAGGAGGTAGAGGAATGAGAATCCCGCCCCATAGTCCTTGCCCCAATATTGCGGCATAACGATGGCTACGAGGGAGCTTGAGGCGTAGGCGATTGAGGCACTGATGTTCACGCACTGGTTTGATCAGCCTTTGGGTACAAACGTCATTGGACATTTAGTGAATCCTACGATGGTAATGAATGCATGCTCCTTGATGCTAAATGGTCCCGGGTTCAAGTCAAAGGATAATCTTCCGAGTGGCACCCTCCATCGCGGTAGCCTCTCCCACCCGCGTCCGATGGGGAAGACGAGTAACTGAGCGACAACATATTGAACAGTGAGGGATGGCTAAACAGTTAGTTCCAGATACGACTCACGAATGGAGGTTCGCACTTACATATCGCAAACTGAAAAATTGATTGACCGCCGCGAAGACCATAACAAATATCGTTGTCAAAAACCATGCCCGAAATGCTGTGTCACATCAGTATGTTGGCCGATACCCTTGATTCGCCCGGACAGGGTTGACTAACTGTTGCATGGTAAGGTAGGATCATCAGTGTTTGGTACACAGGCAGCGACTTCTGGAACTGAATAGCTGCTGTCAGCAAACGGACAACCTGTGTCAGAACAGACAGGCAATGCTCACAGGGCGATTGGTCCCCCTCGACATTCCATTTGAAGGCCTCGAGAGGAGTGAGCTCCTTCTGTTCGGCGATAATATTCTGCCTTTTCAGGTCATCATTCTCCTCGAGCAGCTCGGCATCCAAGTCGGCGACACCGGCTTGCTTAGTCTCAATGGCATCTTTGCCCTCGTTTTCTGGGTGGTAGACGGAAGCCATGCCTGCTGCCTCTTGAGTAACAAAGAGGGCAACGTTTGGCGCAGGAGCGACCGAGTGAGCAAGCCTTTGTAGGGGATATGCACCGAGGCCGAAAGTATTACCCAGGAGCGGTCATAGACTCCGCGGATACCTGCATCTTATCTGTCACAACGATTGAGCAGGTACCACAAAAGTGGCAGGAGTAGCTGCAGTCTGGCGATAGTCCCACCGTAAATGATAACAACCCGCATGTCAAGCACACCATCCTATCGGGGGGGTACACTTAGCAGATTGGTTCCCTTGCTCATGACCCCAGCGGGCCAAGACCGACCGTGAAGCTCTAGCGGATGCAGTGTCACCAACCGTGATGGTTTCTGATAAGCTGCCGCTCATCCACGAGTCATATCCACTGCCAGTGGTGGCATCGGAGCGCCCGACACCGGATGGCGATCGTGCATATTCCGGCGTAATTCTGGAATCCCGCGCGAGGTTTTAGCCAGAGCAGCAGCCATGTGGCAGGCAGCAATCATTCAGGGTTGAAGAGCCCTACCAAACATCATTGGGGCCAACTCTTGCGTCTTCTATATTAGGTCTACTAATTCTGGTGGTCCGACGTTGATTCTGTCTTTTGGCGTTGGATGGCGTGCTGGAGCATCGCGTTGGCTGGCCTTATCGCCGAGGGCGCTGAGGGGCCCGGATGGAGCTAAGGATGGAAGCTAATCGATGGTCGATCGACCATCTCCTCCAAGCTTGTTAGCACGTTTATCTATCATCGGAGTCCAGCTCATTGGTCGCTAGACTCCGAATCCTAGTCAAGGTTGGTTGTTACTCTATTCCCCGCTTTTCGAGAGGAATTCTCCCGGGAGCCATCGCGCTCATGCCCTTGTCGCTCCCTGCAGTGGATGGCAATCGTGTGATCAACCCATGCTGATTTGTTCCCTATTGGAGTCAAAAATTGCGAATTGATCAGTTGGAGTGGGGTAGTACGCCGATTCAGGTCTTCTATTCACCGTCAGCCGACATCCTGGTTAGTCGAACGCAGCTAAGGCAACATTGAGATTTAGCGAGCTGACAGGTGACAGGATTTGGAGTTTCGCTCTGTTACTAAATTCTACATGACCTCCAAAACATCTCTGGTACAGTGTTCCCCATCACTTCTCTCGCATCCACAGTGGCTTGGTCTGGACGCCCAGTGATGACGAACACAATCAGTGCGTGGGTTGTTCTGCCCAGGCACGCGGAGTTGTATCCCAAGAGAGAAGGTCTGGCCAGTGCCCGCGGCCGCCAGCCTTAAAGGTTTTAGTCCAGGCAGATGGGGGGGGGAATGCCAGCGGACGGCTTCCAAGTCAAGGTCAATACACGACAAGCTTTGTAGACAAGATGCCACGGCCAAAGCTCACCTGTACTTAGAAGGCAGGAGAAACATTTAGCTCCTGATTGGGTTGCCTTGAGCCAGAAGGCGTCCGAGCGAGCGATAGCAGAACCTTCAGCTGCGGTCAACGCCGATCACCCTGGTGTCCCGGTCAGCTGGCCACATTCAGCCCAATGCTGCATATATACAAACAGTTGGCTGGTTATGTTTCTGAAATGATTTGTGCTGGACAGATACTTTGTCGAAAAATGTTAGTCGGCTGCCAGAGTTTTGCCGATCGCGCTGCGCAGAAATCAGTTGAAAAAAGCAACTCTTCCCCACAGTCAATCTGGGATGAGCGACTGCAATACCACTCCGGGGGAGTGTGAGCCGAGGCTGCATTATTACCATGCTCATAGGTCTCATTCTTGGTTCTTTCGTTATTGCATCCCTTGCACCGACCTGGTGTACCGTCTGATTTTGAGTGCAGCAAGGGTAAGGTTCTTATGAAAGCAAGTTATGCATTCACTAGGGATCCCCAACAACTCTCGGCTCTCTGTTTGTCTCAAATGCGGCAAAGCAAGGAGTGAAAATATAATAACCGGGTCCAGCAATAATTAATCCGCCCGGCGACGGCTGCGATGTCAAGAATATGCGCCTTAAAAGTGGTCTATCATAATGACCAGCAGGTACCATTCCGGTGTGCCGGACGGTCTGGTTGTTGCCGGAATATTTTATTGAAGTCGTCGCATACCATACTTTCACTACCTACACATCGACCTGAACTTGGAGGATGCTGTCTATAAGAACGATAGCCAGAGCCAAGCTGTGGGGACGATGGATGACATGGGCCGGACATAAGATCGGGGATAACGGTGGAGAGCGAAAAACGTCGTCGCAAACCAGTGCCTGCTCCTCCAACAGACGAGTTTAGCATTCTCTGAGTGTCTGTCTGAGCAGTGCGAGCTACCACTCATCTTGCACGTCGCATCTCTACGTGGATCAACCATGCGGGAAGCGGTAGGTGGACATGCGGCTGCTCACCGCGACTCCACATCACTGCCGCAGCAGATTGAGCTTGGGCTCGAGGATGTGTGGATTGGTGTGACCGATCCGAAGGAGAGGCGCAGGCTGCAGAACAGGTTAAATCAGAGGGCCCGAAGTAGGTTGGCAAACGAGTCTCTCCCAAGTGGGCTGGCTGACGATCCAAATAGGGCGCCGTCAGCACTTGGCTAAAGAGCTACCCAGAAGATCTGAGCGATATGATTCTCAGGCTTGGTCCACAACAGTATCGGCGCCCTATCAACTCGATTTACAATGCTTGGATGAACTCCGCATCTTTGGTCCGCTTGCCGCAAAATCCCGCAGTACCCTGCAGCAACTAGAAGCTATGGTGCATGTTGAGTTTGCACTTGGCTCACCACAGGCCGATTTGCGTTTGGGCGTGACTCGGTTAAACATTTTGCGGGCATTGTACACCAATGTTGACATTTTAGGTTATGATGCCAAAGATATGGCTGCCGATGAGGCGCTGTCAATGTTCGCCATGATTGGGCCACGATGTCTGGCAACAGCCGGTCGGGAGGCTGTCCTGCCTCCTGCATTGCAGCCTACAGAGATTCAACGCACTGTACCCCATCATCCCTGGCTCGACCTCATCCCCATTCCCGGGATGCGCGACAACCTCATTCTGATGGAAGATCTGATGGATGATCGCCAATTGTGTCGGGATATGTGCGGCTACCGCTCTCAGGTACCTCGGTCAGGGCATAGACGCCCTACAGGGATGGGAGAAACAGGAGTGATTGTGTGGAAAGATCCCTGGGATCCTGCTGGGTGGGAGATCACCGAGACCTTCTTCCAGCTGTGGGGGTGGTCCGTCAAGGATTGCTGGGGTTTGTTTAGTTCGACCAATGCATGGCGGATGCGCCGGGGAGAGAGACCACTCTTTGCAATACGTTCTACCGATAGCTATTAGTGGAGTGGGAATGCATCTAGTACTTTTAGATTATACTTTGCCATCCGTCGGTTTGATCATCTGGATGAGGTGTCACTGGATCGAACTATAACTACCCTTTACTCCTGGTAGTAAATGAACCGGTAATAGTCGTATGAATATATATCTGGCAATCCAGGGTGAAGTCAGTAACAGATTTCATCACCTGGCGACTGTCAGTGGGTACTGTAAACCAACGAGCCTCAACCTGCTATACGAATATCGAAGCAGTGAGACAGAGACAACACAGGGCTCCGACGATGAAGCGTATAGGTGATCTGCATACCCTCTACTGTGTATCATCAGGTGAAGCCAGCCAGCCATTATTGCGAGGAGAAACCGCTCCTTTCCCAATCCAGCCTAGTGGGAGTGCGGATGATAGCATTTAGCGCTGCACTAACCCCCTTGGGAGGGTGACCTAACCGGAGGCGGTTAGCTGATCGGATTCGTGTGACGATTTTGAAGCCTGAGGCACCAATGCCAGAAATGGAATGACAGCCAGACGACCTGCGTGAAGAGCCCTTGGGATATCATCAGCCAGAGACAGGATTAGTCCCGTTATCGCTGCTGTCGTGAAACATTAAAAGGTGGACACCAATGAATCCCACTGACACGGTTGCGAGTGGGATTGGGCATCACTGCGGGTCGAGCAAATGGGTAGTACAGAAAAAGCACATTGCTGCAGACATGCAGAGATACATTTTCATGACAGATATCCGTTCATCGATTTGATAACATTATATCATGATAGGACATACGGATTGCCAAAAGCAAGATACCAGTTGATATACATACAATCCCAGCTCCCAACACCAGACGCCTCCATCGTGCTTATTTTATTGATATTATACACCATGTTGATCAAACGTACCCATTCCACACTTTAAAATTAATCCTTCTTCTGGTGGCTCGGTGCACGACCGACTCTGTTCTCTCCCGTCTGTCCGCCAACCATGGTATGGATGTCCTTTTGCGAATACAGCTTCTCCTCCTTGCTGGGCGATTGGGCGCGGAAGAACATCCAACCGCCGGCGATCATTCCGATCACACTGAAGATGGCAATGTTGCGGGAACTGCAGTGGTACTGTCAGTGTCTATGCTGACACAGTCAAAGATGCAGAAAGCAGTGACGTACCGAACAGAGGGCGGGTGACCGCCAGTAAGACCTCCAGCAGCAGCCATTGTGTTTGATGAGTAGAAAGCGATGTGGAATAGTGATACTAGTGATCCACTAGTGAGTAATGCGATATAACTGTGAACGAACCTGTTGATTACAAGCAACGAGGGCCTCCTCAATGCTAATATATCTCTGGATACGATGGCGGATCGGTGACGTCAAAATTAAGCGTCCGTCGGGAGAGCGACAGTCGGTTCGTGTTCCGGCGGATAAGCTTATAACCTCGTCGTCTCTTCACAAGCCAGCTGCTACTTTACGAGCTTGCGTCAGGGCGACGTTATCATGGATGGACCAACGGGATCATGTCCTGCAATGGCAGTTTCCCTCATTATGTAACTGCGCGGTAGGAGATCGTATAATGGGCTGTCGCTCATCCTCTAGACCATTCACAGCAATTACTAAATAGACATATCAGATGAAGTTACAATTCTGATCGACAGGACTGACAGGAGCCCTATCCAATGGATAGTTTGCTAATGATAATATTAACTGGTTGAGCACAGTGCGTCGTAAGGCATACTAGTCACAAACGTCCTCATCCAGACACGGAACAGATTAACTACAATAGCAACTAAACTCACAGCAATACAAGTAATCCAAAGTACATTATACAATCCAAAACAATGCAATTCATTCAAGCTTCACACAGTCAACTAAAAAAGAGTCTAGCCCAGTATCGACCCTCGCCGATCGATAAAGTGCGGCAACGGAAGCTATACAACCCACCGACGTCATCGAGTCCTTAACGCGGCGATCGATCGATCCACAATTCCAGCCATTCTCAACAATTCCAATGTTATCAGAAAATCCCCGACATTCACAATTTTCCCCCACCGAACCAAACCAGAGCGCGACAGATATACACAATAGAATGGAAGTACTGTACACCAAACCTCAATCTTCCCCTTACTTCTTCGGAGGACCGCAGTAAGTACACTCACCTAAAACCATCCCATGCAGTCGTATTTAACAAACAACCCAAGACCCTGGTCCTCCTTCTCCTGGGCCTCCTCTGATGACCGCGTCCGCGGCGGCTCCTCACATTCCTGCCTCACCGTCAACAAAGACACCAACACCGCTACCTTCCACGGCAATCTCGACATCAAGACCCTCGGCGGAGCAGGCTTCGCCTCGCAACACACTGCCAGCACCACTGAATTATGGGATCTTAGTAGCTACGCTGGACTGGAACTATCTATCCCTAAAAGTGATGGACACACGTATACGTTGAATTTGAGGGATGAACTGCAGGATCCTCGACCGGATGGACGCCAACGGAGCGGGTTGGTCTGGGAGGCGAAGTTCAAGGTCGAGAAGGGACAGATGAAGGTGAGGTTGGCATGGAAGGAGTTTCGGCCGACGTACCGTGGGAGGGAGGTTCATATGGGGAGACCGTTGATCTTGGCGGGGGTGAAGAGGTTCGAGATTATGATTCGGAGGTGAGTCCCTTTCTTTTGAATGAGATTGGTATGGTGCTGACCTGGTGGTGATAGTTTCTTTGGGGAACAGGAAGGAGATTTTGAATTGGAAATAGAGTCGATCAAGGGCATTGAGAAAGAAAAGGGGCGGTATCGGGATGACCCGAATGACAGTGAAGACGATGAGAAATACTTTGATGAGAAGCAGCAGCTTTACAGTGAGGATGAAGACACTGGATTAGGCTGGCTATGCTGTGGAATATGCTAGATTGCCTCTAATAGTCTACTGATACGCGTTAAATCGAACAGGTATCATCTGCTCATAGTTCAGCGCTTTCCGCATACTCTCCCGTCTTCACGAACGTCTCAATAACGCGAATCAACCGACCCAACTTGACGGCATCCTCCGCTCCCACGGTCAAGGCCGCATAACTGATCTCTTTCTTCGAGTCAATGACCCATGCGCTTATGATCAACTTTCCTTGTGCGATCTCCACCGCAAACTGTTCCTCAAACAGACTTCGTGAACACGGAATGAGTAAGCGTGAGAGAACCGCCGCTTCATATAGCCCGCGCTGCATGAAATGATTCTTAAGGAGCCCCAAATGGTAAGATCCAGTAACGCGTGGATTGACGTCGACAATCAAAAGCTCCCCATTCGCGTCCGTCATGATATCAGCTCCTGCCGGTCCGTAGTACCCTTTGCTGTGCAGGGCTTTAGCCAAAGCTTCTATCGTAGATTTATACCGATCCTGGAACATGGGTTGCAAAGGGTACGACACGCACCCACCATTCCAAACTCCTTCCTGGTCGAAACGTTGCTGAGATGTTGCCAGGTACACTGGCCGGCCCTTCTTTGTAACGAAGAATGTCACTCCATGGGCCTCCCCTGGTATTAGCTCCTGGATCACGAAGCTTGCAGGATACAATCGCTCATGCTCTTCATTGATTTTCTCAAGCACGTCTTTGAGGATGCTCCGCAACTCAATCACAGCAGTCTCTCTTTCTGACTCACGTCGGATGACGTATGTTCCATAGCCCGAGGTAGCAATCGATACTTTCACCACAAACGGGAGCCCTTGCTGCTGAACAGCTTGCAGCATCCTTTCGACCTCTGCATCGGCGCCTGCTTTCCAAGACTTGATCGGTAGCGGGTCGATGATCTTGGATTTTGGTGTTGGCAGGCCGCTCACTGCTAACCAGCGCTTGGACAGGACCTCGTAAAGCATCTCTGGATCCACTGCATGATCGAACCTTGTGCAAGTGTGATCCTGGGGAACAATAAATACTGCACGCGAGTCGGGGGCTAACTGGCAATCGTGCATACCCCTGATAAATCGCACTTCAGGCCGTTGATCCGGGCTCAATTGATCGTAAAGGCGCACTACTTCGTCCTGAGAGGTTGTCAAGATGTTTGGAAGGTCTTCACCTCCATTCCCACTCAGATCAATCATCGCAACAGGGGTACAACCAGCGATGAAAGAATATCGTTGAGCGATACTGCGCTTCTGTAGATTCGGCGCCTCCCCTTTTGTATGCGCACCAGGAAAGTTGGCAGCGTACACGAACCGTGCACCCGAAGGCAAGTTAATCTGGTCTCGGGGAAACTTGCACGGGTGATCATAGGCGAGAACAATGTTTTGTGGGGTATCATTGTCCAATGAGTATAGGTCATGCAAGGTACAGTCGAGCGTGATAGGGACTTTGGTAATGGGTGCCTTAGTCGAGGGATATGGCTCTGGCGGCACCAGTGGCAGTGGCTGGATGAGTGTCACAGCAGTCATGGTTTCAGTCAATTGAGAGCCTTGATGTTGTTTTCCTTGCACGTCTCTTTGATAGTTTCACCTGAGCCTCCAGTCCATGGGGATTTATGCGAGAGCCATCTTCATTCAGCCATAACACTTGCCCCATTGCCCAGAACAACGACATCAGGGCTGCCTAACCAGAATGGTTTCCTGTAGTTAGTCGACGTCAAGAGACGTCATGAGGGAAGTTGATTACCGTTCGCGGTCGAAATTTCCGCGGAAGTTCAAATCAAACTCGCCGCGGACCGAACCATCATGTAGCCTACCAGACAGCTAGATAACCAAAGATAGTACCAGTAGTGAAGCCGGTAGATTTCTCTTGGAGTCATTGATCCTTTTCCCCGTGCAGCAAGTGGGCGGGCGATTTCCCCACGCCTGAGATGGGTCCTGCAGATCGATGCAACCTTGGGACGTTGTGGGCTCGGGTATATCGGGACCCGCATTTGGCAGGCTAAGATGTACCAATATGTTCGTGAAGATCCTGTGTGAAAAAGTTTCAGCTTCAATAAACGTCGCATTCAAGGTCCCATTCAATCACTCATTTCAACATAATAAATAACTCTGTACAGCCAATTGAGCTGTTACACTGAAAGTGGAATTTTGGGCTGGGGAGAACGGGAAAGTGGGAAGAAAGCGTGAAGGGAAGGAAAGTATCATCGAAGACGCCCATCTGTTGGCTCCACCAGTGCAATGACTAGTTGCCTACTGGGGCAGGGGTGGCTTTCCTCAGTAGTCTAACCCTACCATTCTGCAAACCACTGGATTGATTAGACTCGCAGCAAAGCTCTTTAGCTAGTCATGTACGGGATTGGTTTCCGCTCTGTTCTCTCACACTTCCGGAAATGGTCGACAGCTACCGCAGGCGTCCAGGGTGGCTTCATGCCTATTGTAACCCTCTTCAACATATCCAATAATGGCCAGGGGCTCCACTATGGACAATGAAATGTCAGGATGCTCTCTAGCGTGGCCCGTGCCTTTGCTTGGGCTGATATTGAACCATGGCTTAATGGCGCACATCAACCATGGCGTCTTCGCTGAGACTCTCGGAGCTGTAGGTTAGCAGTACCGAATCACAAACAAGGAGACCATAGAAACCCGTACATTAGCCATCCATTTCCACCAGAGCATACGTCAAAGTCATTTGACACCCCCCTGCTTCTCACCCCCTGAGTAAGGACTTTGTTGGACGCACAAGAAGCGGCCCATTGAATCTTGGTATCATCTCGGTGTCCCCGAAACTCTAGACTGCATTCCGCACGGAGAGAAGCGAGTTCACCTATTCAGCTCACACTGCGGTAGCATCTCACCAACGTGAATTTCACATCAAAGCTGAGATCACACGATTACATACCCGGTTCGCCGAAAATTGAATGTAGTCATTCACCGGAGGCAAATGGCATGATGTTCAATGTCGTTCCAGAGGGAGAGGTCAGCTGTACAAATGGATCGAGCCATAAGAGCTGGCCTTCCTCATTATAAGCTTACATCTTGGCAGCTAAATTAGCTTTCAGAGTCAGAACTAAGCCAGCCTGTGTGACGTCCTGACTGTACGTAGACGTTCAAGGCACCTGCAACGGACAATCATGTTATGATTCATGCAGTCCGACACCCTCCACTCACCATGGACATCCGGCGCAGATATGGGTATACCATAATTAGGGCCACCGGGATGTTCCATTTGCCTTTGCACAACATAGCCATGGAATATGTAGGAGCCCAGCGGGCTTGAAATACATCTGGAAAGGCCTTGGTCGCCCGGCCTTCGGAGGATAGCCCATAAGGTCGACTGCCGTAACCTCCGCTTGTTGCACAAGCCTTGAATCTGGGGAGGATGACTGGGGGTGTGTAACAACCCCATACTCTGAACTGACGACTCTAACCTTCTCACCATCTTGGCATCGGAAGTTCCTGCGCCAACGAGGGGTTATTGCATGAGCAGCGATAGTAAACTTGATCCCAAGCGTCAGAGGGATGTTCCGGATACTCTCCGAATGGAACCGAGCCAGTACACCCTCTGAGAGAACAAGATTCTATTAACAAGTTGTAATACAGCGGTAGTCATGCGTTGGAGGGGAAGAAACCTTTGTTTGACTTGTCAATCAACTGCGGCTTAACGAGAAGCTTATATAGAGACCTTTGGCTTGCCTCAGAAGGCATCATTCTCAAGCTCGATCACGACAGGACCCACCAACAGATCAACAGCCCAATAGTTAAGCTCCATTATGCATGTACTGCTTCTGCTCATTTTGATGACATGCTAACAAGCCAATTAGCATCAACATGAGATTTACCTTGCTTGCATCTATGGCCCTCCTGGGTCTTGCCCTGGCTGCTGCAACGGAGCCCAACACCGACGACAACGGTAGTACCAAGGTCACTGATGGCACTCTTGATGTATGAGCCCTCATCCACATCCTCATCTGCAAATATAATCGTCGTTGACTTACCAGGTGAATTATTGTGGCGAACGTTGCGAATACGACTGGGAATGTCGTCGCGGAAACCGCTGCCACGAATGCCGAAAGCAGCACCATGAGGTGAGTAAATCTTGTTCACTGCTAGGTTGCTTATTTACTGAGATCTACTAGCGCTATGGCCGCTGCCGCGAGCGATATGACTGAGACGGTAGTCGAAAACGCCTGGTAAGGTAATGTCTCCGGGACATGGCTGATGGCGGATTGAATGGTGAAATTGAAACATTGTCTTTATCTATGCTCAGGCACCGAAGGAATGATATTCTCGCTCAATATATATCCCGTACAACGTTATACAGCAGATGGAATCGTATTACTGCTTCCACGCTGCAGGGAACCCGACTGCAGTGGAAGGAATATACAATGCGCGAGCCACAGGCGAGTGGACCTTGTATCTGGGGTACTAGTTGGGACATGTCAAGAAGTACCGTTCACGAGGTTGACAGTGGAGAAGATGAATGTAGACAGACCTATGAGGGGTAGTGAGTTGTATGATATCTGGACCGAGTGAACATTGCAGCGCAAGAAATGTCAATATATTGTCGATGAGTAGAGTAGTCTACTAGCACTTGGATAGAAGGATCTAGACTGTGCCAAAACTTGGAAGTTGTGCTGGCGGACTGTATTTATTGAAGATACATAAGACCAGTTCATGAAACGCGTCTGATGTGTGAAATGTTGGGTGTGACTGGTCTATGTGATACGGAATTATTCCGGCATCGGATATCACCTCAACGTAGCCGAGGAAGTGCATGTATAAAGGCCATCAAATGGCCTCTTCTATTGAATATACTGAACCTACAATTATCCACAATGCGAGTCTACTCATCGATCGACTCCAGCAATGCCCTCGCCTTCCACAACGGTCGCGTATATACCATCAACAGCGACCAACCCTGGGCCGAGGCATTCATTGTATCCCCGACGGGGATCATCGAACACATTGGTAGGAACGCAGATATCTTGGAAATAGCCTCGGCTCGCGGCCTCATCCAATATGACCTTCGCCAGCGCTTCGTCATGCCGGGCATCCACGACGCCCATACCCACCTTCTCGTCGCCGGCCTCCAAGCGCTGAACGAAGCCCGCATCGGCTTCGACTCCACACCCGACAACCTCACGTCTCGACTCGCGAAGGGTTCGTGCGCATGCGTCTACGCTAATGTCACAGGGGACTGGCTTATCGGAAACTTCTACCAGGCCAGCCATTTCCCCAACGGCGTGCCCGATCGCAAATACCTAGATGGTCAGTACCCGGACCAACCCGTGCTCATCCGCGAAGTCTCCTGCCATCGAATCTTACTGAACACGGCCGGGCTCATTCGTGCGGGAATCGATCCTAATGGTGCCCCGGATCCAGATGGCGGGTACTACGTCCGCCGACAAGACGGGATAACTCTGACGGGGGAAGTAGTGGAGAACGCCATGACAGCTGTCTTTGACTGTCTGCCCATTCCGCCCTTGGCGCATGTCAAACGCGCGATCCACCATGCGGTGTCTATATGCCACAAATTTGGGATCACGTCGTGCCAGGAAGCGTCGGCGAATACCCTGTACCTACATGCTGTGCGAGAATTGGAGTTGGAGAACCGGCTGGATCTGGATATCCATACGCATATTGTGTCAGCACCGGTATACTTTGCCATGGAGCCACAGGACAGCCTGGCTGGATTGATCGATGTGGCGGAGGGGTTCAGAAGCCGACATGTGCATACTCAATTTGTGAAGTTCTGGCTGGATGGCGCACCTCTGCCTCCGGAATTCACGCAGGCGGATCTGGATGCGAATGGTCAGCCAATCCCCACACATTTGGCGGTGGATAAGGATTTCCTCTATAAAGCTGTGAAAAAATACGATGGCCGGGGCATGACATGTAAACTGCACGTCGCCGGCGAAGGATCTGCTCGACTCGCGCTGGATGTCATCGCCAAGGTCCGGGAAGGGAATCCGGCTGGTCCCAGACACGAGCTTGCCCATTGCAATGCCGTGCACAAAGGTATGTTTATTGCAGCTTTCTGTATGGTTTCACGGACTAATAAAGTGTCAGATGACATCGCGCGGTTTGCTCCGTTAAACGTGACGGCGGAAATGTCACCCGCCATCTTCCATCACGATGTAGTGGAAGAGTATCCCGAACTCAACAAATGGGCGTTCAACGGGGTGCTTGCGTCGGGCGCACTCATGACCATTGGCTCGGACTGGATGCTCCCTGAGACGCCATCATTATTTGATGCACTTGCTGCGATTGTTGAACGCGTCCGATACAAACCTGGAGGGAAATGCCGGCGCCTCGGGTTGGGAGAGACGGCGATGCAACGCGGAGGAGAGATCCTTTGTCGCGTGCTGACGCTCAGCGGAGCAGAGGCTGTTGGGGCGCATCATCGCACTGGCAGTTTGGAAGTGGGCAAGGTGGCCAATTTCATTGTTGTTGATCGGGATTTGAGCCAAGGGAATTTCAAGTGTGCGAACGTGCTGGAGACGTGGTTTGAGGGGAGGAAGGTGTACCAGGCGTAAGGCTGACGGAGATTGTACGTCCTGCCAACCAGTAAGTAGCGTTGGTCAAACTGTTGAATGGAATCATTATTGAATCGAGGCCGCGTACACACCATTTACAACTGTTGCTGCCTGTTGGAACCCCAACGTTAAGCCAGCGTCTATATAGCCAGGGTCCCCGCACTAACACAACTAACCGAACCGGGCTGAACCTCAACACCCTTCATAATCTTACCTCTGAACACCACAGACATGCCTGATAATACCCAGCTGCTCGAGTTTATAGCGCAAAAGCGTTTCCACCAGCGGATTGTCTTGCCTGCTACTACAGAGCATGGGCGTCTCGCGGTTACCTACGCAGACATCGGGCCCCAAACAAAGAAAGATGGCTCACCCACCCCAACTATGCTGCTGATTCAGGGGATGGCAGGATCACGGCTCTGGTGCTGCCAGAAAGACCACCTAGCCAACAAACTGGGGGTCAGAATGTTATCCATCGACCGGTATTCTTTTTCACCAATATCTACCGTTCATAAATGAAAGCTGACAACATAGGCCCGGCATTGGCGGGTCAACTCCCGTCCCCCCTGAAAAACGAGTCAAAGTATGGCTGGAAACAGTGTCAGCTGTGCTGGAACATCTATCCATCAAGCATGTCGTCCCGATATCTCACAGTGCCGGCACTATCTACCTCTTGAATCTACTGTCTCGTCGGCGCGACCTTCTCTGGCCGAAAATGCCATTGGCAGTACTGATGGGTTAGCTTGTTTTCTGCTATCAATCAAACTCACAGGCAGGCTAACATTCGCAGCGCCGTGGGTGGAGCCCAAATACTCGGACATTCTCTCCTTACAAATGGCCAAGATGCTGCCTACTGGCGTCCTGAAGCAATGGAACAAGGTGATGAAATTCGTGGTCACCAAAGCAGCGCCTTCTCTCAGTTCGAGTGTGGATATTCTCTCCTCGATGGGCGGCAGTATCCCCCGTGGGTCCACAGAAGACATTAATCACAGTGAACCCAACCTCACGGCAGATGAGATAGGCCCACGGACCGCCAAACAGTTGGAGAACTTGTGCGTTGAGTATATTTTCCTGGAAGATACCACAGGAATGAACGATGAGGCTGTCGTCTGCCTGAAGAAGACAGCCGGGTTGTGGGGAGCCTGCGAAGATCTGCCGATCTATATCCGCTGGCTGGTGCAGGCCGAAGAATGGTACAAACAAGGCCACCCGGAGGAGCAGAAACCTTTGCAGGTCAAGGCCATTTTTGCAGAGAAGGATGGGATGATTGGACCCCAAGGACAGAAATACTTCGAGAACTGCTTCGCCCCTATCAATCTCGATAATGTGGTTTCTTTTCAGTCGGTCATGGAGAAAGGGACAGGACATGACACCCTCTGGGCCTCGGAAACAGGAGCATTTCTGAAGGTGCTGAAAGATGTTAAAGACGCAATGTCCCAATGATTTTGTCCTTGAAAGCCAGCATGATGAATGGGCATTCCCTCTCTCTTTGTGCTGCTGACTTGGACTGCATGAAGAGCTGGCGCCCATCCGAATATCCGAGAATGACCCATTTGTCAGCAAAACCCGAACCCGAAAATGTCACCACCGGAGGGTCAATTAATAATTCATTCTAACCTCAATGACGCGCTGGGTATAAAACCCATCCCGCCATTGTTCATCATGTCTCATTCGCTACAGCAATTGCTTTTGATTCCCTTTCTTCAGATCTCCTCTTCGCCATGGGTTCCGTGAATCAAGCCCCCCGTGTGATTCCCTCCACCGAGACGCCCTACTTCACCCCCGCCAACAACGGCGGCGAGGCCCTCAACCCCGCCGATCCCAACACTCCCACACTCTTCCGCCCCTTGAAGATTCGCGATGTGACCCTTAAGAACCGCGTCGTCGTCTCGCCCATGTGCATGTACTCCGCCGAAAGCGATCCCTCCTCTCCCTTCGTCGGCGCCCTCACGGATTACCACATTGCCCACCTGGGCCAATTCGCTCTGAAAGGCGCCGGTCTCGTCTTCGTCGAAGCCCAGGCTGTCCAGCCCAACGGGCGCATTTCCCCCAACGATGCGGGTCTGTGGGAACTTTCCCCGGAATCGGAACAATTCAAGAGTCTGCAGCGCGTGGTGCGCTTCTGTCACAGCCAGGGTGCCAAGGTAGCCGTCCAGCTCGCCCACGCGGGTCGCAAGGCGAGCGTACTCCCTCCGTGGATTGGCGTGCAGGCCAAGAAGCCCTGCGTCAAGGCGGACGAGAGCACGGGCGGATTCCCGTCCGACGTGGTCGGGCCCAGCGGTGGTGCGGACCAGGCCTGGGATGGAACTGGCGAGGGATACTGGGCGCCTCGGGCCTTGACGGTCGAGGAGATCAAGGAGATAGTGCAAGCCTTCGCCAAGAGTGCGGAGACCGCTATACGGGCTGGTGTTGACGTGATCGAAGTCCACGCTGCTCACGGATATCTGATCAACCAGTTCTTGAGCCCGGTGACCAACAAGCGGACGGACGAGTATGGAGGCAGCTTCGAGAACCGCACGCGCATTCTCCGGGAAGTCATGACGGCCATTCGGGCGGCCGTCCCCAGCGGTACCCCATTGTTCCTGAGAATTAGCGCAACGGAATGGCTGGACGGACAAGATGTTGCGGCGGAATCGGGCAGCTGGAACGTCGACAGCTCGCTCAAGCTTTTGCCGCTGCTTCCGGAACTCGGAGTCGACCTCTTGGATGTCAGCTCCGGGGGTAACCACCATAGCCAGAAGATTAACATCCACACCAACTATCACATTGACTTGGCCGCACAGTTGCGCAAAGCCATCCATGCGACCGGCGGGAAGACGCTGGTGGGCGCGGTCGGATTCATCACCGAAGCCGACCAGGCTCGGGGACTCGTGGAAGGCGCCGACGAGGCTCAGGCCGCCAATGCGACGGTATCTGGACCGGAGCCCGTGGCAGATTTGGTGTTGATGGCACGGCAATTCATGCGTGAGCCGGAGTGGGTGATGAACGCGGCGAAGAAGCTGGGAGCAAAGGTGGAAGTGCCGGTGCAGTTCTGGCGGGCTGGACTGGTTTGATCAATGTGCGATCTAGATATTAGACTAGATTATAGACCTAAATAATCAAGTATCGCAATAGAGAGAGAGCTAAGAAATTTACTACTCCGCAGCGACATCTGAATTGCCGAGCCGACCCGAGCAAGACGGCGGCACACGGAGACCTCCGAGCAGGGCAGGATCAGAGCAGAGCTACTTACTCCTTCGGGATAGCATCGCGCAATCCAGAACCTTGGGGGCGCCACCGACTAATGGATAGTTGCTATTTAGCTGCAGTTGGGGTAAGCCTAACTAGTTAAGTAGCTACTTATTAATGATTGATTTCTCCCACCCACCATTCACTACCCCGCAGTTCCCTCTCTCCGACATCAACCAACAACTTCCCCATCCCTTGATTCCCTTCCATACCCTCCCACCCGCACTATTAACCATGGCTCTCAAACCCGGCGATTCCTTCCCTTCGGATGTTGTCTTCCAGTGCGTTTAATAATGTATAAGTAGTCTCAATATATATCTAACAAACAGCCAGGTACATTCCCTGGAGCGAAGACAAGGGCGAGATCACCGCATGCGGCATCCCTATTAACTACAACGCCTCGAAAGAATGGGCCGATAAGAAGGTTGTTCTATTCTCCGTTCCAGGTATGGTCCCACCCCGATATACTGGTTGATATAATTTCCCGACCAACAGAATATTTATGATAGGTGCCTTCACCCCCACCTGCTCCATCAACCATGTCCCCGGCTACATCCAGAACCTTCCTCAGCTGAAGGAGAAGGGCGTGCAAGTCGTTGCCGTGATCGCGTCCAATGATCCTTTTGTCATGAGCGCTTGGGGAAAGGCGAATAATGTCAAGGGTGATGATATTGTGAGTTTTAAAGCCCCCCTTTGGCATTACTTTTGTTGTTCTACTGTTCCTTGGCTCATGGTGTTTTGATGATAGCTTTTCCTGACTGACCCCGATGCGCGCTTCTCCAACACCCTTGGCTGGGCGAGTGGTGGTCGCACCGGGCGGTTTGCCATCGTCATTGATCATGGCAAGGTGACCTATGCGCAGATTGAGACTGAGAAGGGTGCTGTTAAGGTATGTTCCTCCTTTATCTTTCCGCCTTGTTAGGTGTTGGGAAGTGTATACTGATAGATGTAGGTCTCCGGCGCTGATGCTATCCTGGCGAATTTGTGAATGTTGAGCGTTCACTATATGTGCTGCAGTAGAATCACCATGCTGCCATTTGTCATGTTCCTTCTTAGCGAGTGAGCAAGTCACGATAGCTAGTCACGAATCTTAAGTTCTTTGGAAATAATCTCGACATTTCACTAGCACTCCCTTTATGGCATATGAGGATATTAATGCGATGGATTCTTCCAACCCATGATTGAACCAACAGAGCCTGCAAGAATCTTTGAGTGGATTGCAGGTTAACTTTCTACCATCATATATTTCGCCCTCACTCCAGCCTCAGAGCCTGACTCGGTACCAACTGACCCTTGCCTGCCACCAATTCTACGGAATGAGAAGTGTCAGCTTTGAAAGTGTATATGTTCTTAAACTGACGGTGGAGCCCGGGGCATATGGAAGATGGCACGGACTTATGTACCTCTCTAACGGGGCCAGTCGCAAAAGCCTCAGAAGAATACATGGACCAAAGTGCACAAGTTTTATCAACGGGGGTTGTTATGTGAGTAGTGGCAGCGGAGAATTGGGACCGGCCTATAGCGAAGTTTCCAGGTCATTTGGGGGTAGATTGGTAGCGCTCCACAAGAACTAACATATGAATCAATCTCGTTATTCTTGTCCCTTGAGTACATTTACTGTGTCTCAATTAAACTTGCGGTACTAATTGCAGGTGGATGAGGAAGGGATATGTCAGAAGCGAAGTGGCATACTACGAAGGTAGTATATGTTCATCTCCAAAGATAGAACCGCCGTGCTAAATTGCTCGAGTCAGTCATGAAGTAATTCTTACGCGACCATACATCGACCCGACTCCGTTAAGATACTCTATCTATACTCCGTATCGAGGCAATCCGATCAGCGAGCTAGTCCCACAGCCCATCAGACTATTGCGGTCACCCGGACAAATGGAGAGATAGACAACCGGGTCCTCGCACTAAAATGCTGACAGGATTATCAATCTTAGCCGGACATAAGCATACTGTCTCCGCAGCCAGTAGCAGCACTCAAATGCACCAGCATGCCTTGATTTGAAGCAATAGAAAACCGCCGACCAGGATCGAAGCCAACTGAATGATAAACCCTTCAGGGATCGATGCCTGACGCTAGTCCCTTCGGGGGAAAGTCTCCTATGCCCCTCAGTGATTATTCAGCACTCACCCCCACCAGAGCTTCGCCTGTTTAGTGTTATGATGAAACCCCGCCATGGACCTTTTAAATACGATCCCTTTCCTCACAAAGTAGCAGACTTCATACCCCTCAATTGACATTCAATTAACAAGATAACAATACAATCATAATGGCCCCCAAAGTCCTCGTCGTCCTCAGCTCCCACGACCACCACAATGCCAACAACGAACCCACCGGCTGGTTCCTGGTACGTCCCTCCTCCTTCCCTTCTCAACCCGTATACCCTCACCACTAACATGATCACAATTCTATAGCCCGAATTCGCCCACCCCTGGGATGTCCTCCACTCCAAGACCGAGCTCGTAATCGCCTCCCCGGCCGGCGGCAAAGCCCCACTGGACCCGGGCTCCATTGAAATGTTCAAGGAGGACCCTGTGTCCCAGAAATTCCTCAAGGAGCAGGAATCCCTCTGGACCAACACCGTCAAGCTGTCGGATGTTGTGTCCCGGGTTTCTGAATTCGATGCCATCTTCTACGTTGGTGGTCATGGACGTATGTATTCCTTCATACCCTACTACTTCCCTCCATATAGAGAGAGAGCGAAATGCTGAGAATGGTATAGCCATGTACGACCTCTACAGCGACAAGACCTCCCTGGCCCTTATCCAGGCCTTCGCTGTGGCTAAGAAGCCCGTCGCAGCTGTGTGCCATGGTCCCGCGGTGCTGGTGAACGCTACTACGCCCTCCGGAACCGCGTTGCTGAAGGGTGCCGAGGTCACTGCGTTCTCGAATACCGAGGAGGATCAGGTGCAGTTGAGCTCTATCATGCCGTTTATGTTGGAGGATGAGGTGAAGCGCGTGGGAGCTACGTTTGTCAAGGCTGAGCAGCCGTGGGCTGAGAAGGTGGTCGTGTCGCAGGTTGCTGAGCTCGGTGGTGCAGTGATTACCGGTCAGAACCCGGCTAGTGCGACTGGGGTCGGAAAGGCCATTTTGACGGCTTTGGGGTTGTAAGTGGAGTCTGTGTGATGTGAGGTTGTAATGGTGGGTTGTTATGGATAATGTAATTCCGACATAATGAGAGTGATATATGCTATGTTGTTTTACATATCGACTTACGGTGGTGCTAATATTGAGTGTGATTGACAAATCTAAATCTCTCATCTAAAGTTGATCAACAGTATTGCACTCCTGAACGCCCAGACTGTCTTAGGTCATGGAGATACACAGACTTGGGAACCAAGTACACGACGGCAACGCTTTTTAACCCTGCTTGACAAATTGCTCCTGAACCTCCAAACTATGCTTCGCGAACCGGCTCTTCGCGCGGATCCGCTCCCCATAAAACACAAACAATAACGGCACACTACAGAACACCGTTGCCAATGCCGCCAACAATGAAGCTGCGACATTCGCTCCTAGCCCGTCAAACATCTGCCGCGTGAAGAGCGGAAATGCCCCCGACATCCCTGCTCGGACCAATTGCACCGCCGCTGTGCCACTTGCTGAATAGCTCAGATAACTATCGGCCAGATAGCCGTATAGAACGGTGTCGAATTCATTCAAGGCATATCCAATCAACACCAGGGAGATCGTAGGGACAATCCAGTGGATATCTTCTGCCCGCGGGGGAATCGTCCATGCGAACCACCAGAGCCCAATCGCAAAGGCAGGAGCCCCAATGGCCAGTCCGGTCAGTTTATCTTCTGGTTTGACGGGCTCGGAGGCTGCGTGTTTGGCGTCGATGATTCGAAAGTCGAGGATGCGAGTGAGAGTGCTGAAACAAACACCAACACCCACGGCGAGGAAAGGGAGAGCGGCAGCTGATGGAGTGAAACCCATGCTCTCGTAGATAGGCTGGAGTGCCTCGGTGAAGATATAGACCAAAGCGAAGGAGAACGCGATCATCATGGCCATCGTGAAGATGAGAAGCTCACCGAAGAAGAGCTGCAGGGGTCGGAACAGCGAGACCTTGACGAAGGTGCGGAGGTCGGGGGAGTGATCGTGATTAAGAGGCTGGAGGCTGTCGTGGCCCGTTTCGTGGCGGATGCGTGAGACCTCTTTGGCCAGGAGCAGGGCGGGCCGTGATTCCCGGATGAGCAGGAAGAACGCGCTCATGACAGCCAGGATGATCGTATATATGTAAAACACCCAGCGCCTACTCAGTCAGAGCTTGTCTCGCGAAACGGATCAGAAGACATACCAGTGTAGGATTTCAACAACAAGGATGCTGATGATTGGGCCGATTAGAAGACCGACGTTCGAGGCAATGGTCCAGAGGAAAGTGGTCCAGATGCGAGATCGGGAGTTGAACATGTCCTCATTGCTGCCGCTGCCAACAGTGTATGGAATAGCACTCAAGAAGCCACCGATGATGCGACAGATGACCACGGCGACTAATGAATGAACAAGCCCAATTATTAGGCAACACACCGCACTACCGGTGCTGCTGATAAAATATAGCTTTTTGCGTCCAAAGCACTCGGACCACGGAGGGAAGACAATCGCGCCGACAACCTGCCCCATGAGGAATCTATGAGGTCAGTCAGGTACTATCAGAAGTCTGGAAGAACGTACAATGTCACAAAGCAAAAGGTGCACAAAGTATTTCCAATATTGTATTCACTTTGAGCCTCTGAAGCCGCCGATGTCTATGGTCATTAGAAAGGCCACACTGTTGGATGAGGAACATACCCCAGCAGTACTCGTAGCGGTCCTGTGTCTGTTAGCAGTGCACCAACATTGAGGTGTCAACACATACACAAAGAGATCCAGCAGAAAGATCAATCCAATGTCGTACACCTTGCGGGTTGCGCTCCAGTTGCGAGGATGATTCTTGTTGCCCTTTGCCCACCGGACATATTGTCCATCTGGCGTGAACTCCAGGTCATTTTTCAGCAGGTACTCATCCATGTCCTGAGTCCGATTGACGTGGTTCGCTTTTGATGAATCTGCTGTAGTACCCCCTCCGTTTGCCGATTTATAGTCACAGGGGACTATATGTAGTTCGTTCTCAATGGGGGCCATGTCTACCGGACATATCTAAAAGTAGATCGACCTTGGTTTCAGTCGATCATCCCTGTAAGGTGAATCTCCCCTGGTCCGCGACATGTAGTACTTAGATAGTGCGTAGCACGCGTCAGGCTCTGAATGTGGTAGAGGATCATCGTGCATTGAGTTACTTTGCGTGTCCGCCAAAGAGCTTATGTGGATAAAACTCGTTTCCACCCTACCAATCAAGGGGTACGCCATGATCTGGAGATATGTGCAGGTGATGGCCCAGCACGCAAAAATAGGCTGAATTGGAAGTTTGGAGTACTGCTGGGGGCACGCGGGGTTTATGGAAACGTATCTCTCGAAGAGCTCGAGCATTCATTGGACGGCACTGGGTTGGGGCAAGGAAACCAACATGATTCTAGGAAAGTGAAAGGAAGACAGTCCAAACTACTGATTGTATGGGAGGAATGCGTGCGCAGCACATTCCAATTGACTGAAATGGACCGATCCATATTCTACGTGGCCAGTGCAGTGGGAGGGCTGCAAGGGACAGGCAGATGACGAGTGATCTGCACAAGGCATTCCGTTCCAGTGTATTGCGGAAATTCTGGAGACAGCAACGGTACTTTATGTGCTTGAGGTGATTCCCCGGAGTTTTCCTATACTTCATCGGCTGCCTTATGTACCTGGTGCATCTGCCTGTTTCAGAGTGTGGCAAGATCGAATAAGCATCAGCTGGTGTGCTGCCAGTTTAGTGGCTAGCTAGAGTTGCGATGGTGAGTTTGCAGATCGAGCGGTAGAAAGTTCAATATAATCTCCATGATGGTTTCAGTTCCCCTGCTGCTTGTCGTAATGATGGATGCGTCACAGATGTCCCTCGCAGGCAACTAAAGTGGAGTAGACGCATAATCTTGGTTAGCCAGCTCTTGAAGCTGGGGTATAGGAAACGCATCGTGAGCAAGTGTTCCACCATTGCGAGGAAAAAGAGCCAGGGGCGTGAGTGCAACTACCTGTTCAAAAACTTGTGCAGCTCAACCTGTAACATGCAAATGCAGCAGAGCACACCTCTACTGAATCTTCGATTCCTAAGGAGCGTGGGAGGTTGTATTGCAGGCTGTAAGTGGGCATAGACATTGGTGGACCGTCATCGATGGGGAAAGAGCATTGGCTCAACCGGAACAGCGGACGTATGATTGAACGACCACGCGAACGCTACCCTGTCCAGTGAAGTCCCCATATCAAGAAACGACCCTGTGGAATGTTGATGACATCCCAACGGGGCAACTGGTTGGGGCTGGGATCCAGCACCCCACATCGGGCAAGCATAAGGGCGATCCCCCCTGAGTTCACCGCCTGCGCTTCCCCCGCCGATTCTGCCGGACCCCGCAGAAGCAGCAGCTGCAGGACATCCCCTCAACACACATCTTATTAGCCAGTCTCTATTATCAGCTACCACTTCTCTCACCGACAGCATGCCCCCTCACGAAGGACTCGTCCACCCCAAAGAATATGACATCAAAGACAGCAATGTCGAATTGATCGGTTCCGACCTTGACCACCGTGTCAAGTACAACTCCGCCGCTACCGAGCCCGCTTGGAACAACGGATCCATCGGCCAGGAGCCGGGCCTGTTCGTGTGGAGGATTGAGAACTTCGAGGTTATACCATGGCCCAAGGAGCGGACGGGCGAATTCTACAACGGGGATAGCTACATTGTCCTGCATTCGTACAAGGTGGGGGACAAGCTGGGTCATGACATCTTCTTCTGGCTGGGCAGTAAGACCGCCCAGGATGAAGCCGGTACAGCCGCTTACAAGACGGTCGAGCTGGATGAATTTCTGCATGGCACCGCGACGCAGCATCGCGAGATTGAACAGGAGCCATCAGAGGAATTCCTGGGACTGTTCCGGCACATCTCCATCCGGTCGGGCGGCGTGCGATCAGGATTCCACCACGTCGAGCCTGAAGCACCCAAGGAGATCCTGACCTTGCTTCGCGTATTCAAGCATCCCACTGTGGGTCGCTCGATTATCGTGCACGAGGTGGAGCCCACCTGGCAAAGCCTGGACGAGAACGATGTGTTCGTCTTGGACAAAGGTGATAAGATCTGGGTCTGGCAGGGAAAGAACTGCAGCCCCATGGAAAAGGCCAAGGCTGCGCAGGTGGTCAATGATATGACGCTGGCTAAGCATATTGATGTCGAGGTTCTGTCCCAGCTCGAGTCGCGCTCCAGGGTCATTGTGGACTTGCTGGGAGGCAAGGAGGCCGACCCGGCCACATTCCAGGCTCCGCGACCGGGGCGTTTTGCCAAACGCACGGACGAGGGCAGCGATGTGCGGTCACGCAAGCTCTTTAGACTGAGTGACTCGTCCGGCACACTCACCTTCGACCTGGTCAAAGATGGCCAGCGTGTGAGCAAATCTGACTTGGTTGGAAACGACGTATTCCTCTACGATGTCGGCAACAGGCTGTGGGTCTGGCAGGGATCCGAGGCCAGCCAGCGTGAGAAAGCGCTGTGGCTCAAGGTTGCCCAACACTACGTCCGTCAGCTGCAAAACCAACTCCCAGAGGCACACTACATCCCGATCGCCAAGGTCGTGGAGGGCTACGAGAGCCCAGCGTTCATGAGAGCCATCGAGGCCTAGGTATGTTGCTGTATAGGCCATAATTTTGTAACAAATATATGCCATTCTTCTTGCACAGCTGAAAGAAGCATTCACTATTCAAGACACAGAATATCGGAGCGGCAGGTTCAGCCCGAATAGTCCAGTGTCCAGGACATTATATGCCAGCATTAGGCCGGTACATCAGAATCTCGAACAATTGATGCCCTCGGCCACATCAAATAATATTGGAAAAATGATCTAATAAGCACTTCGTTCTAAAAGAACGTGACTGCCGTTCGCCACAAAAGCAGCCGATCACCGAGTAACTCCAAACTCCGCATTGTACACCAGTAGTCCGGAACCCCCGTTTATACATCCTCTTATTCCTTAAGCCAACTGTAGCTGTATAAACAATTGTCAGCACAGAAGAATTAACAGATCACCCAATCACCATCCACATACCTTATCCTCGAATCTACCATCTCCCTCTTCGTCCCCCGCCAAATCCCCCTCTCCCACCAGGCGGCCCAAACCCTCCTCCTCTCCGACCACCAAAGCCACCACCAGGAGGACCGTGTGGTCTTCCGTAGGAATGCATCGGCATGCCCCCGCCACCACCGTAGTGCGGGCGCGGGGGAGGATACCCGTAGCCACCGCCCATACCCATGCTAGGGTAGCGCCGCCGGTTGCGGCCCATGAGAGACATGCACAGGCCCATGGTAGTATTGTTGGGGATTCAAACGTAGGATTTGGAATAATACAAGATTTAGATTATTTTTTGGAGTGGTTGGAAAGGAATTATGTCTTTGTTGAACTGAAATGGACCTGCTGTCTAAGTAGGTAGGGCAAGGGATAAATACAGGCCTCGTCACTCATGGCGTCATCCATCAGCCGTGACGTAGTACTGCCCCTTCTCCCACTACAACCTTAACTTTCATCCCCAAGGGACGGAACTAAAAATGATTTGCTGGGTCCAGATTAAAGAGGAGGCCTGTAATTATTGGAAGTCGACTAAAGATGGTGGCAGGTTAGAGGGAGGAAATATGGTGGGTGACGTCTCGGCTTCGTGGTCCATGATGACAGTCCGTCATCCTATAAGAGTCTCTAAGCCATTATCAATCATCACATCAATCCAATGCACAATCGGAGCTTGACCGTGAAGTGGGCTGTTGGTCAATAACCGGTCTGCCCGAGCCCAAGTTTCTCTCACAATCCTACACGCCCGGTGCACTGTGTCTAACCCCATGTAGGACGCCATCTTGTCGAGTCTAGAATCAACAAATAGACGCCAGAACTGTATATCGACTCGTTCAGGTGCATGAGTTAGGTCCGAAGCACCATCCGGAAATACTTCCATGTCGACATGCATGTCTTCAATCCGCTGGAACTGAAGAGTACTCCCCGCTATCACAAGAACAGGCATTTGAATCGCCCTTGTGCCAGAGGTTTCTGGAATCTTGGCAATTAATGTCAGAATAGTGATGGCCAGTGTATTCAGATGTTTTCTTTGGGTATCATAATCCGGCATTCGTTGGTCTGGGCGTAGTAACTCGGGAAATGTTCGACACAGCTCAAGCATAATTGATAGAGCATAGGCGTATCCTAGAAATTGAAAATCGTCGACAGGCGTAGATGGATCACCTGTACTAAGGAACTGTCCTTGAGGGGGTGAATCGTACTGACATACCAGCTCTTCCAGATGCTTTCCTTGCGATAAAAGTTCGCGTCGGTCTTTCTGCATGCGCTGTGGCGAAGCTGATGCCCGCCGTAAATGGTGCGCCTGTCGTGCTAGGGAGCCGATCTTTGACATGGATATGAACAGTTTGGGCGAGACCCCGCTCCAAGGATGGACACTTGCCACGCTGTTTTCATCGTCGCAGAAGCGTAGAAGGTAGTCTGCTGCGTCTGTGCTGTTGTCTACGACGAAGGAGGTCAGTGCTTCCCAGTAAACCAAAGCTCCGACAAAGAAGTCTCGAGCAAGCCTTGGATCTGAGGTCGGGGCACCTGAGATCGAGGGAGATTGAAAATGGCTTTCGCAGTATAAAGTCTGGAAAATGGTCCTTGCCGCCTCGAGGTGGTGCAAACCAAGTGAGGATGGATTATTCCATGACTGGGTAGGGGTTAGGTTTGGTGAGGGTTATATCAGCAGTAGGAATCTACATACTGCAGTCTTTCCGATCATGATAATCCCAAGAAGCAGTGCAGTCATAGACTCGCTGTTCTTCAGCACAAAGCCGGCATTGTCGTGTGGGTGTGACAACCGCCGTTTGTCTAGAGCTTCAATCCCAGCAGAAAGACTCGCAAGCGCAGCTGTACGATGGCTTGCAGCCAGCATAGTCATCTCACGCTGCTGCTGCGAAAGATGTGCAGCCAATATAGAGAAAACGCAGGATTCGATTATGGGGTGCTCATTTGAGAGCCGTGCAACCCATTCTCGCAGTGGGTTCGTGGGCGAATCGTAACCGGAAAGGAGGCGGCATGTATGAGAGAAATAGTATGCTCGCAACTTGGTAGAGGAATCAGTTAGTGATGATGTTAGCTTAGCATTATGTTGTCTCTCTGGTGTGGTTTCGGCGTCGGAAGTCTGCAGCGTAAGTGCTGAATCGCTGTTTGTGGTTGAATGATCGGGTGTGTCTGTTCTCCCATCGCAGCGGCCCGATGTCTTGCATTGCTCTACTCTCTTAGTAGAGGACTGACTACGCTCGAGCGGAGGTCGCAGATCGCTCAGCAAAGCAAGACGTAGTTTCTCCGCTGGTTCAGTGAACCAGCTCATAGGAGGTTCCTTCTTTGATGGAGACAGTGACTCTGAATTCAGACCTTTCGCTTCATGCTTCGACGACCATTTGACGTCTCTGCGGTACCCCGGGCAGTCATATCCTCTCCGAGAACAAGCCACGCAAGAAGGCTTGGTTTCGTCACATTTGATTCGCTACATTGAATTAGTGTTCTGACGTTGGCATAAGGATGGCCGACTGGCTTACGCGCTGCTTACACCGTGCGCACCCCGCTTTAATCTATGTTAGTGGCTTGAAACTTTGGGGTGTTATTGGGATCACCTCGAGATTTGACCGTTCTTCTCGACTGAGTCAGTTCTTGGCGTATCATCCTGTCCCATTGCAGTCATGAGGGCCCCAGGCAAGCAGAAGGCTGGGTGAAAAGTCGCATCAATGTCCGCTACATTGCTGGCCACTCATAAGCTCAGTTGCTTAATAATTGCAACACTACTGCCGGAATGCCAAGGATAAGGTTCAGTGGCAATGTGCCTGCACCAGCTTCAATGGTTTCGGTCCTCTCAAGAGTGAGGTACGTTGTGCCTCTGGCTTACGGTATATGCTTTCGATTGATACATTATGTCTTTGTGCATTGTGCTTTGTCTGCTTAGTGGTGGTAGTAATGCACAGCATTTGTCACTCTGCTGCCTCCTGACCAATCGCACTTTTACACCTAAAAGGGTTTAGTGTAAGACGATCCCGGACTGAAGCATTAAACCCTCGGAACTATACATGTCAGTTCTCTGCCGATTTGTAAAACGCGCTCAATTCCGTCATAAATGGAGATGGCGTGATATCCGGGTACTCATGGCTAAGCACATTTAGGAAGCAGTTTCCAGATGGCATCATTTCAAGCTTACCAATCTAATCAAACAACATAATGTATATAAGTGCTGGGTGAACAGGACAACAATCCATTTAGATCAGCAGAACGGTACAGGAATTGAAGAACTTTCAGCGAGATCTCTTCAAAACTACCAACCACTTAACCACCGAAACGCCTCGTAATCATCTCATCAAGATGACATCCCCACTGAAGAACGTGGTAATCGTCGGGGTAAGTGAACTCAGACCATCCTCCCTATCCTTCACATATTAACATACAATCCCTCTTAGGCCGCAGGAAACCTGGGCTCCCATGTCCTCAAGGCCTTCCTTTCATCTAACGCATTCAACATCACTGTCCTCTCCAGAGACTCATCTACCAGCACCTTCCCCGACGGCCTCAAAGTCATCAAATCAGACTACAGCCATGACTCACTCGTCTCTGCCTTCAAGGGCCAAGATGCCGTAATCAGCATTGTAGGCAATGGCGGCTTTTCCAACCAGCAGAAACTCATCGACGCTGCCCTCGCCGCAGGAGTCAAACGGTTCATCCCCAGCGAATTCGGTAATAACACCGCAGATGAACGTGTCCGGGCGCTTGCCCCGCTTCTTGATGGCAAGAAAGCCGTTGTCGATTATCTTAAAGAGAAACAAGATCGGCTGAGTTGGACTGCACTCATAACGGGGCCGTTCTTTGATTGGGTAAGTGACTTTACGACAGACTCCTATAGTACCTATTCCTTGCTATGTATTACGTAGTAAGAAGGAAAGCTAATATATTTGTTTCAACAGGGTCTCCAAACCGGCTTCCTGGGCTTCAACCTCCAATCGCACGAAGCAACCGTCTACGACAACGGCACCATCCCGGCCTCAGTCAGCACCCTCGCTCAGATCGGCCGTGCTCTAGTCGCTGTCTTGCAGAACCCAGAGGCTACTGGGAATCAATACGTCTACGTCGAGTCATTCACTGTCACGCAAAAGCAGATTCTCGGGGCTCTCGAAAAAGCCACCGGCAAGGAATGGAAGGTCACTGACGTTGACTTTGAACCGCTTATTCAAGAGAGTACTGAGCGGTTTAAGGGTGGTGATTTCTCGGCCGTGCTGGCTCTGCTCTTAGCGGCTGCGTTGGCGAGGTTTCCGGACGGGCCGTATGGAAGTTGGGAGCAGGTGTCTGGCGGGTCGTGGAATAAGAGATTGGGGATTGAGCATGAGGATTTGGATGAGGTTGTGAGGTCGCTGGTTAATTAGGATGTCTTGAACGGCTTTCAGGGTATATTGTTGCAGGACACATATTTTGGAACGAGCAATAAATTATTGATAAATGAAACAGACATATTAAGTATGGTATCTGAACTCCACCTCGCCATCACCTGTCTTCACTCTTCGCGTATCCTCCTTTTCGCCCGCCAGAATCTCCTCTTTCACCTTATTCTCCCGTCTCAGATAGACCGCATGAAGCGCGACAATTACCTGCGATACCACCAATGCCCCCAACGAGAAGGCATTCCCTAGTACATACGGCGACGTGCGATAAACCTGGCCTGCTACAATACCGGCACAGTTACCCACTGTCTGCTGGAGACCAATGGCGAGTGCACGACGGTACTGAGGCGCCACGTTGACGTTCAACCAGGCGACGTTCAGTCCGACGCCGGTGTAGACAGCCACACCGCAGAGGTAAGTAGCGAAGTATTTGACGGCGTCGTTGGACACAGTCAGGAGGAGGATGTAGCCGACGATACCGAAGATGTTGGTGGCTAGGATGAACTGTTCCCATTGTTAGCACACACGTTATCCCGTAATGAATATATGATAGGATTTAGGGAGAAAGGCATACGATAGAAAACCTCCCAAAGCGATCGGCGCAAAACGCGACAGCAATAAACACGATCGCAGCCCAGATATACACCGGTACCGTGAGCACATTACTCATGAGGCTATTATACCCCAGACTCCCCAAGATAGTAGGAAGGAAAGTACTGAATCCGTAGAGGAGAATATCCTGACAGAACTGCGTGAGGGCAGAGAACATGAGCTTGGGATCACGAAGAGCAATGCGCATCTCCTCCCAGCTGAAGTGCTCACTGCCCATGTACTTCCGGCGTTGTTCGTTGCGCACGCGCATCATGTATTTCTCTTCGGCGGTGAGGAAGTAGGCGTTGCTGGGGTCGTTGGGAAGACCGAACCAGATGAGGATGGCGCACACTAGACTGAAGAGTCCTTCGATGATGTAGACCCATCTTTGTGGTTTTTGTTAGAAAGTGTTGATGGGGTGATAGGGAGGGGTACACGGGTAGCTTACCTCCAGCCGGCTTTGCCGCCTACACCGTCCATGTGCAACAATGCATATGCGAGTAGACCTCCCACGGCACCGGAGATGGCAGCGCAGCTCATCAGGTATGAGACGCGCTTTGCTTGCTCTTCTCGACGATACACCATGGTCAAATACAGGTTTAGACACGGGAAGAGTCCGGCTTCGCAGCCACCGAGGATCAACCGTGTTGCGTACAGCGAGGCGACATTGTGGATGAAGCCCGTAAACACGGTGGTAATTGACCAGATGATGCATAGACCGGTGAGGATATTCCGCGGAGTGAGCTTTTTCATTGCCACGGCCCAAGGTGCCTCTAATAGCACGTAGGTAGCGTAGAAGATGGACACGGCGGTAGAATACTCGCTGTCGGAGGCGTGGATGTCTTCAGGCATGCCAGCTACCTTGACATTACCTGAAATAAAAATCATTAGCGATATCCATCCTCGTGGGGAACGTGCATTGGGGGATATTCACCGATGTTACTACGGTCGAGGAAGCAAGACAGGTAGGTCAACATGATAATGGGCACAAAGGCCATATCGAGCTTCATGAGAAGCTTCTTCTCCTTCGCTGGGTCGAGGACGACATCGTCAATATCCCCAATGGCAGTCTCTTCAGGAGACGCCTGCTCAATTGGCTTCTCGAGCGATTTTCGCTCAACGACGGGATCCATCTGATCGATAGTCATGATGGAGAGGATGAGCAGCTGTGAAGACCCGGGAGGATGTGGGGGAGAGGGAAGAATGATGAAAACGTCAACAGCGGAGGATCTGGGGTTAAGAACCATGGACCAGCCCTCAGGCCACCGCTGAAGGCGGCGACGGATCGATAACACCGCCAAGTAAACCGGGAAGCGTACTATCTATGATGAGGGGCGAGTAGCATTGGTGCTTCCGCTGGGTCAGCCATCGGGCCGATGGACTGATAAGCAAAGTTAAGATTCCCGGGAGGATATCATCTGGCAGCTGCTCATTGGTGAAACCGCAGACTCGACCTCCAACGCTTATCACGCTGGTGGAGACCCAAGCACGTTGATCCCCGGATATCGGAGCCCACCTGCCGATAGAGGGACGAGAGGAAATATGGGGTAGATACAAGTCCATTGATAGGCTATCAGGTGTATCGGTGAGTAAGTGATTGATTATATATGCTAACTCAAATGTTGAACCTACTCCTAACCACTTCCAACCCACCGCTAACAACGACCAGAATCCCTCTCCATCCATCCATCCAGGAAACCCCCCCAAGATGGCCATAACCCAGACACCGGAAACCCTATCCAGCCAGGAAACGCGGCTTCTGGCCCGCCAAAACACCATCACCAACACGGCGGGCTACTCCGGGAACAACCTGCAAGCCAACCTTCTCATTCTGCCAGAAAAACACAGCCAGGACTTTCACAACCTCTGTCTTCGCAACCCAGTATCCTGCCCCCTCCTAGGCATCAGCAGCATCCCGGGAAACCCCCACAAAATCACCCCAACGCCATGCATCCAGAACCGCGACTTCGACATCCGCACCGACTGCCCATCCTACCGAGTCTACAAGCACGGCAAATGCATCGCGGCCAACAAACCCGACCTCCTCGATCTGTGGTCCACCGATGACCCAAATGCCGAAAATTACACAGCCTTCCTCCTGGGGTGCTCCTTCAGCTTCGAAGCCGCCCTGTGCAATGCAACCCCGCCCTTAACCCCGCGGCACCAACTCAGCAACACCATCGTGTCCATGTACCGCACGTCATTGCCCCTCCTGCCTGCAGGTATCTTCACCAACGCAACATGCATCGTGTCCATGCGTCCATACCACGAATCAGAGGTCGAGCGGGTGCGGGACATCACGCGCCCGTATCTAGCCACGCACGGGGAGCCCGTCGATTGGGGCTGGGATGCGGTGAAGCGTCTGGGCATTCGGAATATTCATGATCCGGATTTCGGGGAGAAGATTGAGTTTAAGGATGGGGAGGTGCCGGTTTTTTGGGTATGCAAGATGCTTTTTGTTTAAACTTTTTGATGAGGTGTATGTGGTTATGCTAACGCGGGATGATGGTTAGGCGTGTGGAGTGACGCCGCAGATGGCGATCGAGGCGGCCGGGGATAAGATTGATGGGTTGGTGTTTGCGCATGAGCCGGGGAATATGCTGGTGACGGATTGGGTGGTCGAGGATTTGGAGAGGCTGAAGGAAGGAATTGCGGCTTTCCAGGGATGGATGAATTAGAATAGATAGTGCTGGAGATATATACGATGGAACGACCTGTTATGAACCGGATAGCCTTCTCGAATATTAGAACATGCTACTTAGTGAAGGATAAATTTTAAAAACAATCCTTCATCACACTCGACAACTCCTCCCCATAATCATACCGCTGCCACCCGGCATCAAATCCCTCAGGCGCCATGCCCATAATCTGCGTCTCCAGATTCCCCACCGCTTCGAACCATTCCATTAGCTCGCGCGTCATCTGCGCCCCGTCTAGCGGTGACTGCTCCTGCGTGCCTGTTGACTGGCTGGGTGCGACTTCCACCACGTTGCCCAGACCCCCTCTCTCCGCTGGCACTGCGGCGCCTCTCCACTCCGGCTCCGGCTGACTCTGCACCGGCCGATGCATCAGTTGTGGGCCCAGCTTCCTCAAGCTTCGAATGGACTTCCACAGCCGCAGCGAGATGTAAGATCTGGTCGAGAAGCCCTTGATCAGCTCCAGGGCCATGTAAAACTCCTCCTTGCACGTGGTACTGAACTGAGTGGGTGCCTGCGTGACAGCTAGAAACACCACCGCGACAGCAGACACCAGAAACCAATTAAAAGTCACCTGCTGCAAGCGATAGATATCTGTTGTCTCGTTCAGATTGGTGATGAATCGGATAGACTCCTTCGCCAACTCCACCACGGTCTGCGACTCCGCAGGGTACTTGGCGATATGTGCCGCCGAGTGCAGCACAGGTCGATGGATCAGCATGCGCAATTGGTTCGCCCTCAAATACAGCAGGGACCGTAAGCGACGCAGGCTCCGTGGTTCCTCCTCGTCCTTATGACCCTGATGCGACTCGATCCTCAACACGGGAGGAATATCGCCCGCCCATCGCTGCACTTGCCAATCGAGGTAATTCATCTCCTCTTTCTTAATCTCGTTCGTGTTGTTGAAGGCGGAAATGAACTTCCACACTTTCGCCGCGATCCGACTATACCGAATCATGACACACAGGTAGGGCGTCTTTTCCTCCGGTTCAGGTAACCACGGGTCAATGTCGCTGTCTTCGAGGGAAAATGGCATGCCGGTGCCGAAGCTCCAGCGAATATCGAGAATGTAAATGGACCAGAAGAGTCGGAGGACGCGGTCTTTGCCTGCTTTGATGATGGATGGCTGGCTGAGGGTTTCGCGGCGGTGAAGGCCTCGTTCGAGACACATGCGCTCGACGATGCCGATGGTGCGCCAGGCGAGGGTTTCTTCGTCGATTTGGAAGTAGAAGATGGCCTACAACTATTTAGCCACACGTTCAGGAAAAGAAGGTATGTGTTGTACTCACCACCAACGTCAAAAAGATGATATTCTTGATCCCCGCCGCTCCCCAAACGAAGTTATCCGCCACTTCTCGGACACTCTCGAACAAACTCATCGCCAGGGCACTGCTCCCCGCTGCCTCAGCCGTAAGCGCACAGGCAAATACCAGGCGCAGGATATGCACATCCGTCCTGTCCAGCTGTTCAGGACCGTCGGGGCCCTGAACGACGGGCACCCGGGGCCACGACTCGGCCCCATACAACAACTCCACCTGGTGCAAAAGCTGCGATAGCTCCAGCACAGGATACATGACTCCCATTTCCTCCTCGTACACGCGACACAACCGCAACGCTTCATTCTTCCCGATAGTCCATAGTGGATCACCAGTAGAATGATGGCGCGTGCGTGGCGGCGACGCAGGCACAGGCATTGACATCATCGCAGAAGGATCGGCCTGGGTGAGACCACCCTCGTCGCCGTCAACGTCGCCGTCCTCAGCATCCGCGACATCGGGATGTTCCTCGACGATGCC